ATAATAGAATACCCATACACTTACATACATAGGGCACCGGCAGATGGGGCATTACGCAAATTACAAAATTACCTGCACGGGCACGGCTGGGGTTTTATTTAGTATGAGTGTAGGTATTTATTAAATAGAGTAATAATAGAGTGATAAAGTGATATTATTATTATTGAATAGACTAGATATGAATATCTATATTCACAATATATCTCGTACAGAAGAGTACAGATTGGAATAAGTGACGATATGCAGACCGCGGCAGTTTCAACCTCAATACGAAGTACACACTCGCATGTTGTTAGTTACTGCAGTTTCAGTAATCAAGGATAGTCACTTGATCCTCTCATACATAGTACTCATATCATCCCATCCTTGCTTGACGGGATGCGAGGATAAAGAAGACAAAGAACGACCTTACTTTATACTTCATACTAGTCCGTACCCACGGCCACGACTCGGCTCAGGCTTCTTTATGCCGCGCAGAGAACATCGCGTATCGCACGAGTGTCTGGATGCTGACACAAGGAATGTGAATCCTGCTTGATATATAAAGTAGTGGTAGTACTCTCTGCCAGACAGTATCATATTGTAGGAGAAGTGAAGAACACCTTGCAGATGCAATGCATGTCACCTGATTCAACCGGACCTTATCTCCATCGACGTCACAGGTATCATCATAGATACAAGTATAATTACCACTGTATAAGTACAGGTACAGTATATACTCCGTACAGAGTACGTACCAGTAAGAACACAGAACCATGGAGGGTGTCATGAGTAGGATTTCTGGTAACCAGCCCGTGATTGGCCGGACATTGCGAACCGGGGTGGTTCGTATTCAATCCTGAAAGACGCCATTGTTGCAAATTGTACGGAGTACCGAGCACTAAGCTACAGCCGTGTATCTATGAAAACTTATGTCATTGCCCAGCTGATATTTACTGAAGTTAAACGAAAAACGAAAACCAAAAAACAAAAAGAAAAAAAGAAAAAAGAAAACCCAGACGCGTCGACGCGCGCTTGATGCATCCATTCATCCATCTCGGTGGTATTGAATCAGTGGCTGCGCTACCGATTAAGTACCTCGTACATGTACATACACGGAATGAGCAAGGAGTTACTCCCGAACACTGTACTTATTTACCTTTTGATACGGGAGTACGGAGTACTACAAACAATTCCTTGCATCGAGCAAGTACTTTTGTTACTACTTCGATCTGTGATATAATGCGGGTACCTGGCATGCTATGCTGTACTCTACTATGTACGTACGAAGCAAAATAATCCGGAGTAGAGGAAAACTCTTTCAGTGGATGCATGACATACAATTAATATCGCTTTTCTTGGAACCATGGATCGATGACTGCCCAAGAGGGGCATTGCCACTGCGCTTTAACTATCCTACAGAGTACAGATATACACCACCTCTTCTGTGTGGCCATAGTCTCTAGACAATAAACTCTACTCAATTGTATATCAATCGACTCATTCACTCACCTCGTACCTTACTGTACAAGTAACTACTCTGCGATCCACACAGCACAACCAGATGAAATTACAATCACCGTCGCCCAAGCACCAATCACCATCCGCCCTGCGCTTCCGATCCCAATCCGCTTAAAATTCTGAGGCCCATCGTGTGGCGTTTTGAAAGATTGAATCCACCGATGCCCTGTAAATTTCAGCCGTTACGGAAGTCGCGTTTTGCATTTCATAGCTTACGTGTGGTCGACGACCCGGTACTCTGGTCTATGATTCAGTTAGGGCTGTCAGTTTAGTTTAATATGGCCCATGATTATTGATAGTTATTGAGCTGCACTAGGTGCACACGGAGGCGTAATCTCTCGCTGCCCAATATCATCCCCAAACTCCCCCTGCCTCCCCAACTCATCCCCCAACAACTGAATCGTCTTTTGATATACCATCGCCGCCTCCATCTCCCACCGTCCAGGCGTCTCGTGATATTCATCAACCGCATTAGCATTCGGTGTCACATTCCCATCCCCAAGCACATCTTCCATCTCCTCATCCTCACTATTCACCTCACTCTCCCCAGTAAAATCACCATCCCCGTCAGTTGTCTCGTCACTCCGCTCTCTCACCTCCATAACAACCATCCGACACGTTTCCGCAATACTCTTAATCCGTACTTTCTCCGTCATCGAGACGATATTCCGCCTTGTTTCGAACCCCGCCAGCGGAGCCCCCGAGTCTGCGTCTTCCCCTGTTAACAGCGATGCGAAGACGGAGTCTAATTTGCGGAGGAGGCGAAAAGTCGATTGTGGGGTGAAGGGGTAGGAGGGGAGACTGGAGTTCACGAGGACAGCGAGCGAGATTATGTATGGGATTTGGAGGGTTGCTAGTGTGCGTGTGATTGTTAGTTTAGATGTAATCGGTTAAATGGACAGGGGAGGAGGGAAACGTACGCGTGCCACTAACCCAGACGACATCGACTAAATTCTCGATATCCCTGACCATTTCTTTGAAACTCTCGTATCCGCGTTCGCCCTGGCCCTCACCCTCGCCGTTCGGTGCTCCGCCTCCATAAGTACTGCTAAACTTCTTTGCATGCCGCCGGTTTATTCCCAGAATACTCTTATCAAGGTGATTTATCACAGCAGTCTCTTTCATCGATCCCGCTTTGAGCGGGTGCCTGCGTTGTTGCGGGAGGAGTGAGGGTGTTGCGGTCGAGGCTGACATTGTTGAGGGTGCGGGGGAGGGGAGGGAAGGGTGGATGAAGCCGCCGGCTGAGTCGGTTGAGGTCATTGTCGAGGTATCGATGGCAGTATAATGTAGTGTAAATGGCTGTAGTTGTGAGTGAAATACGGAGGGTGTTTGATGAAAGCAGAACTGATTCCTGCTGCCTCGAAGTACTCAGCGCAAATTCAAAAGATATATCCCCAAAGCGCCGTCGCCGAAGATTTACAACCAGCAATTTAAATATAAATGTCCAGCTAGCGTGAACAAGTGGTTTTGTACAAAGAACTCCAGTACCTGTAGAGTTGCAGAAAAGAAGATGTCATCGCCAAGCCTGAGATCTAAGTGGTCTGTGCGGAGTATTAATAGAGCATTGAGTACGCGGTATTGTAGTATTCTATGTCTACATGGCATTGAACGAGATTGAAAGAGTGGTTTATATATGTATTTTATGCAGTAAATATGCTTCTCATTCTATACTAAACCTGACATATCGACACTAGACTCGCGTTAGCAATTGTCCCGGACAAAACCGATGAAACAAGCGATAGAATGGACACTTCAGAGGTGAGAAGATAAATAGAATCGCTGGTGTTTGAAGGCATGGCATGACATCTGATCATAAATCGAGTCTTGCTACTCTGGCCCCAGCGTGCTCATCATGTGTACGGAGTATGTAGAAAGAAATCGGTATACTCACAATCAACCCGCCCTGAACCCATAACTTTTGTTGCCAACCCAAACGCCCGGCTAAACCGACTTTTAAGAAGAAAGAATTTATTCTGGCTGCGATATGTTAGCAATGGCATCTCCAAATCAAGTAGTAAGAAAGCAGGACTCACCCGAATCTTCCCCCTCCGCTCCTTCATCTCACTCAACTTCTTCCTATCATCATCAAACCTCCTCAACAACTGATTCTGTCTCTCCTTCCTCTTCTCACGGCTCTGGAAGCGATAGAAGTCACCCAGACCTTCCTCCTTCTTCCTCTGCTTCTCAACCAACTCCCTCATCTCCTCCTGCTGCGCAACATTATTCAACTTCGGTCCACTACTAACAGTGACAAATCCATCATCATCCGGCATCTGCGTCTTACGCGCTTCCTCACGCTTCCTCGCCTCCGCAACCTCACCGAACACAACCATAAAGTCGTTCACGGTGTTCAAGAGCGTCGCGCGGTCCGGATACCGGAGTTGTTCGTGGGTTGAGTACCGCGCGAGACCGAGCGGGGCGATGCGGTCCTCGATGCCTTCGGCCCAGACGATCTGGGTGCCCTTTTTGGCTGCTTTTGTGGCTGCTTTGAGACTACTTTCCATGCTGGGTTTATCGGCGAAGATGACGATGGCGTGGGCGCCGGATTTCTGGAGATGGTGGTCCCATGTTGAGGGGAGCTCGATGGCTTCGAGTTGGGATTGAAGGTCGTCGGCTGTGATGCGCTTGCGTTTTTTGTTGTTCTTGGAGGCGGAGAGGGTTGGGAGAGAGTGCTTCTTTTTCGTAGGGACGTTTTCGAAGTGCACTTTTTCGACGCGGCCGGCGGAGAGTTGTTTGGCGAAAAGGTGGCGGAGGTGGGTTTCGGTTGTGTCTATGGGGATATTGACGATGAAAAGAGAGCGAGGGGAGTCGGGGTCTGGGATGCGAGGCTCGTGAGGGCGTAGGTAGAGGTAATGGGTTGCTGGTTTGGGAAAGGCGGGTGTTGGGGGGAGTTGAATGGAGAGCACGGTATAACCGGCTATCTCTGGTGAGTCTTTCTTCATTTCCTGTAATCCAGGGGGTCCCGGAAAGGAAAAGGAAATAAAAGGAGTTGAGATGGACTGGTGTTTGCGCAAGAAATTATTCGCTCTTCCGCTCCGAGTTTGCGCTGCGGAAATTTTGCACGCGGAAGCGGAGACCACCGATAAGGCTAGTTAAGCTATTACAAGTACTTGTACATCGACAACAACATCAGCAAAAAAAAAAAAAAAAAGAAAAAGAAATATCACAAATAACTCCTAAGAAATATTTCAAATTATATCATCCCACATAGTTCTCTTCTATTCCAGCGTCAAATCTTATCAGGATCATTAATTCCGCCGTTCGTGATTACATAGGTCGCCTCGCGCTCAGGGCAATCTACAGCTTGTTAGACAATCCAAAGCCCTCAGAGCTAAGGATAACTAACCTGGTGAATCCTGAATCTTGGCCACACGTTCATCTCCACGTCCTTTCCGGAGCAAAACACGAGTCGCAGACGCATGCGCCAAGACATGTCCTCCAACTGGCTTACGGCCATCGGCTCCTGCAAAGAGGGCACTGGCGCCAGGATCGCTTTGGACCTGGTTTGTCTGGTATCGTCAGCAAGTATTCTGTAAGAGAGACAAGGGGACTAGACTAACCATCAAGACGCAGATGTTAAATTCTAAATTATAGATGAGCTTGCAGTCAAGAATAGAGAACTAGAGAGACGAGAGACATACCTTCAGCCATATGTGAAAGCTTCATCAAGAACTGGTTAAGCTTCTGTTGACGGTCCGCAAGCTCACCACGTCCACAGTAGTCCACACGGAAGCAATTCATGATACTATCAATAATCAACAGCCTGTACTCGCCTGCCGCAAACTCCTTGCTCAGAGTATACAGCAGCTCCAATTGATGCTCACTGTTGAGCGCTCTAGCGTAAGCGATATTCTCCTGAGCAGAGTCCGGGTCAACACCAAAACGCTCTGCAATCTGGGCAATACGCTCTGGACGAAAGGTACCCTCGGTATCAATGTAGGCAACCTTGCCATCTGCACCTCCCATCTCCTTAGGAAGTTGTGCGACGACGGACATCGTGTGAGATAGCTGTGTTTTGCCGCAACGGAATTCGCCAAAGACCTCGCTGATACTCATGCTCTGGAAGCCCCTACAACAGTGAGAACAAGACCCCGCCAATGATGAGGAGTAATTTACCCTCCGAGAATAGCATCAAACTGCTTGCTTCCAGTCGAAATTCTGGTTACCCTCTTGCGTTGATGATTCAGCTCCATAGCCGTGATGAACCCAGAAGCAGAGGGCTAGGACAGTCAGCCAGGGACAACACGCATGTACTCCGTAGCGATACGAACCAGGCACTTCTGGATAGCTTCCTTGACTTTCTCAACCTTGATCTCGCTGAAACCTCGAATCTTCAACAGAGTCTTTCGCGTAGCGCCATGGACCGACTAAGCGTATTAGCCTGGGGAGTGAGTGTATATATCCAGAAAGAGATCCATACAGCAACAGTGTAGAATCCATTCGCCTTGAGCTTTGTGATATCCGCTGCACTGATCCCTATTACATTATCAACACGGCTATTCGGACGAAGTGAGACGAGACGAGGCAAGAAGCGAGGACGAGAGCCCTGGACGTACCATGAGCCTGGATACCGTCGATATCAACAATGAAGTCCTGTCAAATATCGAGAAGACCAGAAGTCAGCAAGCCAAATAAATTATAGACAGAGGGAGAGGAAAGAAAGGACCTCTAGATCATCGTTGAACTCGTCGCCCGCATCAGATCCAGGCATCTTGTCACTGGATTGTAATTTGGGTGTAGATATGGAAGAGATTGACTATTAGGTATAAAGACAAGAATAAGGATTATAAAACTGAAAGGAAAATAGGATGGATTTGTTTGGGATGAAGATGAGCCTGGCTTGGAGAAGAAGAGAATTAGATGGAGCAAGTGCTCGAGAAGAGGGCTGCGTTGTGTCAACCCAAATAGGAAATGGTCAACTTGGTCATCATCAGACAACGTGCCATAACTACAAGAAAAAAATCAAAAGATATAGTATATGAGTTTGAAGGAATTTCTTTAGTTTTTGTTCCTTTCTTTGCTCCCCATTTTTGATAATACTAAGACAGCACCGTACACTATCTTATATAGCCATTCCGTACAAAAACACATCGTCCTCGGTCCACCAGTCTCTCTCACCCGCACTAAATTGAAATTCATCTCCTTGCCTCGTCTCCTTGAATGAGAAGGAAGATAACCCGCAGAAAGAACAATAGACGCCAATTCATGAGACTTGAGTCGTGCATGGGGATCCAAGTCATATGAGAACCTGGGACTTCGTGAAAACTTTTTTGGTTCGTCGTATACATAATATAAAAAAAGAGATGAAAAAAAAAAAAAGAACACCCGGTGCCAATAATCCGAAACAGGGCCATAATATATGCAAACAAAAGACGGGGGAAGAAAAATTAGGAAAAGAACCCTAATACAATAAGAGAAGAAGAGAATTGTTCCCCCGTTAGATGTGGGATTCGCGTTTCAAGGACACGTCAAGTGGTCCCTTTATGCGACAGCAGCGGCGGGAGCTGCTGCGACGGGAGCAGCCTCCGTGTTGGCTTCAGCGGCAACAGCAGCGGCGGCAGGGGCGGGAGTCGACTCAGCAGCTTGAGTAGACTCGTTGCTCGGGCACTCCCGAGAGATGTGTCCAGCTTGAGAGCACTTGTAGCAGACCTTGCCGGCAGAGCTCAACGGGCCACCGTTGGGAGCAGTGCAGTCACGAGAGATGTGACCCTAGGAATTTGTCAGAAGAGATCTATGGATAGACACTATTAATAGTGTACTTACAAGCTTTCCGCAAGCGTAGCACTTCATAGCCTGAGCCTGGCAGTCACGAGCGAAGTGGTTGGGACCACCACACTTGTAGCAGGTGGCAGCACGAGGGTAGCCGCCAAACCCACCGCGGAAACCGCCGTTGAATCCTCCACGAGGACCACCGACACCACGGCCAGCACCAGCACCAGCACCAGCACCAGCACCAGCACCAGGAGTGGGAGTACCACAGTTGCGCTAAAGAGACATGTCAGTCATCTCATACTTGCAATCCTTCACTCCATTGTAGCGGGATAGACGTACGGCAAGGTGACCAAGCTGGTTGCAGTTGTAGCAACGGCCGCTAGTACCACCGTTCAGACGCAGTGTAGGACAGTCAGCCTGGACGTGGCCAACTCCCTGGCAATTGTAGCATTGCTTAGCTGGAAGGAAACACATGTTAACGCTTGTACTCCACAACATTTGGATCCTGCGAAGGGGAGTTCCTTACTCTCGGTTGTACGAGGCTGCGGGCAGCTGCTGGACTCGTGTCCTGGTTCGAAGAATCAGACCAAAGCTCGGAAGAGGAGACGACATATGTTCGGTACATACCAGCCTGCTTGCCTATAGTAAAGAGTAACGCATTAGCAACAATCCCGAAATGAAACCATATAGGTGCGCAGTAAGGGTTCACTAACAGTTGTAGCAAAGACGCTCAGTTGAAGAGCAGACCTCTATTGTATTCCGTCAGCTAAACTTCCTCCATTTCCGGCGAATTGCTCCCAATTCCCAGGATATTACTGACCAGCGTAATGGCCAATGTTGCCACACTTGTAGCACGCACGACGAGAAAGCAACATCTTGACTGTATACTAAACTGATTCTTCTCCTCCAGTTAGCCGCTGTCAATGGACAATGCTCATGGTCCCGTGAAAGTCCGCATTGTAATGTCAAGAAGACCAAGGATTGACGGTGCTGGCTTTCCCTCCCCTCTCTCGATATCAACCGTTGCAAGACCGTTATGGCACTTGCCCGGACCATGCGACAGCCCGCATTGCTGCATCCGTGAAAAAGCGCCCAAATATCCCATTCCAACCCATATTAAATATCCGAGAGAAGCGAATCGGCCATAAAAAAAAAAAAAAAAAAAACTCAGGCGAACAATCGAAAAACCGAGAGAGGATCGTAGAGGAAAATCGCACGCAGCCCGTCAAACCCGATTGGAAAAAGCATCGAACAAAGCAAATAGAAGAGTTTCATACGGAAGGACCTTGAAGAAAAACTTACCCTTCCAGAAACCAACGAACGAACTCCTATTCAATTAAGATCTGATTTTCCGCTGTCAGTCCTGAGAACCTTGCTGGTAGATGCTCGATGGTGGTGAAAAAAAAAAAAAAAAAAAAGGGGGCGGAAAAAAAAAAACCCAAAAAAAAAAAGGGGGAAAAAAAAAAAAAAAAAAAAAAAAAAAAGCTTACCTGCTTTACAACGCGACTCTCAACACACAACAGCTCTCCAATTCCTCCAGACCACGAGCAACACAAAAAAAATGAACGAAGAGGTATTTCCTGAGGAAAATTTGCAGTAAATCTATGATGGTGGTGAATGGAAAAAAATAGCCCTTTCCCCATCAGGGCCCAATCGCTATGCAAAAAAAAACTTCCTCAATTTAGCTTCCGGGCTTTTCCGTATTGCGTAAAGGCTGCAGTGGCCCAGATTCCTGACAGGTAGCCTGAGGCATGAATGTCTGTTGTATACGCCATAGACTGCAGAGTACATACGATAAAGAGCTGATCAGGTCATTAAGATTAATAACACGGGTATAATATTTATGCTTCCTATTCGCAACAACAACAACAACAACAACAATACCACTTCCTCCGTAGACAGTATCTTTTTCATGAACGCGCTAATGCATTAAAATTATATACCTAATGCGTGCCGACAAAAGGCTTATGTTAATACTCTTACTCCTCCTTCTCGACAGCAGCCGGAGCCTTGATCTCCCGGCCTTTGAGGAACTCGAGTCCTTCACCACCCTGGAAATCAACCATTAGCGAAGTGATCAAGACAAATGACAGGGAAGTAACTTACGTAGCTGATCAAGGGAGAAACCTCAACACCAACGGACTGGCCCTCAGTGACAATGACACCACCGGCCTTCTCAATCCATCGCTTACCCTGCTCCATGATGTCCCGCTTGCTGGTGTCCGGGTCGTCCTCACCAGTGCCCTTGGCGTTCTTCAGAGGCGAGAACTCGTCCTCACGGCGGACCTCAATGGAAGCGAACTTGTCAAGGGGGGTCAGGGGGAAGACGTCAAAGACGAACTGCTCCAACTTGATACCGTTGGGCTTCTCAGGCTTGAAGGCCTCGCCATTCTCAGGCTTGATGCAAGGAATCTTCTTGCGGGCAACGTGGTGAGGCAGCTTGTGAGACCAGGTCTCGATAGACTCCAGGAAACGGAAGGAGTAGTAGTGGTTGACGATGTTGGCAGCGCGGAACTTCAGCACATCAGGCTGCTTGGGGTCCTTGGCCTCAGCAGTCTCTTGGTCAATCTCAGAGTACTCAACGACATCCGGCTTGCCGTTCTTCTGCAGAATCAAACCAACAGACTCAGTGGCATTGCGCTTCCGCACCACCTTAGTGGCAATGTCGACGTCCTTCGCGGCAGCGAAACCAATGAAGACAGGGTCTGCAACCTTGACCAAGCAGTTGTCAACACAGTATGTGTGGATGTGCTGGATGCCACGGTTACGCATGTTCTCCCGCACTCCCGAGGTGACGAGGGCCTGGTAGATACCGCCATTTCCATCTGGTGCGACGGCAGCCTATACACCAAAGCGATTAGAACGGAAGTCATGGTAAAATTGAAGGAAAGTGGTACGTACCTTCGACTTAGACTCCAACAGAATCTTACCCTCATTGGAGATACAAGGCAAAACACCCTGCTCGAAGATAATCACGTTGTCCTTGGACAATCCAAAGTAGTTGTTTTTCTGGAAGAAGTCTTCCGTAGGCTTGCGAGTCGGTCCACTGGTCATCACATACCAAGGAATAACCGCCTCCTTGCCCGAGACCTTTTGAGCCAGCAGCTGCAGTTTAGCAATCCGCTCACCCTGGATCTGGAAAAGCGACTTGTGGCTAGGAAGACCAATGTCAAAGCAACCCTTGGGGTCAGAGCTACCCAGACGAGTACCCTGACCACCGGCCATCAGAACCACCGCAACTTTGTTCTCCGAAACCGCCTTGAGACCTGCATCGTACCATTGTTGGATATCCTTGGGGTCCGAGTCGAGGATCGAGGCCAGAGCCACGTCGGGGAGAGGCTCGAGGGTAGGAGGGCCCTCGGGGGCAGCGGCAGGGCTTAGGGCCTTTTCAGCTAATTCATTGACACGGGTGGGATCGAAGTTGGTCAGTTGGTGGTAGAGCTGGGTCTTTTCAGTAGGCTGGAGTTCATCGACGAAAGCGAACACTTGGCCTTGTCCGGCTTCGGTATATTTCTGCTGGAGCTTCTGGAAGTCCTCGGCCGAGGGTTCAGGAAGGGCGGGTTCGGCGTGGGGTTGGAGCTTGCCCACGAGGTTGGAGACAGTCTCTTTGATAGCGGCAGCCATTATGATGATAAGGAGGTGAGAATACTGGGGAAAAAAGAGAGGAGGATAGATGGAAAGGAAAGGAAATGAAAGGAAGAAGAAGAAGAAGAAGAAGAAGAAGAAGAAGGGAGGATAAATTAAGGAAGGGAAAAGGAAGAAACAAAGAGGGGCGTTAGCTGATCGGGGACAGCGGGGCGTGAAGCTGTCCTCTATACTTGCACTAGTAGTACTAACGGTAGCAGAGAAAACACTGACCGCCACAAAAAAACTGTTCCTTGGCTGAAGGCAAAAATAGTAGTTATTCCCATACCTTTTTTAGACCAACCATTACCACACTTTGACTGGGACCATGTCTGACATCGCGGACTGTGAGTGGCCAGCGGATGTTTCTCTTGCTGTGGCGGGGCATAAAGTGAGGTTTGGAGTTTCGCCAACAAAGCAATTGCTGTAGAATGTATGTATGTAAATGAAGAGAGTTATGCAGACAATGCCTTACAGATGATTTACAGCTGGTCAAATTGCTCAGTCATACGATTTTTTTTTTTTTTTTGGCGCAATGGTACGGAGTACATGCATATACTGACCAGTAATGCACTTATTGAACTGTCGGTATAAACCATCTAATGTCGTACCTTTAACGTAGTAGAAAGAGTTTGGTTTTACATACACTATATACTGTGTGTTATGGACAGTAAACTCCATCACGCCAAAGAACTATACGCCAAAGAAGCAGTCTAACGACGTCGCCTTTCTCGGTAGTGATCATCATCACGACGATCACGTCCCCGTCGCTCATCACCGTGTCTGTCTCGACCCCGGTATCGATTACCACGGCGAGAGTCCTCTCGTCGTGGACTCCGGCTGTACGACCGATCGCGGTACCGATCGCGGTGTGAACTTCCTCGTTTCGGACTCGGACTGACTCTGCGGTCTCGTTGAGAGCTTTTTCGCGGGCCTCGACTTAATGAACGCTCACGGGAGGCAGGTCGCCGCCGGGCAGCCTCACGTTTGTCAAACATCATATTGTAACGGTCGTCATCATCGTCTTTGAGCTCGATTTCGGGGGATGCTCTATACTGGCGTTTCCTTTCAAGCTCAGCTACACCACCAAAGCCACCCCGTGGGCCCCCACGCTTAGTGATGGTGGCATTCCGCCAGCTTTCCGACAGCTTCGACACCTATTGCTAGTTAGACGAATGCAGCAACGAAAAAAAAAAAAAGCATTATGGTAAAGCTTACACTTTGAGAGAAATCCACGTGGATGCGATGGTCGTCAATCAAAACGCCCTGCATCTTGAAATATGCCTGCTCGCAATCCTTCTGATTCTCAAATTCGATAAAACCGTACTGCAGACTGTCACCAGTACGCTTGTCTCGGATGATCTCGCAGGATAGGATTTGCCCAAATCGACTAAAAATCAAATGAAGGTCCTCGTCTAGATAGTGTTAATATCAAGTATGAACTTATGAAGATGAAAGTGCACGTACCCTGCGTGACCGGATTTAGCTTGCAGACGAACAGAACATTCTCAGGCGGCTTGACTTCTGCAAATGGAAGATCTCCAACCATTTCTAGAGTCAATGCCTGTGCTCTCGCCTCCCGCTCCCGCCGCAGTGTCTCCATTGCTTCCTCATCCATATCATCATCCAGATCCTCATCATCGGCGATCCTAACGGTATCCAATTGGGCCTTGGTCGGTAACGGACTCTCAGGTGGCTCTACCAATCCTGAAGGATCATCATATGGATCGTCTAGGACGGCCGTATGACGGATACGAATATCCTTAAGAGGTCGACCCCGGTCATCAGTAAATGCCTCATTGGCTTTCTCCAGAACATCGAATCCCTCCACCACCTTTCCAAATATAGCCGCCTTCCCATCTAAGTAGTCCAGGTTATCGCCGAGTGTAATAAGGAATTGACTAGCTGCCAGACGTTGATCCGGATCGTGCGTAGCGGGAACTGTCGCCATGCTCACAGTACCACGCTCAAGATGCTTCAGTTTCGGGAGCTCGAGAGAGAATGTTCGCTTCGACGGGCCTTCCAACAGACCCCATATTGAGGAGCCGCCATCGCTCTCTGGGGAATCAGGTCCGATAGGGTCACCGGTTTGGAGAGAAAAGTTCTTCTGGACGTTATGTACGGGCGAGAAGTTATAGTATTTGACTTTACATAGCTTCAAAAAGCTGCAGCGGTAGAGAACAGGGAGCTGTTAGTTTCCGTTCAGCCACTCGACAAGACCACCACGCAAAAACAAAGGGTGAAAATGGAATTTGACTTACTTTTCGCACACCTTTGGAGACTCGTTAACCAACAGGTCAATGACAATATCGCCCAGCGAAGTCTCCAGGAGTACACTCATGGCGAATGCCCGGCGAGAATTAACAGTGCGTTCTCGTCCAACCAGAAAAAAAAAAGTAGAATTAAAAAAAATATTAGAAATAGTTCGCGGGCAGGCGTTGTCGTAGAGGTACAACTAAGACACTAACTAGCATGGGGGTATGTTCACGTACACGAGTTGCGTGTTGCGGTTGGTTAAGATGCCAATAACTAATGACGGCGATGATGCTTTTCTGCCCCGTTACCGCTTTAGGATACGCGCGCGTCCATTTTGCGGGCTGACTGAGCGGCTCCCGGGATCTACCATGATATCTCCGTGCTCTGCCCTTAACTGCTGCTCCCGGTAACCAAACCACCCATAACCCGGGAATTACAGCAAGAATTATATTATGGTCCGGACAGATGCACATGCTCACAACGCAAGGCAGGGACAAGGGCTGATTTGGCTCTTTGCTCACGTCAAAGCACTTAAACTCCGGAGGCCCGTCCCGAAGGCTCCGGTGTAACGGTTTTCTTCTCAATCCGACGGCATGAGTCGACTAGGGGTTATCCAAACAAAGTACGATTACTCTGTACTTATTTTCGTCGTACTTCTGGACGTAAAGTAAACGTGTTTGGTAGATATGCAGCACCGCGCACGGAACTATTTTTCGGTGAGGACCAGGGTCGAGGATCAAGCGCATGCACGCTCTGGGATTTTTTTGATCGTGTTCAGCCCCTACAATACTCCGTACACAATTCGGACCACAGAATTTATTGAACAAAGTCTCTCTGATAAGGTTTACAAGGAAAGAGAGGATCGACGTCAATCGGTTGCCTATGTTGACCCTGCACCGTTCAACCCATTGTGCGAAACAAATTCCCCTATTGCAACCCCATTTACAGAATTGGGATACGCGCCGAGAGAAAGACCGGGCGTGCAACTTGGATATCTCTTTACGCTCTTCAATGAGTTCCACAGCAAAGGTGTTGCAATTAAACGGTTTCGGTTTCCCTTTTGCAACATGCCCCAACGTCTGCGGCGCAGTACGCCCCATACATACCACGTACCAACACTGTCCAGATATAGAAGACACGTGGAGTGTTTCCAGTTTTGTATGCGGTGTGTTCGCTTTCACGTTCTATTTTGACAGTCAGAGGAGAAATATCGGAGTTGTAAAGTGACAGGTAAGTCGCACTGACATCCTGTGGCTGGCCCTATTACCAACGACAATCGCATCTCGCCATCACTATCGTTATTTTGTGGACTGCATTGAATATCATTTCTCTTTCTCGCCATTCTTTTCTTTTTCCTTTCTTGAGTGAGCATTAGACGCTTGGCCAGCCGATAGGTTGCACCATTCGACTTGCTGTGGATTCGACCATTCCCTAAACCTCACTATTACTGTACTTTTGGAATTGGCGTTTACAAATATTATAATAGTATATGATTTTGTGAATTTGGAATTCAATGAAAACGCTTGGCTGTTGTTCTGGTGGTTGAATACAAGACACGGATTCAGATTTTCCTCTCGATTTTTGTATAATTTTGTGCGGTGTATACTGCATTCTCTCTCTCTCTCTCTCTTTCTCTCTGCTCGACTGGAGACATTCCCATAGAGCTGAACCCGAGAACAAACGGTCTCAATCACGATCCATTGCAATGCAGGACATCATAACCCATTTCGATGGCAGCTCATTCATCTTACCAACAGGGTCTTATTCCACAAATCCCTGGACTGCATGCAGTTAAACTTTTTCTGTCCGGCGGCTGTCTTCCGATTTGCTCAACTTATGATAATATGATATGGATATTATTCTATACTCGTGTCTTCTTTGTTCCAGTCCATCTTTTCTTTTTTCTTCTTTCTCTAATTGTTGTTTTGCCTTGTGTGTGTCGGCCCAGCCTCGGATATGTAGTAGTGAAAACACTACTAGGCGCGAGACGAATACTCTCAAAATGACTCGTCCATTCCTGTCAAAGATGTTTTACCGACTCAGTTATGGAATTGATTCATCTGTGCGCTGGCGGGACTAGTTGGTGACCTGATCGCGAACTACGAAAACCGCCCTGTTGCGACGAGATTTTCAAACGTCCCGAAACATCAAAATGGCTGTATTGGAAAATCGGTTTGCCCGGCTTCATTTTCAAGGTTTTAGGGGAGGAAGACCCGATTGTATTGGTACTGTTCTGTTTTTTCCTTCCCCCTTCCATTCCTGCAAGTTGTCAAATAATCCTTGATCGCCCTGATAGGGTTCACGAACGCCCGACATTGTCGCCTGCTTAGCGAGCCGCATGCTAAAAAGGTTCCAGCCGAGACTAAATGACGGGTCCTTATCTGTTTGATGCTAAACTAGGAATCGCAGCTGTCAAGCCAATGGATCGACCTAGAAACAGGGCAAACATCGTATATTCTGCGTTTATTCCACCGGAAAGTGGCCAATCAATGCATGCATTTTGAGAACTCATGCAAACGTAGTCGGTGGAGGCCTTCTTTGCAGCGACGAACAGCATCTGGAACTTGGCCTGGACATTAATGGCAGATCTTTTTACTGCGAAGAAACGAAGGATATCCCTAATCGCGAGAGCAAGACGGACAAAGAAACAGCAAACACAGTGGAGCCTTTCTCTATCATGACCGGTCTAAAAGGCGTTTCGCGGAGAGCTTCAATTGCCCCAGTTTTGGACGATTGCACGCCGCTTAAGATTATCAGGTCACTTGCAAAGCAGTACGACGTTACTCGTGTGAAACAAGACCTCTAAAAATTCCGGGATATTCTAGATGTCTGGCCTGCCAGCACCATGTCGGGTATTCCAACCTTTCTCCGTACATGATCTGGGAATATGAGATGCGACACGGGATTCTGCATACTTGCTTTTCTTACCCCCTGGTACGACGGCGCAGCAGGGAATGACTGACAGTATCAAACTGATCACACTCTTCTTGTATGTATGAAAATGTACTAGTGACTTTACCGGTTTTGAGGGGGAACTCCAGATGGGGCTATGATGTGGAGTCTAAGCAGCCCTGGTCTGATGCCACCTGGGATTAAAATAAAAAAAATAAAAAAAAGAAAAAAAGAAAAAGACAATCGATAATCGACAATCAGCGTGAATCAATCCAGTCCATACTAGACCCCCATGGGCTCAAATCTTTGTATCTACATTAACCCCGAGACTCCTTTTAATGCTTGCAGGATCGACGAGGCATGTTATTCATAACCCCATAACCTACTTTTCTTTCTTCTCTTCTTTTTCTTCATCTTAATATTTTCTACATCTCGCTTTCTCTGACAAGCATCGTTGTCATATTTACTTTTTATATTTTTAAATTCTCCGTGTCTTGCATGAAACCCTCTGGATGAGGAACATGATTGCGTCTACTAGACCACTGAACGAAGCTATGGCTCACCAGCTCTTGTCCACAGATGAGAGGGCCAACCTTCACCATCAACATATCAAAAAAGAAGCCCACTCAGTTGCACGGCGCTCTTCTCGCCATGGACAGCAACGAGATTCCCTGAAGCAAATCACTGCTCGTGTCAGCCCTTCTCGAGAAAAAGATAACAAGGACCCAAATAAACGTCGCAGTCGACTTGCTGTAAGTGGAATGTCTAGCGTCGGAGGCATATCGTGGAGTGAAGCTCACAATGCCACCAGTGTGCCCGGTGCCGACAGCGAAAGATTAAATGCAGTGGCGAGAACGAGGATGGACAGGCTTGCACGAACTGTCGAAATGCAGGCGAAGAAACAAGATGCCATTTCTTGAGGGTGGGTTACTTGCTCAATCATCACGGGAAACTAAGCTAACCAGTATCTTTACGCAAAGGTCAAGGCAATGCATTGTCCTGCCCTGGGTGGTGCTGCAAACCCTTCGCCATCCAACGTCAACATGTATGCTCAAATGAACCAAAAGTCGGCTGCAGTATCGAATGTACGATACTCGCCGTATTCACGGTCGCCCAATTACTACATGGGGCCAGCTGACGCGCATCCTGCGTTTCCTCGGCAGCCATACGGCATCGAGCATGGTGTCAACTACGAGGATCCATCAGCTGCAGTCTATAACGGTCAAGCTGCTGCACACATGCTGCCTAGTACACCGCAGGGCGCTTGGAATGATTACTACGGTTTAACCTGGAACCCGAGGGGATGGAGTACGAATGAGACGGGCTTCCCGGATCAAGGAACAGAGAATCCCCTGATCCAATCGGCCTATTCCTACATGCTTGCGGGACAGGGGACCCATCGAAATATTCCAAGTCCTACGTCACAACCGCAACTGATGACTCCTTCGCCTGAGGTTACTTCTGGACTGCCTTACCCCCCAGAATACAGAGCCAGTGGAAGCCCTTGGGAGCAGAAATGCGATACAACGGCTCACCGTAGCCCAATGCAAAGCATCACGAACGAATCCTTCTCTACAAGCCCAGAAAACCACATCAAACTAGACCCAGGCGTCCAAGACATGGTCCTGGGCTACGTCCCGACGATTCTCTCACAAGACACAACCACTATCCCTAACGGCACATACCCAGCTCTCGACCCTGCAATGGTAGGTGACTTCCAAACACCGCCCGGTGCCCAATTCATGAGAACCTTCTCACGAGACAGCAACAGCCGTCTACTATCCATCGGAACCAGCAGTGACTACAGCCCATCGGACAGCTACCATTACAGCAGCAATGGCAGCAACAGCGGTAGTGAGCGCAGCAGTACCCATTCCGAAGCGAGCGACTCTTCAGCAACTACGCTGATTAACGGGTTGCCATATTCGCCTGTGAAGCAGGTCGATACTCATGCCCAGTCCGGACCACAGTTCAATTTGATGGCGTCAGATGCTATGGCGGATTATCACCCGGAGATGCAGCGGGCTCTTCAGGGTTATTGAGTTCGCCCGAGCCCAGGGCTACTTAGAATTTATTTTCTTTTCCTTTGTTTTGTGTTTATGTTTATTGGGAGGTGGCTTTCAATGGGCTGTTTCTTTTGTCCTTTCGTTTGTTCGCTTACGATTACGATTACGCCTACTGTACTTTTCACATGTATTCTGGTTCGGTCGTTTGGCTTCGAGTTGGGTGGCTATGTGGTTTGCTATTTGACGGCCCAGTGGTAACTAATTATGTGATTCATGGATGGGTGGCGCTTATTCTTTTTATTTGTCTATCGAATTAAGAGTCATACAAGTAAACAACCCAATCATCCTCTTCCGTTGGCTATTAGTAAACGCTAACCACACCATATAGTCGTATACAAACCACACCTACAAATCGCATCAGTAACTTGTAACTTTGCAAACTAGTAAAAGTAAACCAGTAACCAAAAATAACCGTAACACAACCAATCCAAATCTCAACCATCCACCCCACCTCACCAAAACGACAGAATACCCATGAATCATGATCTACGACGTTGGAAATGCAGTGCTACCATTCGTCGGCGGTTTCACCGTCCGGTCTAGCCGTACCGCACTGGCTGGTGTACTAAGTATGTATATGGAAAAGAAGGGGTAGCTCAGCATCAGCGGGGAAAAGCGGGAAATTGTAATCGTTGCTGCTGTGTTATGTATGGGCTTGGGTTTGTGCTTCTGCATCGGGGGAGGATGTGCCGGTGCCGGTGGTGGTGCCGGATACCGGATGGTGGAGGGATAGTACTCCGTGGTATTGATGCTGCTGATAAGAGACATCTGGGCTGGGGAAATTGGGGAATGGACTGATACTTTGTATGAGAACTCGCGCAGAAGAGAAAATGGGAATGAAATAAGTAGAGCCTCATAATATTCTTTCCCTGTTATCACCACGGCCATGAGGATAAAATATGGGTGTGGAACAAGTAAGTCATCTTGCAAACACAAAATACCACCTCGAATTAAAGAAAAAACCACAGGGTTTCAAAGCAGCAGGGTCATCAACAATTCCCCCTGGGAAAAGCCGCATTCCATTTCCTTTTTTTTTTTAAAAAAATTCCCTTTTTTGTGTGTGCAAGTGCAAACCGTAATGCGCGAAGAAACGAGAAAAAAGGTTGTCCATTTCCATTTTCCAAATTCCCTAATCCCTATAATCACAGTAAACCCCCGCCCATAATCACCAGCAGCACTATCGCCAGAAAGCGTCCGTTGGCGATTACATTTAGTCCTTGCTCTTCTTGGGGCCCTTGGTCTTGGCGGTACCGCGGAACTTCTTGGAACGGTTCTTTCGTTGCTTGCCTGTTGTCGAGAATAAGTATTAGCCTTGGTCCGGTCCAGTCCTGGCTATCCATAGTCCTCCTTCTCAAATCCCGGGATAAACATACGCTGCTGTCTGGAGGCCTTCTCGATCTTGGTAGCGGCACCGATGCGGACGAGACGGTGGTGAGGCTCGAACTTCTTCAGGGCCTCAGCGGAGTCGTAGACCAGGGCGAAGCCGGTGCTCTTGCCACCACCGTATTGCGTGCGGAAGCCGAAGACGGAGACCTCGTCCTTGTTGGCCTTGTAGAGACCGGAGAGCTTGTCGCGGAGCTCATCCTTGGAGACGTTGGCACGGTTGGGGTGGAGGACGTCACTAGAGAGGAGTATTAGTTTAATGAATTTTGCCTTCCTGATCATCCATCCCCCTGTGATAAAGAATCCTCTTGCAATTTTGACGGTATTTCCATCGAAAAAAATATCGAATAATATATCCACATGTCATTCCAATAACCACCCAAATCGATAAAACACCGAAAAAGCGATAAAAGCAGGAGAAAGAGAGCCTTACACGACCATCTGTCTCCGGGCAAGCAGAGGGTTGCGGATGAACTTGCGCGTCCGCAGGGTAACGGGAGCGTCGGCCATGGTTGTCGATTTCTGTGATTGACAGCGAGAAATCTGTCGACAAGTGACGAAGGAAAAAGGGAAAGTTGTTGGCGGCCGCGGGGGTTGTCGAAGTTCGCTGTCGATTTTCGAAGCCAGCCGGATTGCGATAGAACGAATATTCGTTGTGCACTGCTGTGGGCTCGGCTAGGGCATCTGCTAACCAAACACGGTTAGCGCGCACGTGATAAAAGGTTTGTGCCTGAGGCGGAAACTCCGCTCCGTAGTACAGACGAGACATGCTTTGAATGTGAAACAGTCGAATTCATGGTCCTTCTCCAATACACAGTGCCAGTATATCCCTCAAAAGCAAACTTTGCTCTTTGCCCAACCTATTTCTGACAAGACACGGCACACAAAACAATATCTTAGAGTTTGACATGGCACGACCAATGCCCGTCACGACTCAGTTGGAGTTTTCCTCTCTACTCTGGTTCAGCCCCAGCTTGGCTTCCTTGAGAATACATGCGCTTGTACTTTAGGATCAAGATGGCAATTATATTCATAGCTTGTACGACTACGAGCAAAACATTCTATTCTGAATCTCACCAAGCACCATATGGACGCTAGAAACGAGACTATCAAAGTAAGAAGATTATACAGCTTCGTGATGCCATAATTTCATGGTTTCGCCAACTTTCATCTCAAAGGGCTTCCCTATCATTCTTTGTCAAATATGACCACACAGAATGTCTGTCTTGTCATCTTGGACAGACCTAGCCTGTAGGCTAGCTCGGCCGCGTATTAGTCCTAGAATTTCGCCTATGGCTAACTGAATGGGCCTTCGCTTGATTTTCCGAGGCGTATGCCCGGCGAGCCCTTCTGTCATATCAAACCACGACATCACTTTCAGGATTCTCCTATCAAACCTTACCATAGCCTGTATCCGATATGATTCTATGAGCTCACCCATAGTTAACTGCACGGGTGACTGTTTTCCTTCTCCAAGCAATATGCTTACTCAACACTTCTGTCGAGTCATAGCTCCATGACACTTTTTGGGGAGTTGGAGCTTTGTACAAACTGCGAATGCTTTGCCTGATTCCAGGGACAGCGTCTATGTTCAACGTTAGTGTTCCCTTATCTTCCTTTGAAAAGGCCATGGTGCGTGCACAAACCTTTCTTCAAATTGAATTCCAAGGCCCATGTCCTTAAATATTGTGTCAACTTGTGTTAGCTCTGGCCTGGCATTTTCATCAACCATTATATACTCTGAAGAGTCAAGAGTGCTCCTTGCCTCTATGGAAAACACATTCAGGGTCGGATCTTTGGCTGCACATTCTATTGTGTCTTATGCACGTTAGTACGGCCCTTTTAAACGGATTCTCTGTGATCGTGAGATCAAATTGATTTCAGATTCATATATACAATTTCACATACTATTCTTTTATGGCATTGGCTTCAGTAGTAGAGTAGGGTGTTGTTAAGACGCGGAACCAGGTCGTTCCATAGTTCTGAACATGGCTTTTCTCTTCGGCACCCGTGATGCTTGCTGGCTATCACCTGAAGACGCACTCGTCAGAATCACTAGACCATCAGAAGAAAGTAAAAATGAACACGAGCAAGGACAAGAATGGAAATCGAATCGGATTCTGTATGTACATAGTTCAATCATCGCAGACAAGCACCTCACTAAGCGGTACCTGACCGGAAATACGTTCCACCGCCAATCCACATGCATCCCCAGACTTCTTCTATTCATCAAAAAGTTCAACTTCTTCAGTACCTTCCAACACCAGCAGCCAAAATGACCACCACAATACCAAACCTAATCGCACAATACAACCAACAAGTCCCCGCGCCTCAACTCCCCCTCCCCTCCGGCACAACCCTCCTCCACCCCGCCACCCAATCCACCATCTACGAGCGCATGTTCAACAAAGATAATCCACAGGCATGGCCATTACCGCCGGTAGGGTACCGGATGAGAGTGTTAAAAATGATTCTGGGGAGGTTGGAGGAGGCCATAGTTAATCCGGAGGAGGATGTACGCCCTTCCTTTCATTTTTTTCTTTTTGTTTTTGGTTTGATTTGAGGGTGTAGAAGTAGTGTAGTTGACATATTGTAGGAAATCATGGACGAGCTGGTAGAAACATGGGGTGAATTGATTACGCTCCCAAAGCCCTCGCAAATCCAGCAGGCGCAGCAATTAGGGTACATCAAATACACTGCCCCATCGCCAGCCCAGTCAGACCCCAACCAAGAGCCTCGAACAGTCATAACATCCGAATCCCGTGGCCTAATCCTCTCCTCCGGCACAACGGGTTTCCGCACCTGGGAAGCAGCCCTCCACCTAGGCACATACCTCTCCTCACCGTCTATCGCAGACGAACTTATCAAGGGAAAACGGGTCCTGGAACTAGGCGCAGGGACGGGCTTCGTATCACTTCTTTGCGCGAAATATCTCAGTCCGAAAGCGGTTGTTGCGACGGATCGCGAACAGGCGCTTATTGAGAGTATAGCGGATTGTGTGGGTAGGAATGGGATTGGCGAGGGGGTGTTGGTTCCGGGGATTTGGGAGTGGGGGAGTGAGATGGCTGTTGATGGGGTGGACGGAGAGGGGTTTGATGTTGCGCTTGGGGCGGATTTGGTATGTTTCTTTGGCCTGGGTTTATATACGGTATACAGGTTTGCTAACGGGGCGGATAGATATACGACAAAGATCTCATCCCGCTCCTTCAATCAACCCTAACTACGCTTTTCGAACGCTATAACCTCCAGCAATTCATCATCTCGGCTACGCTGAGGAATGAAGAGACGTTCCAGGCGTTTTTGGATGCTTGTCGTACGTCCCATCCTTCCCACTCTTCTAATTCACGCGCTAACAAGTGACTAGAAACGAACAACTTCAAAGTCGACCGGATACCCTTCGAATCACCACCAGAAGACCAGCAAACAGGATTCTTCCATTCAACCTCGATCCCGATAAAAATGTTCAGTATCCGGCGGTAGCCCTATCTACAGAAGTGATGACATTATGAGTGATGCTTAGATGATTACTCTAGCTTATTATGCGATTAGCTTAGTGTATTAGTATAGCATAACAACAAGATCAAAGATTCTGTCCAAAAAAGACAACTACTCCATCTCATGAACCCTCGCAGCATCCAACTCCGCCCGCGTCTCATTAGCCTCAAGCTGATGCACATTCTTACTCCGGTTCCCAGTAACATCATGTCCTTGTTCCTGTGCCTGCCATTGACCCTGCCCCGCATATCCATATCCATACGGTGGCGTAGCAGAACCAGTAACTTCATACGGCGCACCAGCATTAGGATCCCTAACCCCAGCACCCTCAACACCCGTACTCTTCTCTGCACCACCACCACTAGCGCCCTTTGCAAGCGACCTCCTCCAAAGGCACAGCGCTATACCAGCCGCAGTGAAAAAGGGCACACCCAGCCCAATGCCCAAACCAATACCAAGTTTCGTCTGCTCAGTCAGACCATCACCATTATCCTCGTTTGCTGCATCAGCGGCAGTCGTCGTCGCAGACGCACTGCTACTGGTCGAAGTCGCATTCGCAGATGAGGAAGGTGTAGCTGAGGTACTACTCGTAGGAATCGTGCTTGTTCCGATAGCCACGATTTGGCCATTACTCTTGTCGATCTGCGTGTAGTTCCCGGCTTTGCAGCAGTCGTCTGCGCTGGGGCCGCAGCAGAATTTCGTGCCGGCGGAGTCGCAGGCTGTCAATGCGATACCGGCTGCACCGTAGCCTATGCATCACGCTATTAGCCTTTCCCCACAGACTCATACCCAACACTTTCATATGCAGACACAATCTGCGCACAGGGAGAAAAGGTGACGTACTCGGACAAAGCTGCGAACAAGCATCCTCCGGCCAATCCGGATCCGAGCAATACTGTCTCGAATAGCCTCCATTACTACGCGAATGACAAAGCAGATCGACGTCGCAGTATTCGCTTTCCAGACAGCATGTTGTGGCGCCTGTGCCACAGGCGATTAGGGATCCGTCGCGGGCGGAGTCGTAGAATTCGGAGGAGTTTGCGTTGACGCCTGTTGTTGGTGGTGTTAGTATATTCTGGTGACTAGGGTGGATGGTGGTGGGGGAAGGGGAGGTGATGGGAGGGATGGTACCATTGTGCGAGAAGCAGTCGAGAGCAGCAGTCGTGGGGATAAGAGAAAAGAGGGATAATAAGAGAGTAGCGAGGCGAATCGGTTTGAGTTCCATTGTGAATTTGTTATATTCGTAGCCCCTGATATTCAATCCAATCCAATCCAAACAAACATCACCGTACATTTACATCCAAAAAACAAGGGGAAAAGAGAGAAAAAAGAGTAAGATCATAAAGCCCTCACTCAACAGACCCAACACAAAACCCAACCCTGCACGGCACCCCGGCTCAGCCCCTCTTGAGGGTACAGAATATTTAGCGCAAAATCAGCCTCGCCCCAGCCGTCGTGCGGTTTGCGGACTAGCATGCCTTTCTAATTGGAGTGCAACGATATTAGCCTGAGGCTTAGCGAGATCCTGCAGTGCGGAAATACCGAACAAAGCCAGTCAATTGGGTCGGTGGGATGTGCTCGGATACGATGGGTACGATGACTAGAGTGTTTCGGGAAGGGATGTGATGGTTAATGGGGGAGGGATCATGTGGGTTTTTGCAGGATGAGTTTTCTTGATACAAATGGGATTCGATATCGAAATGGTTAGCTATATAACTATTAAACAGGATACAAATATGTGTCTATATAGATGGTATCGGTACAGTCGTATACATATCAACAAAAGAAAATCATCAGTCGCCCGGTCAGAGTACAAAATGCAGTCAAAGTACAGTCAAAAGATAAAAACAAGAAAAGAAAGCTACTCAGCCAAACTCTCCCTCAATGCCCCCTCATCCACCACCTCCGCATGCACAGATATAGGTGGATGAGAGGACGGCCGGAACCCCATAATCGGGCCCTTTTGGTTCACGCCGGGATGCCGGAACCGGAACGCAGCAGCAGGTGCAGGTACACCCTCCACTTTGGTCTTGTTCTGGTTCCTGGTGAGCGCATTCACGGCTGGCGATGAGGATGGCGGCTGTGTTTGGGATGCAGGCACGGCTGGTTGAGGGGCAGCCACAGGCGCTGTTCCCCAGCGTCCTCGAACCCAGCCGCCGACTCGTCGGGTGATGGATGGTTTGCGCGATGGTGAGGTGCGCGCTGCTGGTGCGTTTTCTGTTTCCGGTGTCTGAGTCTGGCTCTGACCCTGGCTTCGACAGACAGATGCCAGCAAGCTGCGTGGGGAGTGGGGGTTCTTAGAAGGAGCCTCTCGATCAGCCGTGACGGTCGTCGTCGCAATCACCGGCGGTGTCGAGTACACTTCGCCGGACGAGAAGTTGCGACGATGGATCCCGGCAATAGGTATTGGTCCCGGTCCGCCCGTGCGGGAGCGTCGACGACTAGGCGTATGGATGTCCATACCAGCCACAGACAGCAGACTATCGTGAGAACCGCGTCGGCGGCGAAGGTACATGTCGGGCGTCACGGGTCGCTGGTTGTTCTCTTGCAAGTAGTCTTCACCCTCCTCTGGGATTGCGGGAACAGTCGTGCAGTGGTCATTGAGGGCGTCCAAGTTTGCAAGTTCATCCTCGATGGCACGGCCAAATGAGTCCTCCCTGAACGGCGAATCGAGACTCTTGCCCTGTCGAACCACCCCCTTGAACATAGGAGATAATTCTGGACTTGTTGGTTGGGATGAATCGAACCCTCGCTCCATCCGGTCAAAGATGGATGTTGGTCGGTTGTGGCATCCTGAATGCGGGGAGCTTGCCAGCGACTCTGTAGCAGACGAATGCGAGGACCACCGATGAGACGATGGAGGAATAGAAACAGAGGTCTGAGAGAGGATTGTCGACGTGGAGGAAACGGATGGTTGACGGGCCGAATGCATGAGGGCCGGATTACCCAGCGAGCGTCGCTTCTTGGTCAGCCGACGGCTCAGCTTCGGCTTCTCCTTCTTTGGTATCGACGACGGCGGGTGGTAGTGGTGGTGGATGTGGTATTCTGGGGATACACGAGGACCGTCCAACTCTTGGCTCAGTCTCTTGCCTACTGCCGGCTGGGATTCAGACGACGGTCTGCGGTCCTCTCCATCTCCATCGTCATGGTTCAGCGGGTGATGCGACAGAACCTGGTCGCGCAAGTTCTGAACCTCCTGGTTCGAACTCTCGAGCATGTCCCGCAGCTCCATGATACCAATCTGCAGATTCGCATTATCCTGCAAGATATCCCTGACAAAGCGCGAAACGACACTGGTCTGATGAGGCTGGCGGCCAACATGCTGGTGCACTGTAGCAGCACCCTTCAACCGTTCGGCCGCACCATCCAGCTCGCGCTCAACAGTCCTTTGCCGCTCCATACGTTGGACAAGATCCGCATGGCTCTCCCGCTCCTCACGAGCCTCCTTCTCCAGCCGCTCGACCTGCTCATGCAGCTCGCGCATTGTCGAATCAGCCTTCTTCCACCGCTGCGAAGCAGACTTCTCATCCTCCCGCGCAGTCATCAAACTATCCTGCAACTTTGACTGCTCCACTTCCATGCGATCAAGCTGCACCTCGAGCTCTGCCGCCCGTGCAGCACTGGCGCTAACGGTGCGCAGCTCAGCCTCGGTATTCTCCAACGCAATGGTCAACGAGTTAACATGCGCGTCGGCATCAGCGACGGTATTATTCAACGCATCGAGCTGCTCGACTAAACTCCTGTTCTCATTGATAATGCGCGAATTCTCAGATTGGACTTGTCGACGCTCGCGCTCGAGGGCGTCGATGCTGTCGAGCAACCGGCGACGGTCCTCTTCTGCCTCGGCAATGTAGGACTCATGGCGATGGAGGAGGGCCTGTAGTGAGAAGGTTAGCGACGATGAGGCTATAGGATCAAAAGCCATGACGTGACGGACTGGGAAGCATTGGGAGAGGACGCCGGACTGTAGCCCCTTGACCTCCATGGCATTGCATGTATACGGTATGTTAGGGGGAGACACAAAACAAAACAATAATAACAAATCAGTCCCTATTAAGAAGGACAATACATTGCCACAGTGATATAATGAATGGAGGAGGCAAGACCAAGAATCGAAAATGAGAAAAAAAAAAAAAAAAGCCACCCCGGCATGTAAGCTATTTGTATATAGGGTGCAGAATGGAGTATATAAGAGGGGCAGCAAAGACCAGGGATCTGATATCATCATCACCCTAGGTAATACAAAATGACAATACCAATAGTTTCCAACCAAATGGTCTACTATAATTAAAAAAGTGTCTTACCTGTCCCAATCGCGCTGCGGTCTCGAGGTCCTTCTCAACAGCCTCCAGCGCCAACTGGTTTTCGCGCAGGAATGCGCACTCGGGCTGACCACAACAACAACGTATAATGCCGTCATTATTAATCGGGTGATGATGTTCGTATTTGTATTCCATGGCCCCTTTTTTCTATTGATCAGAAAACGCGATGCAGCAGCGTCATTCGATCGGGGGTTTTCCCACGGTCAACGGAGAGACAGGGCACAGTCAGTCAAGTCAGAATTGACCAGCGAGAAGGCGTGAGTTGGCCTAGCATCAGATCCCGGATGAGACAGATGATCATCGGAGAGCTCCGGTTGGCAGTGGAGAGCTAAAAAGATTGAATAAGTTAATGTAATCAAGAGATCAAGAGAGAGAGAGAATAGGGGAGTGGAAAGCTGAAGATGTGAAAGTCAACTAACTAAGCGAAGTCAAAAGACGGTGACTGACTGTAATATTGTATTGAGATTACGCTTTTCGGCATGCCATCTGCATAGATTACATCCCAATACACACCCGTTACAAAAATCTATATACGAACACCCTCCGGAGTAAACATCGGACTCCGACACAAAAACAGCAAAACAACAGCAAAATATTAGAAAACACTGAGTTGTTACTTATAATCGCCCCAAATATGTCAACATTTATGAAACCGGCATCTTCACCCGACAAATACCCGGTGAGCTGGCCGCTGCCCAAGGTCAGCATGTTGTCTATCTGCATCTCCGATCCGCTTTGCTCCAGTCATGCCCTGCATCTCGGCTAGGGTAGGAACACTACGGACAAATTTCCCATCGTAACCCCGGATTGAACCGAATTGCCCATGCGAGCCGTAAGGAGAAGAAACAAATGTAGTATGTGCTCTGACATACATATGCTGAGCGGGTTCATCCGGATTCCATGTGGTGTACACGGGCTAGAAGACTATAGAAAAGGAAATATTATGATGCATGGAGTAGACTTTCATAATAAATACAGTCTGATCCAATGATATCCCGATGCCCATCATTGCAAAATATCATTTCGAACATTGATGAACGCCCCGGCACCCCCCTCGTCACTAACCTCATTCATCAGTGCCTCCGTTTGCTGGTAAACTCGCTCCAGCGCCGCCGACGATGCTTTCCCTAAAGAGACTGTGATGGTCATACCCGTCAGCTAACGCCCAAATGTTGATCGTTTTCAATGCACGAAAGAACACAAGGGACGCGAAACATAAAAAGCAAACAGAGTGGAGAGAGCTTACCTAAAATGACCGAGTTCAGCTCTTCAGCAACTGCCACTCGTCCAGCCGGGTCCAGATAATGTCCGTGAACCGATCGTCGTGGATCCGGATATGCCACTAGAGAAAATATGTCGTCCAGCATTTTCTTGTTGCCCCCGCGTTCGTCGGTCGGATAGTCCATACGCAGCTGTTGTCCGTATTGCACGGCCTCCGTCAGGAGCGTCTGGAACTTGGCTGCTGCTTCTGGATCGTCCGTATCCATGCCATCGGCTTCCCATCCGTCTCCGTCTTGCGTCTGGTCGTCCACTTCCATCTCCTGACCATACACGGTATTACCGTCGGAGACTCCGTTGGAAGCTGATTTGCTGCGCTTGGCTGCGGCTGTCATCGACAGATCGTTCGATTGACGCATCATCTCCAAGAATTTGCGACAACGTAATTTAAATTGAATGTGGGGGTAGTCTTCCAAGACTTTGGGGTAGTAGGCATTAGTATATTTCAGAGCTTTGTCGATATCGCCATCCAAAATGGCTGCTCGGATTTCTGCAGATGGTTAATATATCGAATTGACCGGGATGACTGAGGAAAGAGACTCACTCTGCCGATTAACCGCTTCGAGATCCTCTTCCACTTCATACTTCTTCAACGGATCTCCATGGCCATTCAGTGCCGCTGTCTCAGCCGCCACTTCTTCAGCAAAGGCTCGAGCGGTCTCGACGTAACCATCATGAGCCAGGAACTGAGCCACCAGTTCATGAAGAAGTGCGTCCTCGCCCAATGAGGGTCGAAGGTTCGCAGTACTGGTGCGGCTGATATCCGAATATACCGCTGCTTTTTCTCTCTGCTTCGAGTTAGCTTTATATATAGACCATCCCTCAGAAGTGACATACCTTAACCATGCCATCAATGTCAAACATAAATGGATGTTGTCCAAAGTTGGAGATCAGATGAACAGTAGGATGTTTCTTCATCCCTACTGACGGGTACAACTTCATGTTTTTCAATTCCCGGAATGCATTTCCTACCAATATCAGCACCTTGCCATGATACATGGTTGATGATACATACCAAGAAAGACACCATTCTTGGTGAAAAACGCACATCCCGTGGCAAAGTTCACACCACAGCCGACAGTATCATTTACACCGAATGTTGGACCATATGGTCGCCCCTGACCCTGATTCTCTCCAAAGAATGACTTGCCATCATCTCCATGATAGGCCCATGAGTCTGTCTCCCACCCGGGGAGTCTCTCGTTCGACGCTTTACCACCAGAGAACCCAATACCAATCATTCTAAACAATTAGCCGATAACGCGCTACAAAGATCGTCCAAAGAAAACATACCCATCCTTCGGTTTCGACAAAATCATAACCTCAAAATAATAGATCCCACACTGCGGCGGCATCGGATAGTCCGTACGCGCCGCAGCTGCTTCATGCTCATGCTTATTGAGCGGCCCTGTGTACCGAAGCTCCAGACCTCCATGCATCATCTCCAGTGTCGGGTATTTGTCCGTCTCACTCCACCGAGTGGGCAACGGGGGAATATGGTCGTCGATACTGGGTGGTTCTCGCTCGATGACCTCATGGGTCATGCCGCGATGGGACGGAGCTATCCGGGGTAAATTCGCATGGCTCGAGGTGGACGACGGGGAAGAAGATTGTGCTGAGAAAGGGTTCGATGGGAGGGGGATATCATCGTTCTCGCCGGATGCGATTCGAGCTCGATGGTCGGCCTGCAGTCGGGCGGCGTAGCTTGAGTTCCGGAGGTAGGAGGGTGTGAAGAATGGGGCGGGATTGAAAGGGTCGTGTAGGCTGCCGGGGCCGTGAAGGAAGATATTATTATGATTGTTGTATTGGGCGTAGCTGGCGAATTTTCGAGAGTAAGGAGGTAGGGGGTGTTCGGTCGTAGTCGTAGTATTATTGTTGCTATTGTATGTCGCCGTCGTTCCCGGCCTCCAAGCAGCGGAATTCATCTGCATATCGGCATTCAGCAGCAGAGGAGAGAAGGGACTCTGGCCGTCAGAAAAGGGATTCGGGAGGTGGTTGTGATTGTGGTCCTGAAGCTGATGACGGAAAGGCGGGGGTAGATAAAGATGATGACGATGGTTGTCAGGCAGATCCCACGATAGACGGTCAGTGGTAGTATTCTCAGATGCAGTCGCGGCGCCCGACAGAACAGAAGCGTAGGACAGACGGCGGAGGTTGGAGGAGAGAAAATTGCTGGGAGGGGGATTGGAGAGTGTTGAGGGAGTCGCCGTTGTTATTGTCGGAGGAGCTGCTTGAGATCCACCCGCCGATAGTGATGTTGCTTCTGGTGGTGATGATGGCATGGAACTCATCTTGTTCAACACCACTCAGTCTGGCTCAAATACTGCCAGAATTATCGGGTTTCTCTGTGGATCGCGTGATCAATTTGATTTTCACTGCTTTCCCCCTTCCTGATCAGTGTTTGTAGAGTTTCCGAATTGATATTGCGAATGCAACCGCTTTCGTACAGACAGCAGCCACCTAATTAATTCTACAAAAGAAAAAAAGAAGAACAAGAAGCATAGTATAAAAGAGGGGAAACGCGACGAATAGAAAGATCTATTTATCCATACAGCCCTGGATAGCCGACTGTACGACGGTCACAATGGCCATCATTAAGTCATGCGGGGAAATCAGATCATGTATCATCGTTAAGAGTCAGTGAATCTATGCAGAAGGTTCATTTACAAGGAACAGGATAACAGACACTAGATGACTGTTACTGTGAGCCCATCTCATCTCGCTAGATGGCCCAAACAGATTCAGACGATACTACAAATACAGTAGGCACGATAAACATTTCAACCACATCAAGCCAACACAAGATTAGCAGTGTCAAAAACAACTTTTGATAAAGCATTCCAATCCGGTTCCGTACATTCCGGCCCAAATAAAAAGCACTTAGAAAAAAATCCAATAATTCCGGTTTTCCGGATATAGCCCTAATGATACAAGAACCAGTCAAGCCTGTAATAAACAGACTTGAGAACAGTGAGCCAAAACAAAAGCATCACCGACCAAGAACAAGAAATTAATAAAAAAAACCGAGTGTGGACCGACGCCAAACAAACCACAAAGCAGACAAAACGCCTGACCGCTTCAAAAGGGGTGAAAATAAAGAGAAGAATGACAACGGAAGATAAAATAATATACATGAAGAAAATAGAGATGCAGTGGCAAAATAAAGCGAATTCGAGAACCGGTGGCTAGGTAGCCATAGGAATGGCTGGAGACGATGCTTCAACCATTGGCGGAGGAACGGGGGTGAGACCGCTATCCCCCGAGTTGCTCTTCTCACTAGGGACATTGCTAGCACTGTTGTTGATTTTGCTGTCGGTTTCAGTCGTGTCGAGAACAGCCACCTTGGAGTCGCCATTCTCTTCGACCTTTGGAGGCTTGGGTGTTCGCCAGCTAGGTAGCTGCCAGTGGATCCCGGTAAAGCTCTTCAATTGGAGAGGCTTGCGCTCCCATTTGCGACAAGGAGCACCGGTGCGATCCAGGGCACGGAGACCTGCGTTAATAGCACCAGCGTTGGCTTTAGGACCGAGTCGGTGACCGGTGGCCACTTTGGGTTGTTCCATAGTTCCATCGTCACTGTTGAGCGTTAGCATACAAGTACTTGTATCTGCATGGGTTGGGGAAGAAAAAATTACAGTTTTTGCTTCTTTTTCGGGCCTGGCTTCCCTCTAGGCTTGGGTGCCAAATCAACCTGGTTGGCACTTCGCTTGGCTCCCGGCTTTGGACCCGGCAATCCCTTCCGACGAGGAGTGTCCGTGGACGCTGCGCCTGCAGGCGTCGAGTTCGCATCCGAAGCGTTGTCCGACGGGGGAACGGGCGCATCTGCCATGGATGAGGCAGGTGAGTCCTCTTTCTCCTTGACCGGAGAGGAAGCATTTGTTGTGTTCATATTCGAATCAGTTGGTTTGGTAGGTGTGCTCTTCGAAGAATCACTGGGAAATCGACTCAAGAGTTCAGGTGACAGCTTGAGAACGATGACCGTCTTAGTGCTGTCTGTCCGGCTACAGCGACCGTTAGATGCTGACGCCATGACTTGGGTGTAGGCAGTAAAAAGTGTAGATGTGGTTGTAGAATAGGCAGAATGGAAGGGAGAATTAATTCTTTTTTCTCCAAGAATTGTTTCTCCCTTATTAATTCCTGCTTTTGGGTCGACCGGTCGCAAGAGACTGGGAGTGGGTTGAGGTCAGAGTTTTGCGATGCTCGGTTGAACTTTTAGTCGGGACGAGCGTGGCGTGGGAGATTAATCGGTCCAAAGGGGGGAGGGAGAATAAGAGGAATAATTATATAGAAAGAGAGAAAATGGGTGAAAGTTGAAAGTCAAGTACGGTGGACGTGAGGTAAAAAACTTGGTCAAGATGAGGCAAAAATCTGACGAGGCTGATAATCAAGTGAGGTAGAACGGGGCGAAGGTGACATAGTCCGTCTATCTATCCGAAGTTGACGATAGTGGTGATGGTGAGGTGAGGGTGGTGATAGTAGTATTAGTGGTAGGGAAAGAAGTGATGAAGAGGAAAGAACGGAAAGAAGGGAAAGGGGAAAAGGAGCGGAAGAAAGGGATGCTGGTGTCGAGGCGCCGTGGAGGACCATTATTTCTGGCGTGTGTTGACTTTCAGTCTGTGTGTGTAAAGAGAGCGAGTACTGTGGTTGTGTGGGTGTGGTAAATGCCTGAAAGGAAATTGCCTCTTTCGGACGAGGCGCTTGGCTTGGCCGCGGACGGAGGCGCGTCTGTTACGGTTTGTGACGCGGTATGTAACAGTTCTTCTATGCCGTGGAACGCTGGCGTATGGTTCCTGACGGTATCATACGGTAATATCTCGATCTATTCTATCTCAGCTTTCGTAGCTATGGCATATATGGCAAACTTATACTTGTGCAGCAGTATACAAGTAGAGGTATTTGTTGTGAGAATATTCTTGCTTGCTACTTGTCTGCCATGAATCAATACAACGGTCACGGATGACGGTGTAATAACCGACGCGTCCGTGGATGGCGATGGAGACATACCTCCCAGCAATCCCGTCCCTTTTTGTCCGAAGATACCAATTCACGCTTACCTCTTACTCAGGAGACCGCGAACACCATTGCCATTACCCCTTCGGGTATGATCCCACGCCGATGATCTGGCTGGGTTCAGAGTACAGAATACAAGCAGAACAGCACTACTCGTAGAGTGTAAATATTAGATGCATCAGATCAAAGACACCGACATTCGATACAGTTGACGCTTCATCATCCAAACCATGTCAGAATAAGCTGCAGGCACGTGATATCAAAAGTGGCTACATCAAACCTTTTTACATACAAAAGTACCAACAAGTCCGATATGGTGTAATGGTTAACATCGCCGTCTCTCACACGGCAGCTCGGGGTTCGATTCCCCGTGTCGGAACATACAATCGGTTTCTTTTTTGTCTCGCTTCGAGATTCGAAGGATGTCGATCTATTTTCTTTTTCTTTTTGTCGCTAAAACATATTCACAGCAGTTTATGGAATGTCTTTGAAACATTGTATCAAAATCGAGCTACTCAAACACCAGTTATTCCATGCCCAAACGAACCATGCAACAAATGAAATGCGTCAAGTCGCGATGGCTCCTTGAGCTTCACCAAGACCCAATGGCGAAAGACTCAATCAACATGACCACCCTCCTCCTATCATCGTTCATCGTCTTTCTGTTCAATATATTTTCCCTACCTATCTGGTATGTACAGATGCTTGTTGAGCATACGATCATCCATAGTCAACAAAGCTATTGGCCCATACTCTAATGAGGTTCACTATAGGGCTCTGTGTATCTGTGATGTTATCTGATTCGCATTTTTTTTTTCAAGAATAAGAACAACAGTCGATGAGAAGCAAACATAAATGACACGAGCAACTCTTAACGTTTTCTACCGAGCTTGAAAAGAGCAAGTATTCTTATAGATCGGTCAAAGTTACTATAACGGTTCACTGGCTGCCAGCACCGATGAACGAAAACCCAGAGTACTTGGAGACCAATATGTTCCTGGAGCCATCTCTTCCTTTTTTTTTTTTTTTTTTGAAGAATCGTATTGCAGCAGAATGATAGACTCCCAGTTGACTTTACGAGACTTTTGGGGAACCACCGTAATTCACACCCTAACGTTGTCCATAAAGGCAAACCCAGCCAGTTTTTCTCCCCAATATCCGCACTCGCACAGTCAACGATTGATGAACTTGATCAAAACAATCATCACCGACGGGCTGGTATTAGTACATTATCAACCGTACACAGCCTGGGAACTTAAGGTAGTCACTCTTCTGTAGCAGGAGTTGTCTCGTGAGAATAGACTTCTGAACTGTAAAATGATTACTCCATACAAACTATGTAGATACCAGCGCTGACAGGAACTTATGCCTTTTGATCATCATCTACAACCTCACACGATGATATGTTGAATGTCTTCTCAATATCGTCGAATTCCGACTCGCGCCCATCATCCTCACACTCGTCCAGTAGTCACTCGTTCCGTGGCTGGGATCAGCGTCCTGGACGTCACACCAAGAACCCTGGTCGTCTTCGTCTCTAGGACCATGGACACGGAAGTACTCGCGATCATTAGACGGCGCGTCCTTCACCATATTCTCCGCAGCCTCAGGAAGCCACCCGTTGATGAAGTCTCCGTGCATACAATACGAGCCACCACAAGAAAGCTTCAGTGGAGGGGCTTCAGACCAACCATCTGGAAGAATAGACCGCAAGTCATAGCGGATAGAGAAGCGCAAGCGAGGAATCCGATACATGCCAATCGGGCAGCGGTTCTCGCCATAGCCATCCACCCAGTTCGGGTTGGCCGAATAAGCGTATTTCAGGGTCTTTGGGTTCGCGCAGTCTGGGAAGAGTAAGAGTCCTTGCAAATGCGCCCGGCATGTCTTGGTGGGGAACGCTGCATCGTCCGTGTCTTCCGAGTCTCCTTCTTCTTCCCCTCCGTCACAGAACCACTGGACGCCGGCGTTCTTGTCGAGATGATGAGGGGACGTTGCGCTCACGTTTCCTGCTAGGATTTTCAGATTTTGAGGAATTGGGATTTCGGCGCTATCGAGCTCCTTGTAGTAGGCGCTGAATCGGTAGGGCTTGATTGCGGTATAATTCGACCCGTCCACGTAGTAGAGTGCCGGGATCCCTTGCGGTTGAGTTAATCTTGATTCGTCTTTTCGTATCCTTTAGAAAGAACTCACAATACGTCGAGAAATCATTGAGGTTCTCGGCTGTGGTGCAGCCGCCCTGCAACTCGGCAGAGGTCTTGGTGTTCACATTGATAGCATCTGAGCCAAAAAAATCATGCATATGACTGGTATATTTGCCGGGAATCACAAGAGGATCAATGTTTTTAAACATAAAATGGTCTGCATTGATGACAGTGTAAGCCTGGGAAAGGCCCACGGTCAAGGAGAGGAGAATTAGAGGATACATAGTCAATACAACAACAGGAATAACAAGAGAGACCCCATGGTATTTTATCTTTCTTGAATGTTCATGGTAGCAACAGAGAACATTCTATATAAAACAAGCCCCATCGCGTATCTGGTACGATCCGGCCTATAGAGAAAGATTTACTTATTCTCCATTCTTGGCAGCTCTCATGGAGGTCCGGTGTCAAGGATTTAATAAATCTCGGCATATACTAAGAAAAAACAAATGAATTAGAAGCGCTGTCTCCATCAGTCTCCCCCACCCATAGTCGAAAAATCCGATTGCTAAAGTCGTGCTGCGTCAGCATGAACATTCAAGCACGGCCAAATCACTAATACAGTCAACTTGCGGCGCGTACAATGGACACTTTTGAATTCCTTCGATGACTGTCATGATGTTGTCTACAGTGGCCCAGACCATATCCTGCTCCAAAGCTCGAGTGTCCCGATGTCGAACACAGTTTTCGTCACCTGCTGCATTGATAGACCCTGCAGCCATGTGGGGATAAATGAGGTATGATTTTCACTGGCCAAAACGACCATACCAGAATAGCCAGCTTGAGCTACTATGCGTTGAGGCCGAAGAATGTAATGCGAACGCACGAATATCCCAGAGCATATGTAGAGCTGTAAGTTGCGCGGCTCCTAATACGGTAGTCTGGCGGAAGCCAGTGTTACATGAAATGGGTTCCGTCGGAGGTTCAGGGGAAACCAGAGGAGTCGATCATCCGGCTGCACGAGGCCTATATGTAGAAGACCCAATTAAAACGAACGATTGATATACTCTATCTAATGTAGCCTAGAGTACACGGGTGCTTGAGTGCTTGATGAGTGCTTGTCTTTCTATATGTGGCGAACGCTGGCCATATATCGGAGGTTCGCTAGTCGGACTAACGTTATCCCTTTGACCCGACCTATCAGATCTCATCATTACAGACCTAGCCACATCAGCCTCACGTGACTATGCAGGGATTTAAGGCATAATCACTGGACAGCAGGCTGCGATGGAAATGCAGGAAGGAACAAGGATCAAGTTGATATTCCAATGAAGGGATCACGTGACTTCCTACCATTTAACCTACCAAAGGAATGGTATACAGATGGTATACGAAATGGTAGGAAGCGAAGGATATATAAGGACACTCGTTCATGTACTTAGCTTAGTTCTTCGCGATCAATACAAGTCATTCAGCATTGGTTACCTTCTAGTTTCTGACTCGTCCGCACTTAACCAACAACTCAGTATACGTACTCGGTTGGCCTTGTTTCTCTATTCGCTACCTTTACCGTTCCTACTTATTGATTATCTTACGGAGCCTGGAGGGGGCGATATACCCATCGACGCATATGTCTTACTGAACCGGACCCGGAGGGGCATTAAGCACACAAATACTTGGAAGACACTTAGGGTAAGTGTCCTGTCTCGAAATACAACTAACTAGAACCCTAGGTACGATACGAGAGAAGCCAGGTTGTGACAGCCAAATGAGCTTCTGGTTGTCACGACTATGTCCCAGAGGCGCACCTCGCCAGAATCTAGAGTTAGGACTAGGGTCAGAGCATCAGGTGCCCAGGTACACCATTTGATATTCCCATCGCTTCTGATCACAAACCTGCAGTCTCCGGAACCTGCATCTCAAAGCCGAACTGTCAGACTCCTGATGTTGGTGCCAGTATATGATAGCTAGGGGCGAAAGAAACGATCTTGGTGTAATCTTGATGTCCTCGCAAGACCTTTCTGCGGGTCAAAAACACTGCGCCCAGAAGTTCCATCGTGTGAGCCCACAACACTATGACCAGGGAGTGACTATCCATAGAGTAGATAAGGCCTGATACGCAAGTTCGTTTTCTCTGAAAAGCTTTCACGCAGGCTCCAGTATTGGCATCTAAAAGCTTTGCTGGTTGTTCATATGACATTGGACACAGATTTTCACCATCAGGTGACTACTTAATATTCTTTATTAGGCCGATCTCTTCATGGCGTATCTTCCAGGTGCTGATGGTCGTATCGTATAGATGGATTCCGTAAGAGGTTGTAGCAAGGATGCGACCATTTGGCGACATAGCCATAAAATAGACCGAGGAGAGATATCCCTTTTTTTCTCATTTCCCAGTGGTAGGGTCCTTGCACCAAGGGCTGTAGTCATCTTGGGCAAGTCCAGGGATCTGCGACTGGAGATCTAAAGTAGAGGCTTCCAAGCGCCTAGTCTCTCGGTTCATTGTACGGATACACGCCTCCATATATAATAGTCTAACTAGTCGAAAGAATACGACGACGTCGGAAGCCAGGCTAATTTCTGCCAATATCTTTATTATGAAGCAGGAATAATTGTCCTTGTCTGGCCAATACAACAGCACCCAGACTGAAACAAATGCCTGCCAGCCCACGACAGCTAGGAAGAAAAGGTAGTCCATTAAGCGATTGTTCACGCTTAAAGATGAAACAAGAGCCTGATTGCGCGACAAGCATCAGTACTCGACCTATTTTCAGAGTCATCAATTGAAAGATTCAAGGCACTGAAATTGGGGTCCCAAATGTACACCCTTCCCATACCACTAGCTAATGTCAAAAGCCGACCATCTTCAGAGAAAGCCATGGATCGATAAATTCATTGAGATCAGACCAAATCGCTATCAACTACCGCTGGCCAGATTAATAATGTCTGGTTCAATAACATTGTCCAATTCTGCCTAGGTGTACCTAGGAATTTAGATTTTATCTTACATCTGGCTACGTATAGTGATGTTGGGCTGAATATAATCGAACTATCTGCGGCCCCAACGTAAAATTCAAATAATATATTAAATTAAAAACCTCGGAATCATGAAAAGATTCTTCAAGTAGGGAGTCCTGTTTCTGTAGGGTAGGTAGACAGTGCCCTTTCTGTTTACAGCAATCTTCAGACATCATAGGTTATGTATTGAGCACTCCTTTCGATATAATCTACCAACTGGACTTGTGGGTATACTCAGTCTCGTGAGGCATTTGCTACACATTTCGCTCATAACTGACCGATACTTCGTCTGTCCTCTTAATGCCTGCGGCGCGCCGAAGAATATCCTCATTGCTTTTATTGATAGCCCCGAGGTCCATGATGCTTCTTGGGTAAGAAACATTAGTTGCCTCGACTCCAGATGGCTCATGACCAGATTTCGAAAGTCTGCCGTATTTTCGGCCACTGCCATACATGGACAATTTGTAGGATGTGTTGCCAGAGGAGCTGCTCTTGCCATTCTCCCCGTACCTGATTTGGATGTAGAGAGGGCGCAAGATGGGAATCTAGGAACACATGATCGTGACGCAGCTCTCGGTAGCAGACCAGATGAGCATTGGCACGGTATCATCTGAAGTCCAGTCAGCTTTACGAGAGTCAGAAGATGTTTAGGGGAGAGAACGTACAGATGTACTCAGATGCACTCAGACCTGACAGGGCTACGGTGCGAATGATGCCGCATATACCGGCGCTGGAGCACATATGTCAGACCACAATACAAGAGAACGAGATTTGGGTGTTCCTTGCTTACAATACTCCAAGGCTGAGACCACAAGCAATAGTGATCTTCTCCTTATGCTTCATGTTGAGGTCCCAGATAACGAACCACGGGAGAATCGCGAAGGAGAAGTCGGCGGCGACGAACTATGCTGCAACAGGGATCAAGATTAGCACTCGTAGATACCAGTAATAGGCAACACCGCGCAGCACTCACACCCGACAGTGTAGCCAATTTTAGAGAAATCAAGCCAGCAATTTCCTTCCACAGTTGGGTTCCAAATTTTCTCAACTGGCACACACTGCACGACAACAGAAATGCTGGCGAACAACGTGATAATAACAGTGGTGATGAGGCAACCCCAGATAAACCAAATCTGGATCCGATTCCGCACGATTCGAAGAAGAAACACGCCAACAGCCAATTTACCCACGCCGATAACCATGATTCCCGCCACCTGACTGAACAATTCATACTTGACGGCTTTGACATATATGACCGGATCACCGACCTCGGTGCTCGGGCGTCCTAGATCATAGTGGCTCGCAACGGTGACGAAGACAGTGTAAACAATATGGAGAGCCTGTGACACGTTAGTTCTCGCATAGTAAATGTGGCATTATTGTTGTTGCTCTCACCAGTGCAATGCAGCATAGATAGTCATCAACGCCGACGGCATTCAAGATCTGTTGTCGTGTATAGAGCCTTAGCCCTACAAAAACAGCAAATATGACGACCACCATCCAAAGGACTCCATTGGCCATGGGTCCTAAGCCTCCGTACGCACTCATATCGAAGATGACCACTCCAGGTTCATGAAGAGAAGATAAGGCCCGTTGAGGTTAGAGAAGAAAGAATGTCACCCCTGACGAGAAGCTGTGGCCTCGAAAGTATTGGTATGGAGGTATCCTTGTCCTTTTCACTGAGCGACATCAATTCAAGCTCCTGATTGAAGACGTAAGTACGCCAAGATCCAGGCGCAGTGGTCATGATGGGTTACATGATATTCTACTACTTGTCCGAAAATAAAGCACGCCAGGATTGAGACCAAGGCAGAATTTGCGTGGGGATTTGCACATTGTGGTCTGTAGAGTCCTATATATGGAGGGCCATACCCATCCATTGAGCCTCGTATTCATAGGTTCTAAGTCCCTTTAAGCCATGGCTCCACATTCATGTCATAATAGGCGGGTTGTAGTATTTTCAGCAGTTAGAGACCCACTTCGAGTCTTGGACCTGAGCCGGGGAACTCTACGAACTTCCTCTGACAGAATGGCACAAATAATGATCCTCTGCGCTGGCCCCGTCGATGCCGATCCTTCTTGGAATCAGGTCAACTAAATGCAAGTCTTCGCTCGGATGCAAATACGTCTCCCGAGATTACCTGACGATCTTCCTGCGGGATGTTTTGAGTTTTGACAGATAACGCGCGGAAATGGTGCAGAGGCAAAGGCCTGCCTGACATTGTACCTCCAAGGGTTAAGGGGACTGATTATGGGACATTGTCCGTTAGCAGTGAGGGTGGTCACCGTTAGCCGGGCCCCAATTTCCCAATTAGACAATGGGCTTAAATTGGCGCTGCTAGCGAAAGTAAGATTCTAGGTCACCGGCCATGGGATGGCCTTAGCCCAACGTCCAATACGGACATATATACCGCAGCCCACACCGTCAGTCTGGGTTGGTATAATAATATTCCTATACTATACATTCCCCAGGAATTCAATTTACAAGTGAGATATGCCGAATCGAGCCCAAGAAGTCATTCCTGCCCTTGATGCAGTGAACCCTGAGGCATTTAGCGACAACGAAGTAGAACGCCTGCAGGTGCGCGCCGCAACACGTCGACTGCTCGCCAGGGTGGAGACACCCTATGAGCGTGCCTGGGGCTTCTGCTTCGAACATCCTGTCGTCTTCGCCGCTCTGCAGACATGCATCGACCTGGGCCTTTGGGAATCCTGGACGAGCACTGGGGGGTATGAGAAGTCCATCAACGAGCCGGTCCAGCTTACCAATGCCACCATTGATACAAACCTGCTGCGTAAGCCACATTGCCATGTGAATATCATCCAGCAAGACTCATCAAAGGCATACAGGCCGGCTCTTCCGCTTGCTAGCAGCCTTCAACATTGTCGAGGAGACAGCGGAAGACAATTTTAAACCGACAGCATTCTCGTACGCCATCGGCGACGAGAGCACCAAGGTTCGCGCCTCGCTTCAAGCAGCGTAAGCACGCACTACACGCATCCTTTAGCTTCCCCCACTATACTAATCTCGTAGCCAGAACATATCAATACCTTGCAGCTGGCCACAACCTGCCGGCCTATCTGGCCAAGACCTCCTACAAGGAGCCTACGGACTTCATCTCGAATAATTACTCGGACGCAGACCCTGATGGCCTCAACTTCTTTGGGCGACTCCAGCAGAATCCCACTCACTATGAAGCTTTCACCGGCCATATGGAGGCCTGGACAGCATGGAAAACCCCATGGACCAAGGTATACGACACGGCCCGACTGCTTGATGGTGCGAGGTTGGACGATGCTTCTCCATTCGTTGTTGATGTGGGTGGTAACACTGGGATCGATATTTCCCACGTCCTCGCCAAGCATCCGGACCTCCCCGCTGGAACGCTCGTCTTGCAAGATGTCCCGGAAGTCATCGCCAAGGCCCAGGTGGACAAGGAAATCACAGCTATGTCTCATGACTTCTTTCTCCCACAGCCGGTCAAAGGTGAGATAAGAGACACCGCGGCTCAGAAAGTTAGGTCTGTACGCTAATGCCTAAAACGCAGGCAGCCGAGCTTACTTCATGCATGCCGTGATTCACGATTGGCCAGATGACAAGGCCAAACAACTACTAGTCAACACAAAAGATGCAATGGTCAAGGGATACTCCAAGCTCTTCATCTACGACATTGTTCTTCCCCCCACGGGGGCGAGCATTAGCCAGGCTACAATGGACGTGGAGATGATGTCGTTACTTTCGGCTTCTGAGCGGACGCAGGGTGCATGGGAGAAGCTGTTGACCGAAGCTGGGCTGAAGATTGCCAACTTTTGGCCTGACCCTCGGGAGTATGAGATGATAATTGAAGCTGAGGTTGCGTAGGTTTGAAACTCCCTGCAAATGTCTGATTTAAACTGTTACCTTAAGAGGATACATGTCAAAATGGTACTTGAGCATGTTTATTTGTACCTCTAGGTCTCTTGATTTAGTACTAGGGCTACAAAGGACTCATAATTAATAACGCATCAATCTAATGTTGAGCATGGTGATGTCTTCATGACCATTACTGTAGAGAGCTCCCACGATCCTATCAAGGAGGGTGTGACCTCCATCCATCAGCAGCTCACCCGACCGTTTTATTCCTGGGTTTGGCTAATTGGTGATGAGTATGGAACCGCAACTGACTTCCCCCGAAAGCAGCAAGGATGGCAGAGCACCCTACTTCTGTTTCGTGAGTTGACATTTCCTCTGGTAAATAACGATCTTGTCAAGAAGGAGCAGGCCCCATGGCGTGTCATCGGAGATTCTACTGACGACTACGTTACGCTCGAGACTCGGAATCGACATCATCCGGGAGCAATACGGCTTCATGAAACAATTCCGAAAAGGTCCGCGCGTGGCTCTGATTTTCAGGCCGGTTTCCGAATCCTTTAATCAGAGCACGAGTTTACTACCATCTACTACCCATTCTCCAACGAGTCAATATGTATCAACCGCGACAACACCAGCGCTGCCGCACAGACCACAGGTGGATTAGACAATTCTCCCGAGTCTGGTAGCCTGCGCCTTTTCGACATCAGCGAAGGCGAGGAAGATGGCGATTAAATAATCGAGACTCTAAACCTCAATATCATGGTCGACGACGGTGTTTTGGAAGTGCACACCAACTCGCGCTTTGCGCTGTCTACTTGGGCTCGGTGGTCTGTGCAAGGGTTACCCTGAGAGAATCCATTAAGTGATATATTCTCGAGTACCATTCATTAAACGGCCAATAAATTGATTTTTATCGCATATATGCGTTTTGTGTACTATGTGATGTCTCGAATCATTCTTCATTGATTTAGGACATGAATTTCGACCCCCAATACTTTCTCAACGCTGTATACTGGTGACGGTGAGTATGCACGCACTACAGAGGGAAGTGCTTGTGATCCAACCAGCGTGGCTCACTAGGTCAGGGCCAGACGAAGGTGCCAATACATACAAAGGTACATATATTGTAGGAAGGGGGCGAGAGTTGAAGATCTAGTTAGATTGGAATCCCTCCTTAGTGCGCAGTAGCGACTACCGACGGCACAATAATCACGACCAAAAGTACAGCAACACCAAAACCAACACATAAAATACACAGCCATTACCTATTCCTCTTCACGGCCGTCGAACCATCCCCATCTGTAGGTGGCTGCGGCTGCGGTGGTATATCATGTCCATATGATAGGTCCCGTCAGACTGTTCGTTTGAGTCTGAGGAAAGACGGGGTATTTGTCGTTGTGCTCTGGTATATAGAGAAAAGGGGGCTTAGAAGGACTTCTATTCTTAGCTGCATGCGGTGCGCTGTTAGGGTTTCGTTCGATATGCTCCGGTGGGCTTCTGTTCTGGACAGCATGCGGTGCACTGTTGGGGTCTTGCTCGATATATGCGAGTTCCTATTGCTCGATTATTAGTTTCGGGGGTTGATTGGTTCATTGAATAAGGAAACATGGCAAGTACATACCATATTGTTTGTATAATTCAGTTAGTTGCCAGATATTCTGGACTGGATAATGATGGAATGCATTTCCCTTTTGCTTTTCTGATAGGCTACGCCTTGGTTAGTAAGGAGCGCGTGTCAATTGGCATTTTGATAAGAGAAGTGAAAAGGAATAGCGATCAGGGGGAATACGAGGAAAAGCAAATATGAGTTGACAAGGCTATGGCCATTCGTGAACGAGGCTGATGAAAAGAATAAGGCGGGAGAAAATCAGTCTGCATGTACAGGCAATCTATTAATAACAATACATCTAAATATACACCATCTATTCAACCTTACTCTCCCTCTTTCGTCTTTCAACAACTTCCGTAACAGCCTGCTGCACCTCCGGGCTACTCCTTACACCACTCAACACCAACCCCTCCTTCATACCCTTCCTCAATGCCGCAATTCCCTCTTTATCGCCCCGGAACGGCGCATATCCCATCTGCAACAGCCTTGTTGCCTCTAGATCTGTCGCGCGGGAGAGGTTCACCATCTGTCCTAGTTTCTGCATCGTCTCTTTGTCGAGGCGTTCTCCCGGTGTCGAGGGCGATTTCTTTGCTAGCTCTGGTGGCGTGAGTTGAGAGATGAAGATGTGCAGTATAATAGAGGCTTGGCGGGCGATTTGAAGGACTTGAAATGGAAGGAGATAGAAACTGATGGAGTCGGAGATTTGAAGAGTGTTGCGCAGGCCTTCGGGGAGGAGGGAGGCCGGCGTGAAGACTGCAAGATGGCTATGGGTAATCAGGGTGAGTTCGAGAGTAAGGAGGGCCGCGAAGGTTAAGAAGCGCCACTGCCAGTCACTGTTAGTTGCTGTTTTCGTGTTTTGCACAGAGTAGAGAACACTCACGTAGCGCCCCCAATCCGACCACCAAGTAAAGTTCAAAAAGATGATCGTCACAAACCCGCCCACATACTGCGGGATAATCGACCGCTGCATAGCCGCATATAAGAAATCCTGCATCGTTTTCTCATTCCCCCAATTCAAAATTGAAGGCCCGAACCGATCATACGCGAACCGCTTAGCCGGATCCAACAGCGTGTCCTGTGCCAACTTCAAAAACACAAAATAATCATCTCCGCCGCTGCCATATCCATCACCTGCTGCATGGCCCAATTTGTCCGGATGGTGCTGCGCAGCCAATCGTCGGAAGCGCGACTTGATCGTCCGGTCGTTGGCGAGCGGGGAGACTCCCAGCGCGCGGTAAAAGTCGCCGGCGACTTGGACATTGTGGAAGGTATCATAGAGGGTGTAGAGGAGATAGCTGGTAATTACTAGAATGAAGATGCGACGGCGATGGCGCGCATATCGTGGGGAGGGAGGTTGGGGTCGAGGTTCGCCGGCGCGAACGGTGATTCCGTAGTAGACGTTTTGGAGGAGCGATGTGGCATACTTGTATTGTTAGTATAGCGCGGTGCTAAGCACTAGCGAAGAACTTACATTAGGAAGGAATGCCCATCCTAGGAATGAGAGAATGGACGACATGGCTGTATTATGTATGTTGGAGGAGTTCCTGATCTGCAATTTGGCAGTTGTTATCTGGATTGATAGTTCCTGGGTACGCTTAGTCAGCCATGCATCGTCAACGACGTTGTTTGCCTTCTCTTCTATAGCTTTTCAATAAGAACAGAAATTATCCACTAGTTTACAGTATGGGGATCCAGCGTATGTCAGTTAATTATCGAACTGAGTATGAGCGGTGAAACTAGACGGTATAAAGAGTCGACTCGTCCCATACCTGGGTAAGCGTCCAATTATATTCTACTTCATTCTACTATTGCAACAACGGAAGTATTGGTTTTGACTGCAAGTTCCCATGATCCTAACGCTTAAGAGAAGGGATTACTTTGACAACATCCACAAATCCAAACACGCAACAAAATGACAACCTTCAAAATCACCCACTTCATCCCATTAAAGCACCAGCTCCAAATCCTCCCCTCACCGATAACCCGCATCTGCGTAGTAGCTCACTAGCAACAAGCAGACACAAACCACTGGTGTTTCTGTCCTCCAAACATCTCCCGAGTCCTCCATCTGCCTGGACTGCCAACCCAGCTACAGCGTCCCAAGCACTGCTATCCAAGGCGGCTCCGAAGCAAACCCGATCACCCCGGAGCTGCCGTATCTTGTGCTACCTGATACGCAGACATATTTGCTCTCAATGTGGTTCCGGGAGTTTATGATAGGCAGGTTGAGCATGACTGCATGGGCGTCATAAGTACGAGTTTGATTCGAAGGGGATGGTATGTAGGGTTTGGGTGACGGAGCAAATGTATTTTTTCCTGAGGCTGAATATCAGCACGGATGAGAAGCAGGTTGCTGCTGCGAAGGGGTGATTCTTTTGTTGTGGCCGAATCAGACGCCGAACCCGCTCGACCAGGCGGCTTAATATCAGTAACGGCCGAGATCGAGCGCTGCCTTAACTATTGCTAGCATGAAAAAGAAAAGCTATCTGAGAGAAACACGACGTTTGAACAACCCGTATCAAGAAGCTTGCTACATCTTGCTAGTCTAGGAGGAGAACGACTAGGGTTAGGACATTGCACGACATTGGTATCGGCACCGCAATAAATCTTATCGTTGTTTTATTCCAGCAACGTATTAGCTACGATCTGATACATAGTCTCTCAAACAAGAACAGTATGCCAATTTTAGTCCTTGGTTATGAGGGCTCAGCATTGGAAGACCTACGATGTCCCAAAAAGGCAGCCATCTTCACCGCCAACCACACCGCCTACCATTCCCATTTTCCAGCCAAAAAAAAAAAAAAAAGCAAGACAATCTCCAACCGCAAGCAAAATCCAATATCAACCCGTCGCTCCCCAGCGCAAGCTGGATAATCACAACTCCAACCATGGCAGCCGACGCAATGGATCTCGACTCAAACCCACCCACCACAATTGACCTCCCCGAGCGCAAGCGCAAGCACAAGTCACAAGACTCGACCTCCACCAAGAAGCGCAAGTCCGATGAGAAGAAGAGCAAGAGCAAGTCTGCCTCCAGCTCCAAGAGCAAGAATGCTGGGACGAAGCAGACACAGACGATCCCGGACTCGCCATACTCCTTGATCACTGCAACGCTTTATCTCCCCCTGTCGCCTATCTCTATTTCTCCGACTCATGCGCTTGCTTCGCTGCTGGCCGAGCACCTTTCCCCTCTCCTCTTAACCTACTACCCGCCGTTAAAGGGTATCGTCCTTGCGTACTCGAACGCTTCGATATCGTCCACCCCACCAAGCACCTCGTCAGCGCAGTCGCAAGACCCTAGCCCGCAGCCATTGACCCTCGCGACATCCGCGAACGAATACGGTGTCCTCTACGTCTATCTGACAGCCACATTCCTCGTCTTCAGGCCGCAGCGCGGCCAGATCCTTGAAGGCTGGGTGAACGTGCAGTCCGAAGGCTTCCTAGGCGCAGTAGTCCTAAACCTATTCTCCGTGGGCATCGAGCGGAAACGCCTCCCCACAACCTGGAAATGGATCCCCCCAGGCGAGGAAGCCCCCACAGCCAACAAAACAGACGATGAAAGCGACACCGACTCCGCAGCGAAGGACTTCGATCCTGAAAAGGAACACTTCACACCTGTTTCCCTCGCCTCGGACGCAAACCCGCTCTCGGAAACAACGCCTAACCCTGTCCCTGAAGGCCAAGAAGAAGGTGAGGATGAGTCTGCGGAAGGATACTTCCAGTCAGTTTCCGGCCACCGCGTCCGCGGAACCGTTCGTTTCCGTGTTCTTGATGTCGATGTTATCCCTGGTACAGACCGTGAGCGCGGGTTTATGAGTATCGAGGGGAGCATGCTTTCGCGCGAGGAGGAGGAGAGGGTTGTTGAGGATGAGAAGAATGGGATTTTGAGCACTGCGACGCCGAGAAGGCCGGCTGCTAGTGCGATTACTATGTCTGGGGCGTTACCGATTGCGCCTGCGACTGCGACTGTGACGGTTGATGAGCCTAAGGTCGAGGAACAGGAACAAGAACAGGAGCAGGAACCTGAGCCTGCTGTGGAGACGCCTAGTAAGCCAAAGGGGAAGAAGAGCAAGTCGGATGATAAGGAGACGAACGAGAAGAAGGAGAAAAAGTCCAAGTCCAAGTCGGACGACAAGGAGAAGAAAGAGAAGAAGTCGAAGTCGAAGAAGGTGAAGGAGGAGAAATGAATTTTAACTACCTGATCTTGTGTATACTGCCATATACTACTACACTACTGTATATTTGATTTTGGGCGTTAGGGCAATCAAAACATCAGACCATAACACATTGCATATATTCATTATTACGAAGTACTCACGAACTATCCATTACCAAAGGGAAAGAGAAAGAAGCTAAATCTTAACACTCTCCGGCACCCCAACCCTCAAAACATCCACACCCCCCTCAATCTCCCCCTTACTCGGCATCCCCCCCCTCCTCATCAACTCCGCACTCTTCGCCATAACCGGATCCATCGCCATACTAGCAACCGCAACAACCGTCTCCCCCAGACAATAATACGCCGCAAACTTCGCATTCTCCGGCTCCCCCTTCAACACCACCCCATCCCACCCCTTAGGCGTATTCCCGCAGTACCGTAGCTGCGCGCCCAGCGCGGACCAGAATATGGGGATGAAGGTTTTGGGTTTAAGGGTTTTGAGCGGGGAGGGGGCGTGGGTGATGCAGCGGGCGACACCGCGGCCGGCATTCTGCGCGACGTTCCAGTGTTCGATGCGCGTGTGGGTTCCCGTGCCTGGGTCTGTGCCGGGCCCATGGTAGGGGTATGTGGCTATGTCACCAATGGCGAAGACGTCCTCGTTCGAGCCGGGCACGGCGAAGTGCTCGGTTGTTTTTATGGAGCCGTCTTTTTCGAGGGTTATGGCGGGGTTATTCTGCAGGAAATCTGTTGCTGGGCGGACGCCGACGCCCAGGACGACTAGGTCGGCTGGGAGCTCGGTGCCGTCTTTTAGGTGCACGGCGCCGACCTTGCTAGGGTCCGAGGGGGAGGGAGTCGCTTTGTCGACGGAGGCGGAGAGTTTGAAAGTGACGCCTGCTTTTTCGAGGTTGGATTGGAAGATGCGACCGACTTGTTCGCCCATGATGGATTGCATGGGGACTTTGTCCATGCCGACGATTGTGACGGAGTTTTCCTTGGCAAGGGCGTTGCCGACTTCCATGCCGATGAAGGAGCTGCCGATGACGACGATTTTCTTGTTCTTTTGCTCTCCAACGGCGGCAAGGATGGCCTGCACGTCTGTTACGAAACGGAGGAGGAAGATATTGGCTAGGTCTTTGAAGCCGGGGAGGGGGAGGGCACGGGGAACACCGCCGGTTGCGAGGACGAGTTTGGTGTATGGGTAGGTTTTGCCAGATTGGGTTTTAACGACCTTTTGGTTGAAGTCGACGGAGGTCACTTCGTCTGAGACAGTGTTGATGGCTGCATTCTCGTACCACTCGCGAGGTCGCCAGAGGAGTTTCTCGGGGTCGGGAATTAGGGCCTTGGACAGCTTGGTGCGATCGATAATAAGGTTCGGTTCCCTGGAGATGACGGTGACGGGTCCTTTATACTTCAATTCCCGAATAGCCTGGACAAGGCCAAGGGTACCGCTCCCACTGTTCTTGTCAGCATGCACATATACTAGCATGAGAGTTGTATAACATACCCGCCAACAACAACAACACCCCCCTCCCCCTCCGCAACCCCCCTAACAACCGGATTCCTCTGCCCAGCCTTAACCTTCTCCTCATCTGCTTTAATCCAAACCCCGCCATCCCTCTCAAAGACCTCAAACTTCTCCAACGCATTCGGCGCCGGCGCGTCCTCCACATCCCCACTGCTTACATTAAAACACGCTCCGTGCCACGGACAAGTAATCCGTCCATCCGGAGACACCACACCAAGCTTTAAAGGAGCACCGTAGTGCGTGCAGCGGGGGCTCATGGCGTGGTATTTGTCATTTACACGGACGACGAGCACTTTGCCGTCTTGGATGCCGTCGATTTCGGCTTCGACTTTTTCCATGTTGGGGATGGAGGAGAGGGAGGAAAGGTCTTTGAGGAGGTATTCTTGGGGCATTTTGGCGGTTGAGAATGGCCTAGCTGAGGAGGAACAACAGGAAGAGAGGTATGGAGAGGAAGTATAAGACCGAGATTGTTTTGGTGATGACGATGGATGGACGCAACACGAGCACGAGCAGATGCTGGAATTGCGGCAGCCACAGCGACAGGTACTTTGACGAGACGAATATGAAGAAAGAGTAAAAAGAGAAGAAGAGAGAGGAGGATGTCGAACGGTCTTTAAAGAGGACAAGGGTAGACAGATACGCGAGCGGGGGAGATGCATTTACAAGGTAGACTAATGTCCAATATGAAAGATATAATACTGTACCGGGGTAGAAATGCTTGATGTATAGCCAACGAATGTCCACTGAATTGAATATGGTGCAATCATATCAACAACATACATGCCGATGTTTCCATGAATCTGAAGCTAATTACCCGTTTCGGAAACCAGATGACGTCGCGGTGAAAGCAGTACCTGGCCAATCATGTTGGGCGTATTAATGTTCAGAACCGGTTAAGGTATATGTCGTACAACGGACAGAGCAGTCATCATGAGAACATTACATATAGACAGTATCATACAACTATATACACGCAAAAATACACAAGAAATCAAGTCCTCCTCCGCCTCCCCTTCAAACTCGGCGGACTAACACCACCACCCTTCGACTTCCTCGCCCGTCGCTGCGTAGACGGGATTTTCTTCTGCGCCCATCCGGGACCCTTTGGTAGTCGTTGCGACTTTGCGAAGTCCTCATCACTGCCTCCGGGGGACGCGGGTGGGCTGGATTGAGTCAGGTCTACAAAATCGTTGTCGGAGAACTGGGATGCGGGTGGTGGTTCGTGGTCCTTTGTAAGAATGTCTTTCTGTTTTGTCTTCCTTGTTTTCACGGACGCCTTGCCATTGGGATTCCGGGACGGAGCTCGTTTGGGGGTTTCTTGGGATTTGGTCGTAGATTTGAGGTTGTTGGGCGCGTGTTTCGTCTTGTGTGGAGGCGGAGAGGGCGAGAAGCCCACGAACTTAGGGTCGTCGTCTTCGTTGTAGGGGGAGATTCGGTCCTCTGCTATTTCGGATTCCCGGCGTTGACATTCTTCATGGGCCTTTTCAATATCGTACAATGGACTCGGGACGAAGTTGTTGTCCGAGGTGCATGGTTTGCGCTTGGGACTGCCTTCTTTTCTATCCTCATCTTAAAATTTGCCATTTTTCCGTTGTGCAACCAGTGAAGAATCCTGTATCACACTCCTCATTGTCGGGAAAAGTTTGAATTAAGAGGATATCAGGCTAGCAGGACTGCTTATTGGTTGTAGATCGTCTTCGCTGACTCCGGGGCCGTTATCCAGATGTGTTGGCCGGTTCCCGGCTGATTGCTCGTTACTGCTTTGTTTGGGATCTTGAGTCGATTGTTGGCCGCTGCTATTATCCTGGTTCGCAGCGGCATCCTCTGCCGATTCAGGTTGTTCGCGCTGGGCAGACTCGGGAGGTGACTGGCTTTCTATTTGAGGAGACCGGAAACCTTCAAACTTGGGGGACTTCACGGTAGGGCTCTCCCTGCGCTCGCGGGCATTACTGCCACTTCTATCCTCCTTGGCAGAGCCAGTCTCAGCAGCTTCATTCGCAGAATTAATGATACAATAGACACCATTGACCTGCGAGTCGATATTTACATCATTGCCCGCAGGAGGACGCTCTTCTTCGATCGATTTATTTGGGACAGGTTCCGGACGATCCTCAACAGACTCTACAACTGGAGAGCTTCAATCATGTGAGCAAATTAATATGAATGCAAGGAATTAATTTACTGACATGTCGTTATCTCCATCTCCATCGCCCTGTCCAACACTCTCACCAGCACGCAGAAGCTTCGGTTCAATGAAATTTGCAAACGACATCTCCCGGAACCCATCATCATCTTCATCGTCCTCGAACCCCGGCATCTCGAATCCACTGTACAGACGAGGTCCCTCGTCTTCATCGTCCTCATTGTCATTGGTTACTGGCTGTCTGCGATGGCGCTTTGCGAGGCGGAGTTTGAGAACGTTGTCTTCTTCGAAGATCTCGTGGATTTCGGCGACGCGGTAGTCAGATACTCTGGGTTGCCAGTTTGTGTCTTTAGACATGTCGAGTTGTTTATATGCGATGATCGAGGCTTCCTTGAGGTCGTCTTCGGTCAGGTCGGAGATTGTGCTCATATCCTTTGGCAATTCAGGGAGATCGGCCTCCACGTCTTCGGACTTCTCAGGTACGACCTGCTCATGCTCAACTTCACCCGCCTCCACTCCGTTCGACTGCTCCTGCATCTGATCGACATCGTCGTACTCAAGCTGCATATCCCCATTCTCATAATCCCAGTTACCATCGTATCCGTCCTCGTAGCCCTCGTAGCCCTCGTAGCCTTCGTCATACCCATACTCCCCATCACCCCCATCATATACCTGGATCCTCTCCTTTCTTTTCCTCTTCTTCCCCCATCCCTTACGCTGTCTGATAATCTCATGTGCTTTCTCATCCCAACGCTGCTCAAAAGGAAAAGGTGGGGCAGTCAGCTCGATATCATCAAATACACATTCAGTAGCGCGAATGATAAGCTTGTCTTCCCAGTTCTCGTCCTTGTCATCTTCCGGCTCTTCAGGTTGTTCTTCTGCCTCGACGGGCCGCTGGGATTGGAAGTTGTTGACTTTCCCGGCTAGCTTTTTGCGGGTGGCTTCTTCTTCTTCTTTGGATTTTGGTGTTCTGACACCTAGGGATCCGAAGAGGAGACGTCGGCTGCTGGCGACATCTAGTGAGCGCCTTTTCGCAGGCTCGGCTTGGACGTCTTCCATAGCTATATTGTCTTTTGGTTGTTCCTGCTCTTGCTCCTCCACATCGACATCAACACTTTCAGCTTCAAGATCGCGCAGCAGTTTTTGTCGTTTGGCGATAAACTCTACTTGTTCCCGATCTTTTTCATCCTGGGTCTGTTTCTCTTCCGCAGCCTGGGCGGATGGTGCCTTTTCCTCAGTAAACGCATCAACATCAACGCCGCCAGCTGCAAGATCACGAAGCAACTTTTGCCGCTTTGCTTCAAATTCAGCCTGCTCCTGCTTCTTAACATCCCGCTTTTCGACGGTTGCAGGCTTAGCTAGGACGCTGACATCAAAGTTCCAGTCTCCGTTTCTCTCCTCCCATTCTCGCAATGCGGTAAAGTCCGCCTGCTCAGGCAGGACGCCGAACTCTTTCAGCTTTGATAGCCGTCGTCGTAACTTGTTGCGCTGGTTGCTTTTCTTAGTTCGTAGAGAACCTAGACCGGGTGGATTGACTTTGAGATCGTGCGCAGCGCGCTTGCGCTCTTCTTCCTCGTCCTCCGAGTCATCCGAATCAGAAGAATCGGAGGATTCTGACGAGTCACTCGACGAGATACTTGAGACGTCTTTGTCTTCATCATCGTCTGAGGACGACGACGATGATGATGACGAGTCACTCGATATGCTGCTGTCACTATCGGAATCGCTGCCAGGGCTCTCCTTGCTTAAGATCGACCTTGAGGGGGATGGCTGCTTCGCACTCGTGGGAGATTTCGTTTTGGGAGACTTCACCTTGTGAGATGCTGGTGACTCCTGCTGTTGCGCTTGCCTTCCGCTCTCGAACCTGACAGACTTCGAAACTTGACGTCCTCCGGGGGATCGTAGGATTGGGGATTTGAGAGATGGAGATTGCCCGAGCACAACACTGCCTTGCACCGTAGGACTCTTTGTTAATCGCAATCGTGAGGGTTGTTCTTCATAGACACCCTGCAGATCAAAACCGGACATATGCATATCTTCTTTCAGTTCTTGTAGTTCCTGGGTTAGATCCTCAGCTTCAACCTCAGATTCAACATCAGATGCATCACTCTCAGGGACGCGGGCATCCTCGCGCTTTTCCTCGATTCTTTCTGCAATAGGGTGTCGAATGACCGTTTCATCATCACCATAACCAGCCTCGTCATCTTCATTATCATCTTCGCTATCTTCACCCTCATGGTAGTCCTCGTAGAAATCCTCATCGTCCGCTTCATTGTAACCACCATGCTGATCCGGCAGCTGTGAGAGTGCTTTTCCAGTAGCTTCATAATCAACCGGTGCCCATTCAGTATCCTCTTCCTCATAACCCCCACCATAAAAAGTGCGCCGCTTCTTTCTCGGAGGAATATCAATAGCAGGTCTCGAAGATGTCGATCGTTTCAAATATGGCCTTCCAAACGGTACCCCGTCGATAAGATGCTTCCCGTCCACCGAAATCTGATGACGACCTGAAAGCCGCCTAGCTCGTAAATCGGAAGTCTGCAGTGACCGAATCCTACAGCAAACAAAAAACATTAGCTCCCGAACAAACCCAAAAGGCAATCATAAAGGAAGCACTCACACAACCTCATCCCCATCCCTCAACAAACCCCCCACATCCATATAATGCAAACACTCAGACCCTGCAATCTCAACCACATAATCCTCCAGCCCCCACTGTCCCGTAGACCTATCTCCGAATAATCTCGGCTCCGTCTCGAGCGGGACAACCTCGTTCACGTCTTCTAGCAGCTGCGCAATTGTGTACCCGCTGTTCGCGAACAAGGCATTCGGGGCGCGGGTTGATGCAATCGCGGACGAGCTCGCTGAGGGTTTGTAAGAGGCACTTTGTTCGAGGGAAAGCGAGGATGTTGACCAGAGAATGCGCGTCACGGGGAGGCCGTGGCGCTGGATGACGAGGTGGAGACGCATGCTTTTTTCCTCGGGTTGGGATGAAATGAACTAGGTCTTTGGCGGGAAAACCATGGATAGAAGAGGTAATGTTGAAGAGGGAGAATCAGCAGTTGTGGTGTTCTTGCGAGCGACGCAGAGGGAAAGTAAGTCGCAGTTAGCGGGAGATGAGCGACGCGGAGATTATTCCGTAGCAGATGAATGTATAGCAGAAAATCTGACACAAGGTGGCTGGATTAATAGCTCCCAAGTTAAATCCACCGTTGACTGAAGAGCATTAGCAGCGCATCTTGAGCTGGAGAGTGAATTCAGACGGTGTTGGACCGCGAACTGGAAGCTTTCGAAGTGCACCCGCTAAACCCGTTTCGAACAGACACCTTAGGCAAAGATGTACTTCCATAGAACTACTGACGAATAAATTATGGACTTTATTTACATGAACAGAAAAGAGTATGAATAGGATGTAAAAGCACAATCCACAAGTAGCAATATTAAAAAGCATATGTGCAAACTCCGAGTAATGCATTTCCATGCAACTGGCAGCTCAATGTCATACTATGACGGATGTCTCATGAAGCTTTTTTTTTTTTTTTTTTTTAAACCATGTGCTCAGAAAATCCAGACATCATGACTGCCGTGATAAGACGGACATTCACGAAAGACCTAAACCAATCAACCTCTGGGATGTGGGCTTCGTGGGACCGGCTTCCTGCTGGGGACTCCGAGATTAATGGGCCGGAATCCTTGTCGAGATTGCCTTTGTTCTTGCGGACTTTCCTGCGACTGTGGAGACCTTCCAGCTATCGATCGATATTCCGGCGGATCCTCCTCAGGCTGAGGGGGCACCTTGTGAATTTTCAAAACGCTCTGTTGACGCGCAACCGGGGACGTGGGAGGCGAACCAGAATGAGTTTCCGGAGGCGTCGAAGGAAGCATATCAAACGATTCTTCTGATGATATAGCCGCGGGGTTACCATAGGGTATTGCCGATGTTGATGTATCAGGATCCCTTCCCGGGTTGACTGGGGGTTTCGAATCAGCTCCAGATTCAATGGTTCTGGAAGAATCATCTGGTGGGTTATACTCGCGGCGGGGACCATCCACTGGACTCAATGTTTCTGCCATTGCGTCCTCGTAGCTGGGAGGTGCTTCGTCGGGGACTTGATCTGCACTGGTAGGTTCAGGCGCGGCCGCTGGCCTTGGGGGCATTGGAGGACGTTCCGTTAGACCATCTGTGGGTCGAGCGGGAAGAGATGGAGCCGTAGGTTCTTGCATGCGTCCAGATTCAGTCATGGCATCCAAGAGGGCCTTGGGCGGAGCGATTCCGGAGTAGATTTTGACCGGCATTTTCAAAGGAAGGATGATAAGCTGGGGCTGTCACAAGTCAGTATACGCAACCAAGGGAGGAAGAAGTATCAGCAGTAGGTATCATTTAGGCGTACTTTGATATTTCCGAAACTGCCGTAACTCAAACCAACTCGAACCTCGAGTTCGTAAGTCCTGGAGACGTTGCAAGTTTCAAAATTTGGAGCAACTGAGTTAGGCAATGGTAGTTGGTTCCACATGCGAGCATCTATAGTCCATTCAGTGCCGGCTGGATCACTTCCTTTGCCCAACGCCACGCCCATGTTGGTCCGGCTGAGTATGACCCAACTGCCTGTTTCTGTTCGGTTGAGATCGTGAGCTAGGATATGAGTCCTCGCAATCAATTCGATCTGGAATGACTGTAGAAAGATCGTTTCCGAATTATCCGATATCTTTTTCACTAGAACTCGTAGCGGAATAGGCTCGTTACAAGTGAGAATGGAGGGATTTGGTAACCTAGCATCCGCTGATACGCGTGGACCATCCGCGAAGGGATCAAATGAACCAGAGACTTTCTGGAACAGGCTTTTTGTCTTGGAAGAACTTCCTTGTTTAGTGAACTGATGCTGCCGTCTCGCATACGTCTCTTGGCTAGGATTGCCTGTCCGTGGGGGTTCAATAGGAAGAAAGTTCAACGGCGTGATCTGTTACAATTGTCAATACGCAATCAAACAAAGAATTTATTGAAATCAAACATACCGCGCGAATGTTTTCCTTGTAAAATTGTGGCCGAATAATCGTTGCCTTGATATAGTACTTGATATCTGCCATGCCGGGAAAGCCATTCAAGGACGGGGGAAGGGTCTTTTTGACATGACGGTTGCTTTCACGCGCCATCTCAACCTTCAATCCGGTAATGTTTAGATTGGTGAGCATGCTATTGTTGTGCGTGCTGCACGCATTGTTGAATGGAACCTGGGCGACCGTCAGTTTCGACCAACGCTATGCGCAACAAGGGCGAATCCACCTTGAATTCAAACGGATACTCATAACTTCCAGCCGCAAATGTGAAGGTTGTATTAGGGCTTTCCGGATTGAAGATCGCGGGAGTCGGGAAGACTGTCACCACTTTGTACAGTATCTGCATGAAAACCAGTCAACCTCCATCCACATCGCATTTCATTACCACCACTTATAAAACCCCAAACCCAGATGGATCGCACCTTATGCACCTCGAGCTCCGTCCGCTTCTTGTCCGGATCTCCATTGGGATGCCGTGGGCCTGTTAAACGCGTCTTGCTCTCTCCCTCCAATTTGACCTGAATGCCTCCTATCGCGGCCTCAGACGGTAGATTGACGACCACTCTTCCCGTAATGACATCGAGGTTGGTGATGTGGTTGTGAGGACTGTTCAACTCGATTGAAGCCGACATTGCGATGACGCTGGAGCCCAATCGGCTCTGGAAGAGCCACTCGTCGATCCCAGCGCTGTTATAATCGGGGTGGATTTCTCGATAAAATCTCCGGTCGGTTCGATATTTTCGTCGCGATATGTATCTACTCCGTAGGGTGTTGTCCCTTTCTGTGATTTCTGAGCGACGGTAAGAAAGAGAGAACAAGTAACACGGAGTGCGATAACAGTCAAGAGCCAGCAAGCGAAATGACGTTCGGGAAGAACAGCTGGGCGTGGGGCCAACTTCGGCGGCTTCGGAATGCTACAGGGCTGAGTTTGCGACAAGAAACGATAGTGGGGATTATTGAATTTTAGTATGGATTATTATTGCACACAGCCCGGTTTAGTATTTTGTCGGGCGTTGCAAAGCCACTCGGCATCCATGGCACGCAGCAACACCGCCACTGATATCCTCTCTACCTGCTATATGTACCGACTTTCTTACAGGATAATATTCAATGCTCGATTTGACTGTATAATAACTTTGTTTTATTGGTTATCACAGACACTCTAAAGCAGGCACCAGAATTTACAGACCCTCCTTTGCCAGCATATCTGTCACATATCAGCTAATGCCCCACGGGTATGTATAACGACAAAAATGGCGTGGTACTTACCTGCAATGTCCAAATAGAATGCAATGGCGTTGAACCTGCAGCGGAATCTTCGTCAGCCGCCGACCCCTGAATGGAGTGTCTTGAAAAAAAAAAAAAAATACTCACTTCCGTCTATTGCCAGTGATCTCACCAGCCAACCACTTCAGCCGGTTAGTCCAATTGATAAGGTCCAAATGGCTCACGCCAACAAGGGTCCCCTTGTAGCCGTGCTTTCCTCCCCAGCGACTACTGGCAACGCTGACGAGTCCGTCGTTGTATCCTTCAGTCTCTTTGAGAATCCGATGAGATAAACGGAAGGCGGACCATATGCTAGGGTCCATGGCTGCTCCGTAAGAGAAATACCTGTAATCGTCAGTCTTATGTCGTGTGTTTCGCTATATCATTGTCGTCGGAGCACACGTACCGGACATTCTCAATATCAGGCGTTGTAGGGTTGAATTTCTCTGCTGCATACTTTTGTGTAAGCTGCGCAAAAGCTCCAGTTTCGAAACCTAGGCGTTCGAGGGCATAGTAAGCCTGGGGCAAGCGTTCGGCTGTCGACAACATAAGCGCTCTGTTCCTTAGGAGAGAGAACTACCGAAGAATGTACCTCCAATTTGTTCAAGAATGTAATCTGCAACTGCGGAGCCTGTAGTACTTTAGTAAGGATCCGTTTCTATAGACACTGCTACCTACCTCTGTGAGGAGTTGCGATGGTAGTCAAGGACAAGACCTTGAAGTCCGTTGGTTTGAGATGGCTGATCATATATCGAGAATCAAGCCCACTTGGGCAATTAGCCAACCAGCTTGACAGGAATATTCTCTTCACAGTAAATCTCACCCCTAGAGCTCGTGTGAGTAAGCAACCTCCAAGCTCAAAATGTAGGCCGTCTTACCATACTATGTCTGTCATCATGTCAGTCATGAGCACTCCAATCAATCATCTCAAGCAGAGACAGTCTCAATAGACTCACGCAATGATATTAACATCCTTTCCTCGCGCACCAATGGCAATATCCCTCGCCAATTCCTCAGCGCGCTGCTCGATAGACCCAGACGGCGGTACCGTGGCCGTAATAACCTCGACGCCCTTAATTGTCAATGCCTCCCTAATTCCTCGCCAATACTGAACCCCAGGAAGAAGTGGGCCAGCCAGACGTAGTTCATCAAACCCGAGTAGTCCATGAGCGAGGACAATTGGGTGCTTGGGTGCCTCTGATTCATGGTTAATTTGCGTACTCTGCCAATTGAGGGGGACTGACCGTAATTATCTCGGATTATTGCGTACTCGTCTCGAATTACATTGCCCATTTCCTCTAGTCGTGGATCCAGTGTGCGTGCCGCTGGGTGCTTGTGCGGGCGACATCTGCGCGAACACGCATGGAAGCTCCGATGCGTTGTTATTGAATGAGATAGACTGTTGAGCCTATGAAACTGATTGACAGAATTGTAGTAGGCCAGCCTGGTACATCTTATCACATTGACAATGGTGGTTGCATAACCCATTTTCTGATGTTTACTCCGTATCTTGGTCGAACCGCGGTGCCTGATGACGCAAAGGGCTAGTCTTACAGCCTCAGGCATAAATACCGAACTACGAACGATCTCTTGATACCAGTCACAGATCTCACTATTCCATCTAAACATGGCCAATTTATATATATATATAGCCCAAATACATACCGGAAAGACGTTTCTTAAAGATTATATCCGAAAACAGCAATTGAATTGAAACCGAGAACATATCATAGGTATGCGCCATAGTAGAACAGACAACCAACGCCTTCGTTCAATCTATGCATTGGTCAAGATCTTCTCCGAGGGCTCAGGTTTCACATCCACCACTCCATGGATAAGGCCATCGACCACCTTGTCGCCGTGCTGGCCACCAGCGGTCTTAATATCCGCAAGTTTTGCCTCGGCTTCCTTGCTCGCGTCTTCTTCGGCCTTCTTGAATCCGCTCGAGTGCTATTTCCGGGGAAACCTGTCAGCCGTCTGCTCCGTCTTTCTAACAAGGATAAAAGGCTGAACCCTCACCTCTCCCTCAAACTTCTTGAATTCTTCCTCCTTCTGCTGACGGTATTCCTCAATTTCCTTGTGTGCCTCCGACTTGGCATCCTTTATCCGCTTCGTACGGTCTAGGGCCTGTTAGAACAATGTTGTTTGTGATTTTGAGGGGAAGGTTGGAGTCATACATTCTCTGGCTGAAGGTAGATAAAACGGTTAGTCTCCAGTAGAACAGCACGAATGGTAGGATTCCCACAACACACCTTTCTGTACAATCTTCTGTGCCTCTCTTTCGGCCTACAATGCAGTGTCAAATCAACCGTCCATGCGCGAATGCATTGCAGCATGACCTACATCGAGGAGGGTTTGAATACCCGCGGAGTTCTGAGCTGACTATCATCCGAAGTTAGCATTCCCATCCACATCACAAATACATGCCATCTCCTATCGCAGACCCACCATATTGCCTGTTTATTCCTTCAAATATTCGATATGATCGTTCTATTCAACACAACGGGACAGATAGGCGGAATGATGTCGCCGATGAGCCCCTGGGCGGTCGGGGTTCTGCCGACTGTCACCGCCTGTGCTGATAACCAGCGATAATCCGGCGAGGCCTTGAGGAAAATATTGCTGGATTTGAGAGCAGGAGCATAGTTGTTTGCGAGATACAGAATACGCTTGTCGCATTTGCTAATTTGAAATTTATATTGGAAAGCGATAGATCGCTATGTCAAAAGCATCTAAGACGACGTTAGCAATGACCGGTCTCGGTACTGCGGGGATAGTCTGGTTTGTTCACTGGGCACAAGAACAAGAGAGAGCAGTATGTTTTCTTGTCTTCTTCATCATTATATGGATATGTACTAACTACTTCATAGGCAATGCACAAAGGCGTGGAACGAGACATGGAGAAGCAACGAATTCGACAAGAACGAGAAGCCGACTTTGCGCTGCAAAAGGCCCTACAAGAACAATACCTCAAAGTCCAGACGGTCTCTCCTAGTACGGACGATTCAGGGACAGGGACAGGACAGAATAGTGCCAACCAGGGTACATAGCGTTGGTGGTGATACGGGCTTTGTTTCGGGATAAGTGGTGGCATATCGGTCTTCGACCTTGTACAAGGTGAGTTGAACGACATTGCTGATATGCTCTTGGTGTATCCCACGGAACTTACTAACGGCTTGCAGTACCATACAAATAACTAAAAGCAAAACTGCATATGACCAGTTATGAGCATGTGTATATTATACCTGTCTGTACAATACAAACCAACTTTCTTCTACGAACTCTTGTTCAATATCGGATCACTCAGCACCTGGAAATAGGAAAAGGAATTCCATCCCCTTTCCGTATACTACATACCGAATATTCTTTATAGGACTGATAAGACTGCCCTTTCACAGCGATATCTACGGTTCGTTTCAGGTCTCCAGTCTACATTATCCTTGAATATCGACAATAGGCGCTACCTATTGACTAGCCCTACATAGACAAAAATATACGGTGCAACTGATAAGGCTGTCCTCCTACAGGGCCTTTTGTCATACTTAGCTTATCACGGCTATTCTCGGAGGCCGGTTTCATTCCGGCCTCCGGCGCTAATGAAGCTTATGGAGTCTTGGCAACATGAAGCATACAAAAGTCCGAACTACATAGGACAATGAACTGTCCTGAATGGTCTTCGGGGATGATCGAACCGCTCTATTATTCAATACCGAGCATCTCGAGCTGTTTTAAGGCCCTGATGCATCGGGACTAGCGTGTCCCGTGACGCTGTCATGCCCTAACAAGGCCGAGTAGAAGTGTCTGGATATGGTTTTATGATACTCGATGGAAGTTCATCGTATCGTCTTGGACACCAGGGAGAGTGAAAAATGGCTTTCAGTGCGACTGCAGCTTGCAAAACGACGGCCTCTGGTCCAGAACAGGCATCTCCACGCGGTCCTTCTATCTCTTTCGTAATGTGCCCCTCAAGGCCGGAATTGATACCGGCCTCAGAATATTATAAGAAGGGCCTCTTTTCCCGTCCAAATCTCAATCTCTGCGCTGATTCCCAGGCCTTTGAAATACAAGCAAGCCCTCCTGAGGACTTTTCTTCTTTTTTCCTCGCACTTTTCCGAGTCTTAATTCTCGTTTTATTCTCGTTTTATTCTTCACACTTCTATCCACCATTTTCTCTTTTCCTCCATCATGACTGTGCCTAAGGTGACCTCAGAGTCTACTACCTTGAAGCGCTTTCCTCACATACATGATGACCCCTCTACTATACCCCATTCCCTGGACCCCTTCACCATCACAACCTCTACTGGTTTCCTGCCCTATCAGACCTCCCCTACCACCCTACCTGAGGTCTTCCAGCCTCTAATGTCTATCTTGGACCGTATGTCCGTCGTCAAGCAAGACGGTGTCCCGGGTCTGCTGGCCACATACGAACTAGGTCCAGTGGTCGAGTCCGAGTTGCCTGACCTGACCGACGAGGTGGACAAGTTGGTCACCGCTGATGGTCTCCCGGACTTATTTACCATCACGGCTCTGTTCAGGGACTATTCCTTCCTGGCTTCGTCTTATTTGCTTGAGCCTTGCTGGGAGAACTGGCGCAAGAACCCGGATGGCGGTTATGGTCTGGGGAGGGACGTGTTGCCTAAGGCTGTGGCCCGTCCTATGTATCGTTGTGCTCAAATGTATGATCCTTTCAGTAATTTACATTTTCTACTATATACTAACTGTTGGAAGACTGGACATTCCACCCTTCATGTCCTATGCTGCCGCCTACTCCCTCTTCAACTACTACCTTGCCGAACCGTCCAAGGGCTTGACATACCCTAACCTCCGTCTTGTCCGGGCCTTCGAAGGTGGTCTTGACCCTAAGAGCTCCGAGGCAGGCTTCATCCTGACCCATGTCGATATGGTCAAGTGGTCTGGTGGCTTGATCAGCGGTGCTGTCCGGGTTGTGGACACGTTGGAGAAGGCCGGTCCTCGATCGGAAATTAATGATGGGTTTCGGGAAATCCTTACGGCGATGGAGAAGATTGAAGCGTCCATGGAAGGTAGGTTACCTTGCCTTTCCTATTTAATCCAACATGTTGTAGGAGTTGCTAACCGATGCCTAAAGATATGTGGGGTAACTCCAAGCCTCACGAATACCTCTCCTTCCGCGTCTTCATCTTCGGCATTACAAACCAATCCATGTTCCCGAATGGTGTAGTTTACGACGGCGTCCTAGACAACAAACCCCTCTACTTCCGCGGTGAAAGTGGCGCCAACGACAGCATGGTAAGCTCCCCATCCCCCCTGTCCAACACCAGTAATATTGATGATAAAAAGATTCCTCTCCTAGACCACCTCTGCCAAATTCCCATGCCCTCGACTCCCCTCACCAAAATCCTCCACGAATTCCGTTCTTACCGCCCCCATCCCCACCGCGACTTCCTCGCGCATATTAATGCCAAAGCAGCGGAAGTGGGTGTGCGCGAGTACGCAGTCAAGGACGTCGATACTGCGATCCTTCTTTTGAAGACGCTGGATCATGTAAGGAGCTTCCGCTGGCGTCATTGGCTTTTTGCGAGGGAGTATATTATTCGTAGGACACCGCATCCTACAGCTACTGGTGGGAGCCCGATTGTTACGGTATGTTAATGGCCTTTCTTCATTGGGGATATGAAAGGTGTTGACTGGAATAGTGGCTTCCGAACCAATTATCAGCAGTGATGGATCTGATGATCTCCATCTATGACGAGTATCTTGCTCCTGCTCTCAAGTCCAACGGGGAGAAGAATGGACATGCGCAGAACGAATTACATGCGTCTAACGGCAAGCAGGTCGAGCCGATGATGGAACAGGTGCGTGACCAGAGGGAGAAGTTAGCTAAGGAGGTTGAGCGGTGGTGTAAGGAGAGGGGTGTTTAGACAGGTGTTCAGTGACTATACTCAAGCGTCTATGTTCATTGATGCATGAGGTCTCTATTAGCTTAGCTGTATTCATTATATGTATAGTCATTATAGTCTAGATCAAAAATTTCCTTAGGCAAGATGCAGGCTTTCAGTCATTGTCCTTCAGGGATAGATATCAATTAAGTGAAGATCTCAATCCCCCGAGTCCTTCCATAAGCAACCGCATCAGAAGAAACACCTTCACAGCCCTTGACATACAAACGATCGATCCTCGTCTTCTTCTCATCACCGGTCATACGAGCATCCGCGAGCATCTTAATCGCTCGACCGCTGACATCAGTGTAAGACAAATGCAGGATCTTAAGATCCGGCATAAACGTCACAATACAGCCTACGAGCGCATCCCCAACTTTAGGAACACGAGAGAGACTAAGCTCCGTGATATCGCCGAAATAGCCCTGCATGACCTCGCTAAGCTCATTGGCCACCCACATACAGCTATCTAACCAGAGAACACGAAGGGACCCATCCGTATTAGAAACGAGCTGTTTCAAATTTCGCGCATGTAGCCAATTGACATCGCTTAGCACGAGGGTCTTGAGATTTGCGAGATGAGGGCCGGGATGGTATTCGACGTCTATGTCAGCGGCACACGCGTGAACACGGAGGTATTCGAGGCCAGGTGGGAAGAATCCGTCCGAGTTTGAGAAGGAATGACCGCTTATGTTGAGTCTGCGTAGGCGGGGGAAATCTTTTGACATGAGATTGACATGCGGGCGTTGAAGTGCGTGTCCGTACCAGTCAAGTCGTAACTCTTCTAGGTTGGGGATGGCATGGGATAGCCTATGGTTCTAGTCGGTATCAGCAAGTCACCGTGCAGGATAAGGGGAGGGGGCAGGCCTACATATAAAGGAGGTACAAAAAGCGCGGGCCCAAATGAAGGAGGTTCCACATCTTCCGAGCCAAATGTGATACTCTTCAGATTCGGCAGGTTCGAAGGCCATTCCATCCGTGTTCTAGGAGAGGGTTTGGCATTATGGATCTCTATTCGTTCAAGATGAGGTATGCCGTTGAGGAACCCCACGATTCGCTCCTGCGCCATTGGCATATGTGCAGATACTACGAGCGTCTTCAACTGTTTTGAGCCCTTGAATAACCCATAAAATGCAGCAGGATCATGAAAGTCCCAGAACTCAAAATGTACTAAATGCGGGCATCGACTGATGAATTCCAAAACTCTTTGCGTGGATTGGGCGGATATGTTTTTCACGATGGCATGTGTCAGCATGCCTTTGGAGCGTCGAATATAAGACCGGACTGAGGTCCAGTGAACTCTGCCTCGAGCGCCACGGGCTTCTGATAGATCCATGCGCAGCCATGTGTTTCGCATTGAGGTAAGGAATTGATCCCACCTCTTCGAGACGCGGAGAATGGCCCTAAAGGCGGTTAGGTTAATCAACCATATGCTTCTATGCGAATAGACAGCAACTCACACAATCTGTTTGAAGGTGAAATGCTGAAGGACCATGACAGCAACTTCTAATGGAAGGACAGTGAAGGGATCCAAGAGCTTTGCAGACATCTTATCCTCGAGCTTGTTGTGTAGTTGCTCTACCAACTATGCAAGTAAGTCTCATAAACTCGGATGAGAATAGTGAAGATAGGCTCACATAGCGCCGTGGATGGCTTGTAGGTAGGGATTTCAGTCCGTATGCGTAGACTTCGAGCGCCTTGTCCGGCTTGCCATTCAGCAGGAGGGTTTTGGCACAGCGTAAATACCCCTTCCTGGTCAGTAAAGAATGAAGACACACTGAGTGAGCCAACGTACTCGTTCATCATTTTTACCGCATTTTATCATTTGCTTTGTATCTCGCAGTGCTTGATCATGCCGCGCCAGTTTACTATAAGCAGCAGCTCGACTATCCAGGATGCTCAACAAGTCCGAATCTTTATCTTTCAACGCCTGTATTATCCTATTTAGTCTCTAATTTGCCAGAAATACAGAGGGCCAGGCATACCTCCGTAAAGGCTTCAACAGCCGCCGAAAAGTTGCCCTGTTGGTATAGATTCCGGCCATGCTGCAGCAATACGGCTCCTTCACCACGCGGGGCACCACCAGTTCGTCGATCCCCAACGCTTCTACCGGCCGAATTAAGGAATTTGGACCCATCAGGCAGCGATCGCGAGCCCATAATGCCTGTCAATGGCTCGTTAACGAGCGATAGAGGATCAATAGTGTGGTTCATCCGGCAACGGTTTTGCATCGGCAGAGCTGCGCGGGTGGCGGCTGCGGGCGGCCGGACAGCAGCGCGTGTTTACCTTCTTCCCCTTTCGGTATGCGAAAAATACATCATACCCGACGACACAGCGACGACCACCTCGACCCGACACGGCTCTGTACAGAGTACTAACCATACAGGGGGAAACTAGAGGCAGCTTGCAGGCAAGCCATGGAGCCGCACAATTTGGACGCGGCCTCTACTTATATCAACAATGTCCTCCTTGCCAGGGGTCTGTTAAAAGGCGGTACTTCGATCGATTTTGCTCAGCCGGAGAACGATGAGGGGGGTGTCGATGGGACGATGGCCAGGGTCATTAATCTGGTCAATGATTTGGTCCTGAGAAGAGATGTATGTCGTTACGATTTTGCGCTTGCTTTTTTAGCACAATGGACAGTCTGACGATTTGCAGCGCGAAGCCGACCATAGGGAAAACCTCGCTACGACGATACGGACACTACGTGCGAACGACTCGCAGCAATCAGCGGAAATTGTATGTATACTCAAAAAAGACATGATATGGTCAGAACTCGATAACTAAGGCGTATTACTGCAGGGCAAACTCCGAACAAAGACGTCCGAAATGAGCCGGTCGCTGGCACTCGCAGAGGCTCAGGAGCGCGCACTCAAAACAAGTATCGCCAGCGCAGAATCAACCATTAGAAACATGAAGGAGCAAGTACAACGCATGAAAACCAACGTCCAGCAGGTCCGAGCACAATGCGCAAACGACATTCGCAAACGCGATCTGGAGTTACAGAAATTAAAATCACATTTGGCGGAGCGGCAGAGGGGGAAACGAGAGGGACTGGGTGTTACGACAATCAACATCAACCCGACAGTCGACCGTGCATCGAGATCCAAGACTTTATCCGGTGGCGAAGGAATCAACAACCCTGGATACAGTTTGAAGCAAGAGACGAACGACTTTCTCACACAGCTATGTCAAACCCTTAGTGACGAGAACGATATGCTGATCGCGCTGGCACGCAACACCGTCCAGACATTGAAAGATCTACAAGGCCTACCACATGAGGAGGATGAAGAAAATACGAGTAGGACGGCCAGCATGGGGGCGCAGAAATCATCGCCTGATTCCGTTACTACCCTTCCAACATCATGCGATGAGCTTTCAGCCCATATGGGTATGATGCTAGATCACTTACAGACACTACTCACCAATCCTTCATTTGTGCCCCTCGAAGAGGTTGAAGTGCGTGACGAGGAAATAAACCGCCTCCGGGAAGGCTGGGAGAAGATGGAAAGCCGATGGAGACAAGCGGTGACGATGATGGACGGATGGCATACGCGAATTGCCGACGGAGGCGACTCGGTTCAGGCCGAAGAATTGAAAATGGGTCTGGGCCTCAGTATTGATTCTACACGCGCATCTGCAGCAAATGATGCAGATATAAAAATGGGGTCTCCCATTCTGGAAGACCAACAGGCTGAAGAGGAGGAGGAAGAAGCAGAGCGCAAATCCAAAGAGAGTTCCCAACAGCGAGTACTGTCGAAGGAAACCAAGCCTGCTGGGACGCGCGAGACCAGGACCCGAAGGGCAGCGAACCGTGCTCTAAAGGAGCGGAGCGACAACATACAATCCGGCCGATCCCGGAAGGTTTCTTTCACGCCAGGGCTAAATGGTTCTCCCTGTGTAAATGAAGACGAGACTTTGCAGGTCAAAGCACATAAATCAGAGGCCGTGACTCGACGGATGTTGAAGAAACGAGTAGAAGCAAACCCTCCGCGAAAAGTGAGCAGACTCAGTTCATGCCAACAAAAATCCGCAGAACTGACAAATAATCAAGCAGGACCCTCCCAGTCGCGGGCGAGTAGCTTTGTCACAGAAGCTTGCTATGGCAGAAGACGATGCCCGAGCAGCAGAGCAAGATCGCAGAGAAAACCAAAGCCGAAAGCGAAGTCGAGGCACCGGCAAGGAAACCCGAGACCGACGACGCAGTACCCTAACCAACGATGAACTTGACGAGCTGATGGGGCGGCCGTCACCGACGAAAGCGAGCTAAACAGCTCTTTTAGCCGTGTTATATTTCATTCAAAACACTTTTTGTCGTGTCCTTGTACATACTAGTTTTATGATCTGGCGCATGTAAATACACTCTTTGCACTGGCAATTACCACCGGCACAGAAGCTTTATAATAATGAATGTCCAATTCAAGTTGAGTCTCGAATTGCTTCTCACGGGATATCGATACATGACTAAACCTCGGCATTTCCGGTTATGGTTAAGAAGTCTCCGCCTTTCGCGAGTCTCAATTGATCTCTGCACTTCTCCAATTGTCGTTTCCCTTTGGTATAAATTTTTTGACTCGTGCTCTTTCAAATCATACCGCACAAGTTTATCACTACAAAGCGCGCGTCAATACGATACTCACTCGCGCATAAACGAGAGACCGAGCGACAACCAGGTTTCGTCTTATATTAATCCTTACTCGGATACACCAGCAACCACATAAATACGGCATTGCTAAAGCCCTACAATCATGCCCTCACCGGAAACATACCACGGCTGGGTCGCCCACAATGCCACAGATCCCCTAACTTACACAACCTTCACCCCCAAACCCTTCCACTCCACCGACATCGAAATCAAAGTCTCCAACTGCGGTATCTGCGGCACAGACATCCACACCCTCAGCTCTGGCTGGGGTCCCACCGACTACCCCTGCGTCGTGGGCCACGAAATCATCGGCACAGTCACGCGCATCGGCGCAGATGTCCCAACTCTGCGCTCCTCGCCCGCATCCCGCGATATCAGAGTCGGGGATCGGGTCGGGGTAGGCGCGCAGAGTGGCTCTTGCTTGAAGGCGGAGTGTGAGGCGTGCGCCGATGGACGGGAGAACTATTGTTCACGGATCATGGGGACGTATAACGGGCGGTATCCTGATGAGGGGAAGAGTAAGTCGTATGGGGGCTTTGCGGAGTATTGGCGCGGGCCGGCGCATTTTGTGTTCAAAATTCCGGATGCGTTGCCGTCTGCTGAGGCGGCGCCATTGTTGTGTGCGGGAGTTACTATGTTCTCGCCGTTGCGGAAGTATGGTGCTGGGCCCGGAAAATCTGTGGGAATTATTGGGATAGGGGGACTTGGTCATTTGGGTATTTTGTTCGCGAAAGCGTTAGGTTGTGGTAGGGTGGTAGGCATCTCGCGCACGTCGGGAAAACGGAATGATACGCTCGAGGGACTAGGCGCAGATGCCTTCGTTGCAACGGACGAGGAACCGAAATGGGCACGCGCATATTCTCGCTCGCTGGACCTGATCATCTGCACCGTTTCCTCGCCAGAAATGCCATTGTCTGGATACCTGCGCTTGCTCAAGACAGACGGCGTGTTTGTGCAGGTGGGCGCGCCAGAGCAGCCATTGCCGCCTGTTATGGCGTTTTCGTTGATCCAGAAGGGCGTTAAGATCACAGGGTCGAATATCGGGTCGACAGAAGATATCAGGGAGATGCTGAAGTTAGCTGCTGAGAAACGTGTGTTGCCGTGGATTCAGAAGCGGGCTATGAAGGATGTCAATGTCGCATTGAAGGATTTGCATGCTGGAGAGGCGAGGTATCGATATGTCTTGCTTAACGAAATGGAGACGGGAACGCAAGCAAAACTTTAATCGTTCAAATTATTCTAGAATGTCGAGTTTCTTTCAAGCTATTCATAAATCATGCACGGAGCAACATTGACATGGAAACGGGTACGAGCTCTGTACGGTTAACCCAAAAGGGACTAGAATACGAGACTCATAAGGCAACGGGCGTTTTCCGATAGCTTTGATTTACGCTATTCTTAACTATAAAATCCTTAATCAAATGGCCGAGATGGCTCCGATCCACAAGTCAAACTCCATCTTTACCCCATTAGGAAATGGGTACGAGATATACGAACGATGGCAGATTCAGGGTTTCGTTCTTGGCAGAATAAAAAAAATAGAAGTGAGAACGAGGGGGAAAGGAGGAGAACGGGTGCATATAAGATATCTGCATCTGCAGATGTTTGAATTATTATCAGATTTTACTTCATATTCTCTACCTTGCTCTTCTGGACCTCCTACCCGTCGAGACATACTTCCCCCATCTCCATACTATACTCCGCATATACCCATACACAATACAACGCAACTATGTCGGCGTCAGCGAGTGGAGGCTTCAAAGCCTATGAATATGACCCTTCCATGGCAGCAGCTGTTATCTTCATCATCCTCTACATCGTCGTCACTTTCCTCCATACCTACAACCTCTTCCAAACCCGAACATGGTTCTTTATCCCCCTCGTTCTCGGAGGATACTGTACGTTCCCTATCCTCCCCTCCCCTACCATTATCTCACTGCGAATTGTATGCTGACCAAATAGTCGAACTCGTCGGTTACATAGGACGAGCAATGTCCGCACACGAAACCCCGAACTGGACCCTCGGTCCGTACGTGATGCAAAGCACGCTGCTGCTTGTTGCACCCGCGCTTTTCGCTGCTAGTATATATATGGAGCTAGGGAGGATCATCCACTTGGTCAAGGGGCAGAAGTTTGCTTTGATTCGGGTGAATTGGATGACCAAGATTTTTGTGGCGGGTGACGTGCTTAGTTTCCTGATGCAGGCATCTGGTAAGTTCCTATTTCCCTGGACGAAAAACAGCCAATGTTTGGATAAGAAAAGTACTAACAGGACTAGGCGCTGGAATCATGGTAAAAGGCTCCCAGAGTACCGGAAATAACATTATCATCGGCGGTCTCATCGTCCAAATCATCTTTTTCGGGTTTTTCGTGATCTGCTCTATCGTCTTTCAAGTCCGGATTATCTCTCATCCAACCACTGAGTCCGTGGCCGATTGTGTTCCCTGGAAGAAGCACCTGTACGCCCTGTATGCGACGAGTATCTTGATTCTTATCCGGTCGATTTTCCGTGTTGCCGAGTATGTCCAGGGGAGTGACGGCTATCTTCTTTCGACGGAGGTGTTTATTTACATTTTTGATGCCACGCTGATGTTCCTTGTGATGGTGGTGTTTATCATTATTCACCCGAGTGAGATTAACTGTCTCCTGGGACGGGGGCGGAAGATGACGACGAAGGGTGGATTGAAACTCAACGAGGTTTCCTCGTTGCCCCTTTAGATAGATACCACTATGTGATTGTGAAAATTGGTATTGGCGTATAGCTTGTAGTGTCTCGTGTATTTGTTGTTTTGCTGTTTGTGCTGTTATTCCCAGGCATAGCGTTTGTTTTCAGCATAGAGAAGAATAAGATATAATCTCAACATCAAAAGATCCATCGAGCAACAACTAATTGATACTAAAATGGATCAAATAGGCAATCACCAGAGAAATCACGTTTCATTCGAAAAGCTCTGTCCAAAAATAACCGTCATCGGCCACCGAACCAAAGGTCTCCATGTATCATCCAACACCATCCAGATTGCCCTGGAGACCCTGACGCTCCAGTCGTCGTGACACCAGTGATGGTGCAGAGAATCCAGTATCACACAGTAGTACGTAAGAATGACCAAAGCCAGCGGCGCATGGTCCCGTACCATATCCACATATCTCGGCCGGAGTTTGATTGCCCACCGGCCAATAGTGGTCATGTTGTGACCCACATTAAGCAGGCCTATAGCCTCTGTTAGTTTTCCAATGGTGTCTTCGTAAATTTCTGTGTCGTGGGTTTCGTCCTGAGCGCCACAGGTATTATTGACTTCAAGGAGCTCTTCCAGTGCTAATCGGGCGTCGTCTGATAGCACGGGCTCGTGGTTTTCTGTGCATACCAATGCTCTGAAATTACTTTCACTTAGGGATGAAGAAGCTGTGTTGATAACCTGCTGCACACCACGTATCAAGACAATAATTTGAAGTAAATCATCGATACAAACAAACGGATTACTTGGATTCGGTTCGTGCGGAAAGGCAAAAGTGTAGAGCACGACCACACTCGCAAAGGAGAACATTGCCTTTGCATTCGTGTCATTTATATCGCCAAGTAACTCGCGGAACAACGCTAGTGCCTGATTCTGGTGTGCTACCGCAAGGCCACTATACATCGGCCGGCGATGGTCATCTCGTGTCCGCGCCAGATGGAGCGCAGAGAGAGCTAGAATACCATGCATGAGAAATGGATGCGATACTGCTTCCTCGGGGACTAAGCACTTCCAGACATGACCAGTGCTCTCATTTCGAGCCAAAACCTGGTACGTTGAGTTGCACCACTGCATCATCAGCTCGAGATCGGTGAGATTGAGACTGCCGGATGAAACTGCCTCATCGTGCTCGCCAAGCCTGCCGACGATTCCTAACGAGTTGGCTGCCGTCAACGTAGGATCTGGTTGAGATCCCTCCGGGGTTGATATGGTAGATGTTTGACGGGACCGTGACTCTTCATTTGTCCAGCGGAGTGAGCTAGAGCTTTCGTATTCACATTCTGCATGTCTTTTAGAGCAGTTTGTGCATACTGGCCGAGCCTCGTCGCACTGTAGATATTAGCATCTGACGTTGCATCTGAGACAGGACGTGGGAATACCTTGACACGCCTTCGCTTGCACTCCAGGCAGCCGTGGCGGGACTTGTGATGAGATCGTCGCAGAGCCATGAGACGTGGTTCAACGATTCTCCATGCCCCCTGCTGATTCTATATAGGAGCAATTTGATGCATGAATGCGACTTCGTTTTAGTTCCGGAAAGAATCCGCGGAGATATGGATGGATTATGTAATGCCCTTCTACGATTGAGAGACAACGTTCGAACAAAGTCAATCAAATAAATAATGTTACATGGAGATATTCAGTCTATAAAGTAGTCGTGAAGATCCTGCAACTCAGAATTCCGGGTATTTCCAAAACATGTGTGGTCGCCTATCACCAACCACAATCCAACTCCGCCAAAGCAAATGGTATCTCAAAAGAATAAAATAAAACATGAACAAAAACATAACAAAAGGACCATAACGACTCCCTTATCAGCCGCCGCCACCGCCGCCGCCACCAGCAGATGAACACTGTCTCGTTCGTCGGTGTTTCTCGATCAAAGCTATAACAGTGATAAGCACCAGTACATCGAATTCCTGACCATAGTCCACGTAGATCTCCAGCTTGCCGTCTTTATCAACGCTCTTGTGAGAGCTGCTGGTGAACACTGCCATGACCTGTTCTGATTGCTCATCGATCAACTTGTAATTATCGTATGCCCAAAGTGAAGGCGACGAATTGGTTACGCCGACACTCGAGGTCCGCTTCCACACAAATGCGTGATGTTCGGATGCAGGGTGATTCCTCAAGGGCATTCGCCAGCGATATTTTACGCGGGTCCAGGATTGACAGGTGAGATCTTCCCAAGTGACCTGGTTGGGCTGGCTGGGATCCCCCAGACCGAATTTGGCATGTCTCGAAAGATGCGAGTATTTGCAGACGGCGTGGATCGGGGCTTTGTTGTCTGTGCCGGCGTGGAAAGTGAGGTCCGGCTTCCTTGGTGTCCACAGGGAGTTGTCCACATGGTATAGATGTCTTTTGTCGGCAGCAGTAATGTTGTAGTCGTTTTGCCAGAACGTAGAGTAAACGTGGTAAAGGCGAGGGCCTTGCATGATGTCTTCAGCCATTTAGTAGTAGGCTTTGCACGAGCTTGTCAGAAATGATTCAGCGAAAAGGACTCAACTCAAGGAGTATATATACCTTTGTCCTGGGCAGCAAAACAGCTTATTTTGACGTTATCAGAGGCTGGGTTTTCCCTGTTCACCTAATGTGGTTAAATACGAGTTCACAGCCTTTGAGGCTTAGCGTTTGCCCGACACTATAGGAGGTCTATGAAGATCTTAATATAGCGATCTTTGGTTCTGCAGAATGATGCCAGTTTTTGTAAGCCACGTTTTTTGTGGCCCTCTGGCAATTATCTTAGCCAGTCTTCAAGCATGTCAAATGACTAGTCAGAAGAAGCTCAAGATGGTCATCGGGTATGTGATTCATACAGATACGAGGGACTATGGCTGGTTATGACGCATGTGTGCGTACTCGGCAGGCAAAGCGTATAGGAAGCAAAAATAGCATAACCGCACATGCCTGTCTCTACTCCGTAAATGAATATGTAAAGTATGTAGTTCTGTATGTCAATAAGGCGAGTGAATCACATGACTGCACGTGACACCGTTGCCGCCAAGACATCCGCCCAAGCGCGTTTTCGAACGTGAAGAGAGTCAGTCCAGAAAGAAACCTCGACGACGGGCAATTTCAGCTACAGAGCTTGATTCCTGCGGCTATCCGTCGCCTGCTGTGCTGCTATAGGTTGCGCTCTTTATTCTGCACTCTTGTTTGTTGAGAGTGTCTCTTTGAAGCTCCGGGGTAGCTGCTGGCCCCAAAGATTTCGCTGGGGTTGTTTCTCGACTGTTTACAGGGTTCATACGCTTACATTTTCCCCTGATTTATTCGCATAATTCAAAATGAGCTTCAAAACGTCATTTGACCCATTCAACATGGACTCTCCGTCCACTCCGGACAAGTCTCGCAGCTTTCTGAGTAACGTATCGACGACACCATCCGGACCTCCACCATCAAGTGCCGACAACAACTCCTTTATTCCACGAGCCGCACCGCCGAAGTTCGGGAACTCATCTCATTCTCTTTTCGGCAAATCCGGGATTGAGAATGACAGCATCTTCGGGTCGTCAATCGGATCGGACCATTTCATGCCACCGCGCAAGAAAGACCCGGCGCCGGCCAAACCTCTCGCTCAGTCGCAGTCGCTTTTCAACACGACCAATGGCTCGCGGCTTAACGAATCGACAAGTTTCGGGCAGTCAAATAGCTTTACATCTTCGTGGACGAGTGAGGAAGGTCAGGAAGAGATGGAACCTGAAGAAGGGGATGAGGATGAGTGGGAAGATGAGACTATGGATGTGGATAAAACAAAGAAGTCGGGTGGACTCAGCTTCATGGACTCTACCATGAGTATGGAGCCGATCCGGCCTACTACTGCTCTTGGTCACAGAAAGTCAATCTACTCGAATCCCACCAACGCCAAACGGCCCAAGCTTGACGAACGATGGGCGAGCCAATCGCCAGTGCGCAAGACAGCACTACCTCCGAAGAAAGAGTCCGTGTTACCATCCATTATACGCAACTTCGCATCCAGATCTTCGCTTGCACTCGTCGATGAGCATAGTGATGTGATTTTGAGGACGGAAGATGAAGTCTGTCGCTTGTATGATGAAGCCAGACAAGCTGAGGAACAAGGGAAAGACTTTTATGTCTCTCTGTCTGAGATATCAAGTACGCTCGCGAGTACGTGGAAATCGTGCGCGGAGCGGAATGAATTTCCTGGGGCAGGTTTCGGTGTTGGCCGTGGAGAACAAGCCCCGAACGTTGTCAAAGCCGGCTTCTTAGGCTCTCTATTGCTCCAGCTCCATCACCCTCCAGTCAATCCTACCAAGACGGCGAGTCCCGCCGGCGCCTTTGGCCGTTTTGCGCCTCAGAGTCTCATAGTGGCCGGACCCGAGGAGAGCACGTTCACGCCCACCCCAAAGGTTCTCCTGGATTGGCTGAGCGCGAATCATGTTTCGCAGTCGGCTGATATTCGGGCTCTGGGGGAAGCTGGACCCAATCCTACCGCGTCACCCAATTTTTGGGAAACGATTACCTCTGCTGTTCTGCGCGGACGTCTGGCCGAGGTGTCGACAGTTCTGCGCTCTGCTGATTTCAACTACGCGCGGTCTGCGCTTGAGGATGGACTACCGCAGTCTGGCTACCGTGGCGTACAGCTCCAAAACATTCAAAAATGCATCAACAAAGCTCTCCAGATTCTAGACAGCTGTCCAGGTGTCCAGCATGAGGACTGGGAAGTCAAGGGCACGGAATGGTCGGTGTACAGGAAGCGGGTAGCTGCAGCTGTGACAGAACTGGAGGAATTTGCCGAAGGAGATGAGACTTCACCGGAGCCACCGGTTGTAGAGAACCGGTTCCAAGCGGTTAATTTTGGATTGAAGTCAACCTCTGGCGACCAGGGATTCTCTTTCACCAAGTCCGCGCGCATGGCGGAGAGTCGTGTCCCATGGACTATCTACCAGAACCTGCGTACGATTTATCGTGTAATTCTCGGCGACCCAGGAGCGATCATGGGTCTGTCGCAAGACTGGATTGAGGCCGTGGTTGGTCTTACGGCATGGTGGGATGGAGAGGACGACAGCAGCCCGGAGGATTCATACTTACGTCGACTTGACTTGGCCCTTAGTAGCGCGACAAATGACCCGACCACTGGCTTCCGGATAAACACAGTCAGCGGCCTTGAGGTCGGACTGGCATCCGTCTTTGAGGGCAACGTGGATGGCGTGCTGAGATTGCTCCAGACCTGGTCACTTTGCATCGCGTCCGCCGTTGCCGAAGTCGCTTCGGCCGGTGGATGGATGGATGCTGGCGATGGCGCGCGCAAGCTACCTGGCCTGAGTGAGGACGACCTCATGGTCCTTTCCTACGGTCAGGACACTAGCGCTGCTACACCCGTTCGCCGAGATGACGTTCTCAAAGCTTACGCCTCTGGACTATTCGAGCGGCGGTCTATTAAGAATGACATCGGTTTACGGGATGGATGGGAGTTAGCGCTGGAGGTTCTGAGCCGGCTGGAAGATAATGAGAAAATGCAGAAGACAACGTCTGAGCTGTTGGGTAAGCTGCCGCTCGATACGGCCGAGCAGATGGACAAGGTGGTGCTTCTTTGTTCGGAGTTGGGCTTGGAGAGTGAAGGCCGGAGAGTTTCTGAGGTACGCTTGCCAATTTTGCTCCTGATATAAACAGACGGTACTGACTGAATCAGCGATACGGCGATCTTACTGTTGAAAAGTCCGAGGAATATGGTCTCGCACTAGTGTGCTACGCTCGCGCGCATAGTCGACGCAAGGTCAAATCAGTTGTTGATCTACTCATCTCGTACAGCCTAGTTCAATCACGAGCTTATCCTGCATCCGCAGAACTAGACGAACAGCTGCGAGCGTTGATCCGCGAACCAAAGACCTGTCTGTCTGCAATTGCGGGGTCGGATGAGGAAGCAGCCAGTATTCTCCAATTCTACTTTAGTGGTTACGCGACCTTGCGGCGGTTCTACGAGACGCGCGATGAGGCGCTTTCATTGTCGGAAGGTCAGCGTCCCCGGTTTAAGCCATTGGCGCGACGACGGGCGGCGGCGCAGGCGCTGGTCGCGGTGATCGGTAGTGCTGCTGATAGTATATACGGAGGATTGTATGACCCGGAGCGCGACTCTGCGGTGCAGGTGGATGGATTACTGGCGCTTCTGGGAGAGTCTCTGGTTTTCGTTGGAGGTAAGTCCGCTATATTTCCGTCACAAGAATTTATCACTGACACCCGCAGAATCCAACCCAATCCTCACCCCCTCACAGCAACTCACCATCCTCTCCGCAATTGAGGACCTCGAATCCGTAACCAGCCGTGTCTACGCCCAGTGCGAAGAATGCTTCCGCTCCACCTTAATCGCCTACAATCACCCCTCAAACACCACCGGCCCCGGCTCCCGCGCAACCTCCGACTCCTATGTCCTCCCACCCTCACCCCGCGCCCTCCTCAAGAAATCCGTCTCCGCAACCACAGCCTCCAGCAACTTTTCCCTGATTGGCAGCGATATGCTCGAGTCCGCGCGGACGCGCTCACAGTCTGGATCTGGGTCTGGACTCGCATCCGCTGGTAGCTCAGGTGTTCTGGTCCCACTGCCGGGCGACAAGGACGGGGCGCACGAGCGCGGATGGGACTGGCGGAGTGGACTGAACGAGGAGACGAGGGGCGAAGATATCCTGCGGATGCTGCGGTTAGGACTTGCACGGGGATTGAGCTTGGGTGTTCTGGGTTAATTTCTCATTGCTATCGGTTGTTAGTTGTGTCATGCATTGTACTGAGTAATAGTATCTTCATCATCTTCATCTCCTCTAATCAGGCAGACACATACAGCCTCACTTAACTCTTATACTAGCCTAAACGCTACAAGCGTAGGGCTGAAGTGGATAAACCCCCCAAACGCCGGCCAACTCGCGTACTTCCCCATCCGGCAAGACGTGTGCTGACAAAGAAGCGGGACTGGTGGGGCCTGGCATAGGCAGACAGATAACCAGGTCGCTGATTGGCCGGAAAGTGCCCGGGCGTCTGGAATAGGAAAGTGCGGCTGCTGTAGGGCTGAACTTTTTTTTTTTTTTTTCTTTTCCCCTAGTGCCATGTAATTCAATGCATATTAATTGTATGCTATGCTGTATAGAGCCGTATATTTGCTATAACAACGACAAGTATTATATAGTAGAGAATATATGATTGTCAGGAAGGTCGCACAGAGTCTTTTCCTGTCTTACAGTAAAGTATGAGTTGTTCTCGTCGGGCAATGAGTGTCACTCTTTATCCACTCCCACAGAGGCTAAATATATCCAGTATATTGCGATCGATATGGAGTCAGGGCACGGGGCACATCATTCTTTTCTTTTATTTATGGATTCACATCCCATATATTATTCTAACCATATCCCTATCTTAACAGATTCTCTCTTTCAGCCCAGCCAGTTCCAGAGACTCCGAATGAAGTTTGGCTGACATTGTCTGACTGCAATGGTTCTGAGGTATGGTCTCCTGTTGATGTGACTGGATATATGGGATTTTCGCTGACGATTGTTTGCTACAGAACTATTGGCATTGCTTGCTTTTGCCTTTTGCGGTGTCGTTGAGTGATTGACGGACTGTCAGACGTATGCATGCTTGTTCGGATCTTCGGATTTCATCTTTGTTGTTGTTGTGACTTGTCTGTCTGGCTATAAATGAACGGATGACTCGATTTTTCCTGTCGGTTCATCAGTCAGCTTCACTCCTTTTTTCCTGATTGTATGTTCACTTACCCCGACTGTTGAGAAGCAGTTATTGACTTCGGATAGTGCGTCTCGATCAACAATCGCAAGCAAGCAACATGTGCTACAAAGTGATCGAGCGATACGCCGTCTGTAAATGCCTCTATTTTGAGCATGCAGTTGATCCGTGCGAGAGGTACGGCCATCACAAGGTCGAGGAGAAGACGGTGTTGGTGGGATATGTTTGTTCGAGGCACTCGATGAGTCGTCGGTATGGCCAATAGTTGTCGCCGTCGCCGTTGAAGATATGGATGAGTTGGATGGATGGTAGAACATGAATGAAGCGCTGGACGCTCATTGTTGACGTTGTTGTTTACTCATTTTCGTATCCATAACAAGCCACGATTTAATCAAGAACAAATAACCCTCTCCAAAAAATCAAACCCCTTCCTCTGCAACTCCCAAGTCCTCCCCCCAACTTCCATCGCCATAGCAAAGGTATGTCCCTCCCCCGGTACCTCAACCATCCCACACTCCACCCCAGCCTCCTTTAGCACTCGTACCAACTCACGACTCACCTCGATCGAAACCATCTTATCCTCGAGTCCATGCGCGACAAATGTCGGCGGAAATTCTTTCGTCACATTAAGCACGGGGTCAATTTCCCTTCGCACCTCAGGATCAGGACAACATGCTTGGATCACGGCGCCGTTGGCGATCTGCGTGAAGGCGAAGGCGTCGCGGGGGCGGGAGAAATCGGGGCCTGCGCTCTGGCCGGTTTCGGTTTGGCCTTCTAAGGACACGTTGCTGCTTGTTGGGATTGGTTCCTGTGTATACACTTGTTCCAAAAAGGAAGGGGTGAGGTTTCGGGGTAGTTTGGACTTAATGGCGGGGATGGGCTGCGTCCAGCAGGGGTGGGTGAAGTGGACTGCGCCGTAGAAATTCAGGATTGCCCGTGGTGGCCGGGGGACGTCGTATCCCTGTTTTGTTAGTATCTTCTAACATTTCGATATAAAAAAGAAGGCCTACCAATCCACAAGCTAGCATCCCCCCGCTCGATGTTCCAAATGCCATAACCTTCTCCTTATCAACAGCATACGCCTTTCCTTCCTCGCTCTCCCTCAGGAACCTGTCCAACCCATCATCTGAATAAATCCACTCCAGACAATCCCTCACATCACGCAGCGGACCATCCCGGATATTCACCTGCGGACACAGCCGGTGATTCGGGGCGACGACGACCCAGCCACACGACAGGCAGTCATTTACTTGGGGGATTGATACCATGCGTGAGTCGCCTAGCATGAAGGCGCCGCCGTGGATGTTTATTACTGTGAATTCTGGTTAGTATGATTGTGGACATGTGTGGATTGGGGGATACACACGGACGGGGCATGGAGACGTGGAGGGAGAGGGGAGGTAGATATCGGCGGTGATTTGGGTGGCGGAAGTTCGTTTGTAGGTTGCTGTGAGTGGCATTTTGCGATTGTTCAAGTTTGATGCTTTAGATGTTATGCTGTTATTTTGGTCGTTGGAGACTGTTGGATGCGGTTATATATCCGGGATTTCCGGCTGCACACGGACCTTCCGAGTCCACTTCACCCACAAGATAGTCTAGACAATAGACATTAATGCATTTGAAGACAACTATACATGAACACTACATTTCAATATCGACACATACTACGGAGCCTTAGCATCAACATTAAACATCCGGCTCAACACGCACACTAGTATCAAACACCCTCACAATATTCTCTCTCGCCCACTCCCTAACCGCATCAAAATCCCTACAAGTATGCATAATCGTAGCCACTGGCTCCAATTTTTGATCCTCTTCATCCCAAGCCCATGTAAGAGGAGTAACATCAGCCGAACACATAAGACTTTGTCGAATACTGTCGATGCAGTGATCGATATGGTCGATATTCATCATGTTGTGGTCGAAGTCGTATCCTTCGGCGTACCAGGCTCTTTTGCGGAGCATTTGCTAGAGCATCGATCAGCATTGGTATCTTAGTAGGAAAGGGGTGAGGTGAGATACCAAGCAGTGAAGTTGGTGAAAGACGTCGATTGACACGGCGTAGTGTTCTGGGTCTCCTGGAATGGGTACGGTGCGGTTTGCTAGTTTTGCAGCGTCTTTTCGATTGATCATAGAGATTGGGTCTATTTTTCGTTAGAAGTTGCAGTTTATCACATCCCGAGGCTAGCTTCCTTACAATTATAGAGCTCACGCCATGCGTCGTCTGTTTCGGGCGATGGGGGGCCTTGATATTTAGTTAAGTACGGGTTGAAACTAGATGAGAACACAACATTCTTGTAGCGGACCACATGTTGCGCCGGTGCTAGGAGCGTTAATTGTCAAAACAGAGACAGAACTGGGGACAAAGGCACCGGCCGCATACAGTAAACAGCATTTGGAAGATGAAATGGATTCCTTGAAAGCAGGTATACAATCCCGGAGCCCAAAATGACCAGAACCAGTGTCTCAACCACGACAATCACTATCAAAAACAGTGGCCATTGCCGTTGTTTGCAATACGCCTCATCTGGGTTGCTATGAGGAGAGCTCAGAAGGCCCGATGATTCCTCTGTCGAATTTTTCCTACCAGTATAACCGTCACCATCATGACGATGAGTAGCACTGTGGAAAGACATGGTTGTGTGTGAGTCGTCACTCTGTTTCCAGGGTCGGTTTGATATGAAATTCCAGCAGGTGTCAGAAGGCCTTCTGGGTTAGGTTATGACGCGAGAAAACAGCCCGCGCAGAAGCATGCAGGGACGACGTTGCCAAACTGCAAATACAATACCATCACCCATTTAACATCAAGAGATGCCAAGCTACTCCTCCCCAAGAGCACCATCCATCCCCATCCGCCAGCGATAAAAATCCCCGGCTATATTACCCTCACCAAAAAAAAAAAAAAAAAGAAAAGGCAACCCCTCAAAACACTCAAGTGAGGAGAAACCCCACCTGATGTCGCTGGATCGTAACTCGAGTGATCTTGTGGCGACTTGAAAAGCAACCGTGCAACATGAGTTATCAATGGCTAAGTATGGGGTAGCATTCTGTACGCACAGAATTGAAGTCTGCTAGTACAGGATAAGGTTTCTGTTATACAGTGCAATGGTACTCGGGATCAAGGTACTGGGATTCAATTCATCCAGTAGTCCCGTTTGAAAAAAAGAACGGAGTCAGAACTGGAGATACCATCAGACGGCCCGAATTGACATAAATACGCCCTACTATCCCCAATTCAACCTCACATTCTGGACATCACCAACCCAAGCTTTGTCTGCTCCTGAGAAATTCAACCAGTGACACACTCTTGCAACCCAATAGTCCAATATGAAGTTTACGACCTCTTTCGTTGTTGCCTTTGCCTCTTTGGCTGCTTGTGCTCCCATTGTCGCAAAAGTTAGTCCATTTTCCCATCCCCCAAATCCAATATACTTACTGATTATAAACAACTACACAGAAAGCAACGATCGTGGATCCCATCTCTCTCCAGAAGCGCGATGAGGCCGACAGCGACGTTGTTTTCGTCACCTGGAACAACGGCGACAAGAAGCTTGCCACTGAGAAGGACGGCGAAGTAGACACTGACGTTGTCTTCGTCACCTGGAACAACGGTGACAAGAAGCTCGCCGCTGAGAAGGACGGCGAAGTAGACACTGACGTTGTTTTTGTTGCTTGGAACAACGGCGGCCACAAAATGCTAGAAGAGAATGCAGGCGCCGAGAAGCTTGAAGTGAGCAAGGGCACTATGGAGAAGCAGAAGCGTGATGACGCTGATACTGATGTTGTCTTTGTTACTTGGAACAATGGTGATAAGAAGATGGTTGCGCAAGTTGAGGAGGATGGTTCCCAGGAGTAGTAGGGGGTTTGTGAGGAGATTCTCGTGCCGGTATCTGTCTGTCTGTCCGCTCTTTCTTTCTTTCTTTCTTTCTTTTTTTATCATGTCAGCTTGCATACTTTGGACAGGGACGTTGGGTACGGGGTTTTTATTCATTAGCTAGGAGGCTTGAGTCAATTCAGTACCTGATTTCCATATATTCATCTCTGTTAATTCGAGCTATGTGGTACAGCAATGATATGTACCTGGAACGTAAGATGTCAAAAAGCAAATACGTATGTAATAGACCTAGCGTAGCACTCGCATCACACAATCAGAAGCCAATATATTAATAGAACTAAACCATACATCCAGTGTCTCACAAGTCTAGTACGTACGTGCCTACCATCTGCCAAAATATCCTAATACACTGCAGCTGGTCGACGTTGCATTCTCGGTATCTAGTAGTACAGACACATGCAGTATTGGATATTCACTCACTAGAAGCGGAGCAAGAGCTAAGTCCAGGTTACTATTATGGTATGAGACAACATCGAGATTAACGGCATATTTGAATTGTAGGGTATATATGTAGTATAGCATAGGGCTACGCCCAGCACCATTGGATCTTTCCCCTGGACTCAATTATCAACTCACTTATCATGAAAGCCCCCATACCATTAACCACTCTCCTCCTAACTCCTCTAACCCTCGCCCTCTCAATCACCACCGCACCACAATTCCAATGCTCCAACATCACCAGGCCCCCAATTACCATTGACATTGCAATCCTCGGCGGCGGCGCCTCAGGAGCCTACTCCGCCTTCCACCTCCACAACCATTACCCAAACCACACCCTCGCCCTAATCGAAGCCCGCCCAAAACTAGGCGGCCAAGTCAACACCTATCAGGACCCATCCACAGGTTTAACAGCTGAATACGGCGTAAACCAATACACAGACGTCCCCGGTGCAGCGGAATTTCTCGAAGCCCTGGGGATTCCGTATACTCGTTCAGGGACTGGGGGTAAAAATGGGGGTGGAGGGTCGGGGTATATTGATATCCAGAACGGGAGAATATTGGACGGGCCGAGTGAGGAGGAGGGAAATGAGACGGCTAGGGCGATACAGGTGTATAGGGAGCTTCTATCGCAATATCCCGATCTGGAAAATGGGTTTTCATTTTCTGAGCCTGTTCCTGAGGATTTGGTGTTGTCGTTTACGGAGTTTGCGAGGAAATATGGGATAGAACGCGCTGTGTTGCCACTTTCGACGGGGATGGGGAATTTGGACAGTGTCCCGACGCTCTACGTGATGAAGCACTACGGCGCACATGTATACCGGAATCGGTTCCTATACACAGCACGCAAGAATAATCAAGAGATATACGACAAAACGCAACAATTGCTGGGAGACAATGTGTTTCTCTCAAGCAGACCCCTTGCCATCCAACGAGACGAGAACAGCGTGCAAATATGTCTGCAAATACCAGCAGGCACGCAACTCCTCCACGCAAAACGCCTCCTTGTCACCATCCCACCGACCCTCGACACCTTAAAGGGCACAGGCCTGGACCTAACACATGAAGAAACAGCCCTTTTCACCGGTTTCTCGCAAATAGGATATTACTCTACCCTAATTCGCATCCCGGGGTTTCTGCCCTTTCTGGCCTTCCAGCAGAATAATACGGATAATACGAACAATATAACGCTCCTTGAAAACACATCCCCAGCAAACACCTTCAACCTCCCGGAATTGCCCGCGATCTGGAACATCCATAGAACACACATCCCAGATCTTTATCAAATCGAATACGGCGCCTCTTCACCACTCCCAGAAGACGTTGTGAAACAAAATATCTTTGCCGATCTATCTCGTCTGCGGAGCACAGGCTTAATTATCGCCACTGATACTGAGAATGGCACTGGTGTACAAGAAGACCCGGTCATTATTAGATTCGCGGATCATTCACCATTTTATCCGTATGCATCACCTGAGGCGATAAAGGATGGGTTTTATAAAAGGCTTACTGAGTTACAAGGGGAGAGGGTGACGTGGTGGACTGGGGGGGCTTTTCATGTGCCAGATTCGAGTCTGTTGTGGAGGTTTTCGGAGGGGGTTGTTGCGGGTTTGGTCAAGAGCATTGAGGAGGGTGGCTGATATGAGAGGAGGGTGAGGGGTTATAGTAGGTTGTGTTATTGTGTTATGGAAGTTGCGTGGTGCTTAATTTACGGAGGTAATATCGGAAGAATAGGGTTACGTTCTAGTACAGAGTAATCATCATTCATATCGTCAAGGTCCGAAAGGTCTAGTCACAGGTATAGCGTACTATACAGTAACACCTGTCCGGATAGATCATTGTCATTGTCACATATCTTCGTTTATATGTAAGTACATCATCCATCTGGCATATCCACGGTATCGATATCAATATCAATGGATACGAATAGTCTTGTCGTCATTCCTTCATTTCATGTCGTTTCATTCGATTCATGCCCCATCCTTCATCTCCCTCCACCTTCATCTCCATCTTCGTCCACGTCCCCTTCATCTCCGTTTCATTCCGTTCCTGACCTGACTCATGCTTCATCAACACCACACCAGAAGCGAGTCCGGCTCGTTTCATGGCCACGGCAATGTGAAACACAGTCCGGTCTTTTTTTGCTATTTCTTTTTCTTTTTCTTTTCCTGTTGTAGATTGGCCGTACAGGTGGCTGTCACCTGTCAGTCAAAGGAGTGACTGCGCATGTAATCATGCGAAACTGTTAGTGGCTATAACGGCACAAATATAGCCAAGCCGGCCGGGCCGGGTTGTTTTCTGACCGCCACGTGCACTGGACGTTCGTCCACGGGCCATCGTAATCGTAACTGAAATCGAGAACCAAGGGAAACAATGTTCACTCGATTCAATTATCTTCTCACGACAATACCCTGACGGCGTACAGCGGCCTTTGCCTGGCGATACTCCTCATCGCTATCTGACTCCGAGCAGCTAGCCTCGCTCGACTCTGTCACGTATCCGCACCGGCTGCCACCGCAGTCAAGCTTGACTCGGTCTCCCTTGCGGGTAATTCCATACCGCTCGCAGTGGCAGACAGACGAGGGCGGGTCACTCATCGACGACAACGAAGAAGGAGAGGTGCTTCCCGAGGAGCGGGAGGACAGTGAGGAGCCAGCAGAGCTGGGCGGGCTGTTGGAGTAGGACGATTGGGAGGAGTAGGGTGAGTACTCATCGGACATGCGGGAGCCTGCGAAGCGGCGGGTGAGATCGTCCATGGTTGGGGCGAAATCTGCTTCGCGGAGCTGGCGCGAGGCATAGGGCTTGGAAGGCTTTGGGTGGTGGATGCGCGACGGGGACAGGGCACGGCCCTTGACGACGTCCTCGGATTCCCGGCGGGTCTTGGGGGCTGATGGGGTGGCCTTGCCAGAGGGGACGTCGAGGATGTTGAGCTTGCGGCCGGTGGTGGGTTCGACGGTGTATTCGGCGGCCGGGTCGTGGGAGACTTGGTAGCCATCCATGATGTACTATCCAGCATTAGCATCTCACTTCACACGAATTCATTGTGTGGCAACTCACGTAGTACCAGTATCTCCCGCCCAACTTGAGCATCGACGTCTGAAATCGGAACTTGCCAACCCACGCACCAGACTTAGACGAATCCTTGGACAGAGGAATCTGACGATCGTAGTGGTCCCACGAACCGACCAAGTGCACGGTCTTGACATTGGGCGAAGTGCGGAGGTTAAACTTGAGCTGAACGGCGGCCATTTTGTTTTTTTGGTTTTTTTTTTTTTTTTTTTTTTTTTTTTTTTTTGTAAATTCAAAAGGTTCACTAGAATTATATTATAAAGTTCGGAGTGATGATAAATTCGTGCCGTGTTAGGGTTCGTTCGTCGCAGACTGAAACGCTACCAGAGCAGATTCAATCAAATTGGCTGAACAACGAGTAAATTGAGATCGAGTCGAGATGAAACAAACACACGAATACTTCTCGTCAATGGAACCGGTCCAGAAGCGAGAAAGGCGAATAGAATTATCGAGCAAGAAGTTAAGTATAGTCAGTATATCGAGCTGAACCAACAGAAACACACGTCGACCGGCAACGCAAATGTCAAAATGTTGGATATAAATTGTATAGTTAGGAGTCAAATAATAAGTTGAAAAGATGATAATAAAATAAAGGGCAATGAGCACAGCTCTGGGGGAATAATGTATGGGGGTTTTTGATATGGGAAGTGGTCTTGGATATTAGAATATAGTAAGTAAACAAGAAAAAAACCTGATGCAGCCAGTGCAACCAGGATACTCCAAACTAAAGACAACTCGAAAAAAAGAAGAACAAAACTTGCTGAAGAAAAGAAGAGAAAAAAGAGAAAATGAGATGCAGGTTTGCGGCTGTCTTTAAGAGGCGCCCGTTCATGTCAGCGGTACCGGTATTGTGACGATACGGTACTGGCTGCTGATGCTATTCTGGGCAACACTCGGTAAGTGGAGAGTATTTATCCAATAGGAGGGCTTAATCTGGTGATGGAGGGTTCGACAGGCGCTGGGCGGGTATTTAGATCTCTTAATTGGTGGAATAATTCCATTATCTGCACTGAGATCCTCCAACCAGAGTCTGCCATAGGGCTACTACAGTGGGCCATACCTGTCTGGCGGTAAATCCCAGACCCTGATTGGCCATAATTGGTGCATCTTGTTGAAGAACATGCATAACGTGCATAAGTGCATTGCATCGTGTGCTTATTTTACATTGAGGAGGGGTCGAAGACAAGAAAAGATACAACATTATGACAGAAGAAATCAACACCAAGAAAGTCCAGGCCCAAAGATCCCTAACATGCTGGCTATTTTCATCCCCCAATTGCTTGCTGTAATGTATGTAAATAGTGTAGAAGAGAACTAAACAATCCATCTTGCAACCCGCTGGACGCCGCAAAAGCAAAATAAACAAGCGCGAAATTATCATGATTATGATGGTGAATGTGGGGATGGAAGAAATCACCGCACCGACACCCCCGAGCGGTTGGTGAACATCCGAGCGGTAATGTTCATCGATGCCAACTCTTGGAAGAGAAGCTTGGCTGCATACGGAATATGCACCTGCGAGATTCGGTGCTTGTTGTTGCACAGTCGGCATTCAAACAATCCCTTTTTCAGTTTTCTGTAGCTGTCAGCTATTATCCGTAATAACAGAGGGAGTAGAAAATCTTACGCAACTGGAGTCATCAATCCACAGTCGTCGCAAATGTGCACCCGGAACGGATCCGATACATCAAATAGACGCTCCTTCAAGAATGAACTGGCTCCGTGGGCAATCATACAGTCACGTTCCATTTCCCCGAAACGCAATCCACCATCACGGGCACGACCTTCCACCGGCTGTCGTGTCAGGATCTGGGTGGGGCCACGAGCACGCGCGTGGATCTTGTCGTCAACCATGTGTCGCAGACGTTGGTAGTATGTCGGGCCCAGGAACACTTGCGCAACCATTTTACGGCCCGTGTGGCCGTTGTACATCACTTCAAATCCACGCGATTGGTAACCGTGCTCACGCAGCAGCCGCGAGACCGAGTCGACTGTGACGTCGGTGAAAGGTGTCGCATCACCTTCGAATCCCCGTAGTGCAGATACCTTACTGAGTTGACACTCGATCAAATGGGCAATGGTCATACGGGATGGAATGGCGTGCGGGTTGATGACTAGATCAGGGGTCAAACCCTCCCGAGTAAATGGCATGTCCTCTTGTCGGTAGGTGATACCAATCGTACCCTTCTGTCCGTGACGAGAAGCGAACTTGTCACCGATCTGAGGAATCTTCGTAGTCCTCATACGAACCTTGACAAACTTCAAGTCGTCATTGCTGGTGGAAACCAGGACCTGGTCCACAATACCGCTTTCCGTGCTACGCAAAGGCGTCGACACGTCAAGCTTGGTGTGCGACTTGGTTCTTTGACCAAGTTCCTCTGCTTCGGGAGCCAAAGGTGCCGTCTTACCAATGATAATATCCTCTCCGGAAACACGGACACCGGGGGCGATAATACCATCGTCATCGATCTTGTCATACGTACCTTTCCGCATACCGAGGGTATCGTTACGCATCGGCTTCTCAAACCGCTCGACAACCGTCAAACCAACCATCTTCTCCGTGTCGGTGTATGTACGATAGAAAAGACTGCGGAAGAGACCACGATCGATACTGCTCTGGTTCATGATAACGGAATCTTCCTGGTTGTATCCCGAGTAACAGGCAATGGCGACAATGGCATTTTGTCCTGCGGGCAACTCACGGAACCGAAGGAACTCCATCGACCGTGTTGTCGCCAACGGCTTCTGTGGGTAGTACAGAATATTTGCCATTGTTTCCATTCGCTGATCGAAGTTGGTCAAGAACACACCCATGGCTTGCTTACCCATCGCTGCTTGGTAAGTGTTACGGGGCGACTGGTTATGATCGGGGAACGGAATAATACTAGCGCAAACACCAAGAATCATACTCGGGTGAATCTCGCAGTGCGTCCATGTATGCGCCTTCTGGCTTAGAATCGACCGTACACGCTTGTTGGGATCCTCTTCTGGGGGAAGAGTATAACCAGCCTGGAGCTGTTTCGAGATTTCCAAATCTTCGGGCGTCATGGAAATCATAATTGTCTCTTCTTCTTCTGCATCGACGTATTCCACAACTCCCGATTTCACAAGACCATCCCATCCGAAGTAGCGTTCCCTGCGCTCTTCGGGATCAAGGTCAGGGGGCAATTCCTTGTCTTCCTCCAGCTTCCGAATGTGCTCTTTGTTGAGCACTAGCGAGCCGCTGTTTTCGCTCTTCGGGTCATTGTCGATGACGAACAGCGGCCGGCAAACACGACCAGCATCGGTAAAGATCTTGAATTCACGCTCACGGATATCCCGAACCAAACTAACTTCGTGCGAAATCATGTTACGCCGACGCAGAGCAAGCATGGTGTTTACCAAATGAGCAGAATCACGATGGATACCAACCCAGACACCATTGACAAAGACCTTGGTTGCATTGGGCGTCACTTGAGGTTCAAATTCCTCAAGAACTTCCATGTTTCGCTGGATCATGAAGTCGATAATAGGTTCGCTGGGCGTACCAACGGTAATGTAGCACATAAGTGCCAGGTTTTTGACCAGACCACAAGCTTGACCTTCCGGAGTTTCTGCGGGACACACCAAACCCCAGTGAGTGTTATGAAGTTGCCGCGGTTTGGCAATCTTTCCGTCACGGCCAATCGGGGTGTTTGTCCGGCGAAGATGCGATAGGGTAGAAGCATATGTGTATCGACTGAGCACTTGCGACACACCTGCCTTCGCGCTGGCCGCCTTCTTCTGTTCACCCCAGTTACCCGTGGCCAGGGCGTATTTCAAACCTCCGGTCAAGGTGCTAGCCTTGATACCAATGTTCAAGTAGATTTCACGGTTAGTCTCCACACATCTTTGCACATACCGCTGAAGGTCACGGGTGACACGGGTGAACAAAACCCGGAAGAGGTTTGCAAGAAGTGGTCCAGCAAGATCAAGACGCTTCTTTCCGAAGTGGTCACGGTCGTCAGGATCAGCACGGCCCAAAGCGCACTGCAAAAGCCTGTGCACCATGTAACCCAAAAAGAAAGCCTTGCGAGTTTCACTTCCTTCGTTCTGAGAGATATGGGGAAGGAACTCCTTCTGCATGATTTCTCTTGCGTACCGAACACGGCGATCATGGTTCATACTCGACTGCGTAGATCCTCTCTTGGCGATGAAGTCCAGAGCGACTTCACGGTCCTGAATGACGAAACCTTCCTCGATACACGGCTTCAACATCTCCAACATTGGTGTATCATTGCGGTCATAACAAATATGGTTAAGAATGTCCTCATCCGAAACCACGCCGAGCGCTCTGAAGACAACCACAATGGGAATATCGGCCTTCACATAGGGCAGAGTAGACCTAATGGTAGGTCCAAATCCACCTTTGGCACTGTCACCCTTAGCAAACAGCTTCAGAGATAGCTGCGAAAGGAGTCTCGAGCCCTTCTCAACAGCACTTCGAATTTCAGCAACGTAAGGCGTAGGGCTGGGCGGCGCTTTCTTGAACACCTGAACGGTGTTACCGGCACTCCGTTCCTGTGCGATAAGAACTTTTTCGCTTCCGTTGATAACGAAGTAACCGCCAGAGTCGTAGGGGCACTCGTTCCAGTTGTAAAGCGCCTGCTCACTCAAATCCTTGAGAATACAGTACTTGGACTTCAGCATAATAGGCACCTTTCCGATGAAGACAGTCTCCTCCTTGGCCTGATCCTCCGGAAGGTGTTTCTGTTCCCACGAGAGGAAAGTACCACGCGCTTTCCTGTCTTCGTCATCATCTCCCATCTCATCATCATCCCGATCGCCTACCGCTTTCTCCCGGCCTTCCATAATCTTCTTCGTAATTCCGAGGTAAAGCGGGCTGGCGTAGGTCAAGTTTCGCAAACGAGCCTCTTGCGGCAACATAATCGTGGTTGCACCATCACCCTCAGTCACGGAGGGTCTTGAAAGCATCACGGTACCGAATTTGAGCTCATAGCGACGGACAACGATGGGGTCGATTTCGTCTTCGGAGGGCGGAAGCGTCTGGTCGAGCGTGACTTGGCCTTGTTCCTCCACCAACTCTTGCATTGTCGACGAGACGAATTCATCGAACGAATCCAGCTGCTGAGACACTAGACCTTTCGTGTCGAAAAAGGATGAAATAACGGTCCAGCAGTCCTCCGACGTGATTCCCTCCTCATCATCGTAAAACTCCTCCTCGTAGGCGTCGTCATAGTCGGCCATTTTGACGAGTATAAAGAAAGATCAACTAGAATATAAATAAAGAATAAAAAGAAATGCGAAATGAAGAATGTCGAGGTAAATGTGAATAATCAATGAGCGCAGAAAGGCGCAACGCGCTCAGTGAAAAGATCCCTCTTTCGAGATCCGTCCGGGTGCTAGGACAGGGACAGGTTCACCAGCTGGAACAATGTCTTAAAAAGTCACTAACGACGGATCAGCAAGCTGGGACTCAGTTGAATCGGAAAATCCCAGATCCCATGCCAAACGAGACGGTGAGGATGGAGCAGAGCTGGATGCTTGTCCTTCTCCGGGCGCTGTTGAGCCGCCACTAGCGCCTCGACCGCCGGGTATACGCTAGTCCTATAATGGAAAATACTATCACGTGATTTCTCTACTTACTGAGAGGTATGGATGACTACATTTTAAGATAGAGATTATGGGGTTTATGTGGTTGTACTATACATGACTTATAGGTATCCCGTCTGTAATTATCAAACGAACTGCAAAAGCGTATCAAGCATTTCTTTATGGTCCTTTTGCCCAGGCTCATCCTCTGACAGTCCCTCGACTTGCTCTGTGAACAATTAGCATTTGGAATAGTAGGGGTTAAATGAACAAATCGTAACTCACCTTGCAGTGTCCCTCGAATCAGAGACAAGTCTTCATCACGGTCCTTGAGAAGAGTGACCACCTTCTGTTTAGCCCCATCATCTTCGGCCACAAGCCATGCCAGGATGACATCAATGAGCTGTATAGAGAAGAGACCGGCATCGAATCGTCGTGAAAGCCATTCTGGCGCCATGATTTCTTGTTCTTCTTTGTCGAAATTCTTCCTCTCTTTTTCGATTGCCTGCTCAACTGGTGTTACTCTCGAGGCATAATCCCGTCTGAGCTTAACCAGCTTGTCAATCTTTTCGTATTCTTTCTCCATGAACTTCGCCAGGGTACGGATGCGTGCTGCGGAGCCTCCGGGTAAAAGCCGCAGAAGAGAGGCAAAGATGCCTAGAAGGTGTTCTATATTCTGGTTCTCTTGCTGCATGCTGTTAGTCACTGTGTTCTGCCCCTAACAGTAGAAAACCAGACGTACCTTTTTCATGAACATTCCGAATATTGTGCGCAAACCTGCTACTTCCACCAATCGGTCACAGGCAGGTGCACCACCCACCCCACCTAATGCATGGTCCAAAGCCCTCAGAGCACGTTGCTTGCTAAATTTCCCTTCTTTGATCATGATCTGTGCAAGCTCAACTCCTTCGGCATCCAGAAATTTGTTCTTGCCAGCATCCTCATCGACAAGACAAATCAAACAGTCAAATAGATTTTCCACGTACTCTTCTTCGTCGGAGTCCTTTTCAGGGTCGCGCTTGCGATATTGACTTAGAAGCTGGAGAAGAGAGTCCACGCCGTCAAGACCAAGGAATCTTTCCCTGTTTTTGGAGGATGATTGCAATAAGATTGCCAGAATTTCAGCAGCATATTGTTTGTTCTGGCTCACGGGTACCTCTTTCTTCTGTGCGCGGGATAGAAGCCATGACAGCATGGTCGAATCATGACCAATCTTCTCTGCAATGGACTGTTGCGATGCCAGATTCTCGAGCACACCTAGTTCACAAGGTTAGCAAAAAACTGTAACCTGACTTATAACACCATGACTTGTCACTTACCCAACACATAGTACACTCCTGACCTATCCATGTCGGATGTTTCGTCAAATCGGGTCAGGTTTTGGCTTAGAAGTTCTATGAGGTCTGCGTCCATCTGAGCAACCTGTTAGCTTGTGCAATTGATAGGATTGAGCTGCGCACCATTGCATTAACTAGGGTATCCCATTGCTCTTGTTCCGCCTCCACATCTTCATCCGTCAACTCGCTGATAATTTGAATAGCGTCTATAGCGATGTCTGCGTTCTCGTGCGATAGCAGTGAAATCAGAGAGCCGACACATCCCATTTTCGAGAATTCACCGTACAACTCTGGGCGCTCAGATAGGATAGACAGGTTTTTGATCTCCGTGTGCAGATCAGCCTCGGATGCCATGAACCTGGAAAAAAAGAGGGTCAGTACACCTGTGTTCTTTTGAGTGTGCGTTGCGACTTACTTCTGAGGATCATTTTCGAATTTGCCTCGCAGCTCCGCGTTCTTGGATATCTTCCTCTCAAAGTTAAGCGCGAACCGACGCACCCAAGCAGAGTCGAATTTCTCGGGCTAGAACAACGTTAGTACTAAGACTAGGCCAGTGCATCCACTCAACTTCACACATACCGCCACTTGCCCTTCTTCCGCATCCTGCTGATCGATATACTGCATTGCGTCTGCCGTCTGGCGCTCCATTCCTCCGCCGAAGAATCGTCCCTCTTCATCGTCTGGTTCATCCTCCTCAAAATCGGGGGGCAGCTCCGGGCCAGCTTCACCATCATCTTCCTTTTCATCTTCCACCATGAACGCTTTTCCTTTCGATTTCACATCTCCGTTGGATTCTAATTTGGCCGCTTTGTAGAGCTCATCTGTTCCAGCGCGCATTAGCACTCATTGTAGCGAAAACGTAGGAAGGCCGCAGGACATACTTGGGTCGTGGGCCGGTTCTAATTTGCGCTTCCCGGTTCCTATTGACAGGGGTTTCTATATTAGTTAGACACAGACCGTAAATAAGAGCAATCGCATTCACATGCCTTGAAGAGCTCATCGACGTTCGTCATTGCGGCTTCCGCAGTTTGAGGCCGATTTGATCGTTCAATGTACCACCAATACGCAAAAGAACCCCTAGTCACAGAGTGAAAACAGACAATGATGCGCCAAAGTGATAAACGCGATCCGTAATTAATCTCCAAAAAAGAACAAACAAATGTGTTCGCGTGGTTCCTACTGCTTCGTCGCGCTGATCCGGAGATTTGTACGGGTGCCGTGGAAAGCTAACGACGCAATTGGTGCCAAGCATCAGAGGCTCGAAAGATTTCTCGGCCGTCAGTAGTATTCAACCAACCTCCACTGACAACTTTGTCTACCATTATTACTCTTTGTCCCATATACACATTATAATATGGCCCCCAACCAGCGCATTGTCGTCTCTGGCGGCGGTCGCCCTCAGAAGGGCTTCATCGGCAGTGTCTACGATGAAATCACCTCGTCCGAGAACGCCACCATTGTTAGAAGCCTCCTGGTCTTTGGTGTAAGTACTAGTGTCTTGGATTTTTGCCGTACTTTTTGAGGCAATGGTTGAACAGGTTCTAACACGTCTATCCTACAGGCCGGTGTCGCTTTCTTCCACAGCAGCCTCGGCGAGCTGCTCGTCCCTCCGTAAGTGACCAACTTTTCACTGCGTTCCTTTTCTAGCATCCGTTCACGAGTCTCAAAAATATCGTTTCCTGTTTACTGATGTGAGAAGTGTCTAAACCCTTCCCGACACATTGAGTCGACATGTTATGAATCTTTCACGACCGGATCGGATGATTAGCGATTAGCGAAGTCGAAAAAAGAACATGCGGCCTTCGATCTCCTATCTGTTTCGAATTCTTTTAATGAATCCGTGTATTATATTTTGCTTTACGGGCACATGCGTCTTGGTGATCTCAATGTGGACGGTTTTGTCAGTCTATAAATCCATGAAATGAATCTGTTACGGCGTTTACTTGGGTCCTGCGACACTACGGTGCTTGAGAGTGCATCTACAATCGATGCATTGGAGTGTGGTAAACCTTTTCTGCTTTAAATTAATTCCTTGGCTGGGGACTTGCAGGCTGATTCTTGGATTTCCAACTTCCAACATCACTTGCAAAGACCTCCGATCCGTTGCAATACAAAACACTGAGTTGTCGATGTTGGTTCGACCAACTTCGTGCTCCTGAGTAGTGGTTCTCAGCCATTCGAATCAGCATTGATACTCCGTAGTCTTCCGTATATGCCAATCCAACTACGGACAGCTGAAGGATGTATATATATATATATATATATATGGCGAAACTAGACAGCGCCAATCGCATAATACATTATTTACACTAGATTGTGCATAGCAACCCAATCGGATGTACGCCCGTAGTAATTGTCAAACTAATGGGGCCGAGCATCATAAGTAGTAGCTCCGCACTCAGCATATTCTCCATCCATTATCCCCATTGACCCGTAGCACTATATACCCAATCCGGATAAGATGGTGACTATCTCTATCGCCTCTTCACAACAGATCAACTTCCCGCGAACGACTGCCATGAACCTTCGTCGCCATCGACCAATTCGCGGGGGAGAGATCAGTCCCGATCACCGCCTTCTGGTACTGCCGGAATAACGGTGTCAGCCATCTACTACTCCTGCTTAGTTCGCACTTTATCTAGTTATATGACAGACGTCAAGGCTACTTTTATGTTTGAATCCTCCATTTGCCAGTTACCATAGCGGCTATCCTATTCCCATCTCCAAGATGCTAGCCGCCAAGCGCAAGTCCCTAGACGCCGATCTATACCACAATGACGATGGCGAACAACCACCGGTCAAACGAAATCATAGCTTGGACTTCAACGCTCGCGCACCTTGGCTTCAAAGCTCCAGACCAGAGCGAGAATGGCGAACATTGGGGAATCGAGCGGTACAGCCGTCATTACCGTTGGCGAACATGGTTACTGCAGTACAGGACTTGATCGACCCCGAGTTCGACCCTTTGATAGCCATCTTGGATGATGAACCGCGCTTTCTGAAACCCTTGCCTTCACGGATGGCGCCGGAGGACCTGGAGTTCTTGCGCATTCGAGGCGCGCTTTCGATACCGGAGAGTGGGTTGCGGAATGAGCTGTTGCGGTGCTATATCAAATGGGTGCATAGCTTCATGCCAGTATTGAATCTTCAAAAGTTTCTGTTTTCTATTGCTCAAAATGATCCAAACGGGAATATCAGTCTGTTACTGTTTCAAGCTGTCATGTTTGTGGCAACTGCCTTTATCGATTTAAAGCATCTCCATGATGCTGGTTATACAACAAGGAAAAGCGCGCGGAATGCGTTCTATACACGATTACGAGTACGTTTCCTTCTGTCTGAATAACTGCCATTGCTAACTAGATCTAGTTACTATATTCTTTAGACTGCGAAGAAGATCGCGTCGCGATCATCCAGACGCTTCTGCTCATGACATATTGGTCAGACCACGCAAACCATCCCCTAAGAGATATCTGGGATTGGATTGGGGTCTGCAACACGCAAGCGCAGTCCATTGGGTTAAACAGAGACCCTACCTCTGCTCCTAATATAGATCCAAGTACCAAACGGCTGAGGACACGCCTTTGGTGGTGTCTCTATTCGCGAGACCGCTTAATAGCCATGGGACTACGACGCCCGACTCAACTCAATGAAGGGACGAGTAATGTCCCGTTGTTGAAACTCGATGACTTTGATTTCGAGACATATCATCCATCTGTCACTGCGATGTTCCATTGTCGTCAGCTGGAGGACGTTTCCCATCAGAAACGCCTGGCTACTATGTTCATCGAAAAAACTAGACTCTGCCAGTGCATTGGCCGAGTGCTTTTCGCTCAATATGCCCCTTCCCAATGCAAATTTGGGACAACCACCAGGACAACCATCACTTTAGTTCCGAGACTAGCATCCGAGTCCGAGCTGGCACGATGTAGCCAGAAACTCGAATCCTGGCTAAACGGGCTCCCTAAGGATGCTCAGTTTATCCCAGAGTCTAGAAACAACATTAGAGAGGGCGAAGATGTCCTCCTGCTTCATAGCGCTATGTTAAGAATGCTATATCACGCCACGATCAGTGCGCTATATCGGCCATGGGCCACGAACTTCCAGAAGAACCAGTCGAAAGCGCGCCAAGAGTTGATGAACACTGCACGCGCGAAGATGCACGACTCAGCTCTAGGCATCACGCACATTGTCCAAGGCCTGAATCAACTAGACCTCACCCGGTTTCTTCCTCAATCGGGCGTGACTGTCATCCTGCCCGCTGCCGTTGCGCACCTGACAAATTCCAAGTCAGATAACCCAACAGTCCGCGAGACAAGTCTCTATAACTTCCAGAGATGTGTCCAAATATTGCAGGGTCTGAAGGACATATATCCAGCGGCGGACATGGAGGTGGCCAACATCGAGGCTGCTGTGAAAGTGCAATCCGATAACGCCAATACCTTCCTCCGTATTATGCAGTACAGTTACAATAACTCCAACTCTGGGCAGAAGAATGACTCACTCGAGGAGAATCCGGAGAATTTGCCAAACAAGGACATCGAAGTCCAGCAACAAACTCAACAGCATAGAAAACAAAGCATCGTCTCCAACCCCCACTCCACAACAGCAACAGCAACTACAGCCAAACCTCCCACTTCACCACCAACACCAACCCCCACGCCAACCCAAAAAGACAGCAATAACTCATACACCGACTTCAACGACAACCTCGACCACCTAAACCTCGACACTCCACCCACAGATTTCCTCTCCTTCGACCTCCCCAACCCACCCTTCGACTTCGCCACAGCCGCAGATCTAGAGCAAAACGTTTCCCCCACTGATGCCGAACCGTATGGAATAGACTGGACACAAGAGCTTTTAGCCGGGGGTCTGGATTCGGACTATGGTGGGCCGGGGTTTGAGAATGAGTGCAGAGATGTGTGGTCGTTTTCATCGGAGAATGGGAGTAACGGGATTGGGTCGGGGACGACGGGGCATACGCATACGCCGGGGGATATTACGGGGGATTTGGATAGGGATTTGGGGTTGTAGTTATTATTCTTGTGGTATGTAACTTTCGGCTTGGATGTATATTTATTTGTTAGGAACTTTTAATCCTCTTTTGCTTTTTTCCTTGGTAGGTTGCAGCAAACTATATATTTACAGCCATGGCATGATGTCTATCAAGCAAGCCTTTTTATTTCTCCCTAGATCAAAAAAAAAAAAAAAAAAAAAAAAAACAAATGGATATATTTCATGAACACAACTCGCAAAAACATCCAAGTAATTGCTCGCTCGAATCTTATTCTCACACAGACACATAAAAACCATCAATATACATAGTTAAAAAGAAGATCATCGCCATGGAGAGATTATTCATTCAGAAACGCATCGCTCTCAGCTCTTATCTGCCCACCGATTAGCCTCATCACCTTGCTCCCAGGTGTGCTCGACATATCCGAGCTTCTGCTTGACCTTCTGGACGGTCTCTTTGTCGCCGGTGTTTTTTCCCATGTTGTCGCTGAGTTTGACGGCCGGACGACCGCTTGCGGTAGCAATTTTGATGACGATGTTGAGGGGTTTAGATTTTTCGTCGCTTGCTTTGTTGATAAAGTCATCTGGAGCACAATATTAGCCGGATTGGACTATAAATTGTGGTTAGGATGGAAGGGAAGGTGGCTTACTGGTGAAGAATGTCCCGACACCGAAAACAGGCTTGAAATTGGCTTCCTCCGCAATGACCTTGTATTCTAGACAATTTTCGATGTTGAGCGAGTCCGAGAAGACAATGACCTTCTGGCCTGTAATGCCATGCCCATCGTAGAAGTCGCGGACCATCTTCACAAAATAACTGGGGTCGCCAGAGTCCTGGCGAACACCGGTGTAAACATCCGCGTATGTCTTCTTCTTGCGCTCGCCGCCCTCGTGGATTGGTGCTGCGATGGGGGGTGTGGTTTGCGCCTCGCTTTGGATGTTGGACTGGGTTGTGGTGCCGGCTCCGGATGCACTTGTGCTGACAGCACCGACTCCTGCGCTGGTGTATTCGGGTATTGGCTTGGAGAAGGCGTCGAGGAAGGCTGGTGTGCCGAATGTGTCCGTTAATGCGACTCCAAGGACCTAGGCTTGTCAGTGTGTTGCTCAAGCAAAAGAATGCAAAGGAAACTTACCCCCTCACCAAAGCATCCGAGCCAGTATCTCAGTGCTATCTCATTGGCATTCTCGTAGTCATCAGTGATAGCAGCGATCGTCATGTACCACTCGTGGGCAACGGTGCCAACCGGATCCACGTCATACTTCATCGCAAAGTGGACATTACTCGATCCCGTAAAGACACCCTTCCAGCCCTTCTTCTGGCTCTCTTTCGCAGCCGCGCAAAGTCCCTTCATGACCAAGTCCTGAGTGTGATAGTCCCGCCGACGTCGCGAACCAAACTCCGAGAAAACACAGCCATGTTCAAGCAATGCACATCCTTTCCGAAACGCCTTATCCTCCTGACCTGTGTAATCCCAGTCCTTATCGCAGAACATAAAGTATGCTTGGCTGGTTAGCGCAAGCAAAGGAATCTCGTAGAGTATTGTCTCCACCCAGCGGCCCTTGATGAGATATTCGATACCACCGACATCTTCGTCGCTACCGGTGTCATTAACAGGTGTCCAAGTAATTTCTATTTGTTCGGAGGGGGTAAGTTTGAACGTCGTCAGGAACCGCAGGTATGCGTCATTGAAGTAGGGACATCGCTTCTTCAGGAATTCAATTTCGTCCGGTGAGACGCGAACATTTGCAATTTCTAGGCAGAAAGAATAAACTATTAGCAATCCGAGGTTTCCGCGACTAGATGCATTGACATACTTTCCATCTGTCGCAGGAGCCATTTGTATGCGCTTCGCGTGAATTTCATCTGCGGGGTACGATTTGTGAACCCATAAGTTACATCTGACAGGAGCGTCAGTATGCTGAAACGACCAGATTAATAGAACCTTAAGCGACTCACCAACATCAGGAAAGTACTTGAGAATGGCACACTGCATTGTCAACTTATAGAGATCAGTGTCCAGGAGGGAGAAGACTCCCTCCGGAAGTGGTTCCTCGCCCATGGTCGTCTGGTATTGAATAGATCCAGCTCTCAATGGCACAAAAATCGGGCCGTCAACGTGAAGCTAACGTAAACGAAGCCTTTGGGATAACGGAAGAGAATTGAAGATAGTGGGGGGGAAAGCAAACGATTGAGGGGATCATTCATAGATATCTTATGTTTGCACCGTTTGCAGCGGATATGATCATTAAACGTCAGAGTCCAATTGACAGAAAATTCTTGAATAACATACCCCTACATATATACACTTTACGTCTTATATAGTACTACTGGCAGAGGAAATTCGTAGTTCAGCTGAGGCTGAGACCCGTTCAGCTCGTTCAGCTGAGCCATTTCAGCAAAGGGGAGCTTATCTGTGGCTGCCGCCGTGGCTGATTGATATGTGGCGGTGTTACACGTGACTTGGAGCGATCCTGTTCCGCATCGCGTCTTCACTTCTTCAACTTTCCCTTTTCAGCCTCAAATTATCGTCGTGTTGGCAGATTAAGCAGAAAGTTCGATTTAAAGAAAGGCTCATATTGCGTTGGATCAAGAGCACTGATAAGGTTGACAAAAGAGACTGAATACAGTCGAGGAATCAAGAAAGGTGCAAGCTCATTCTACATCACTGCGACCTGAAGTTAGAAGAGGAAATGTCTCATGGCGCAGAAGATTGCGCATCGGTGCTGGAGCAGTTTGTCCACGACGTGGCGAACCTGCCAGCGGAGATCAATCACCTGATGGAAGAAATCCAGGCAAAGGATAAAACTATCCAGGACGCCCGCACAGCAATCAATACTCGGGATGGTAGTTTACAGAAATTCATCAAGTTGAACGGTAGTCTTGCGCCAAACCCCAAGGAAGAACAATACGGAAAGGTTATTCTGCAGAACTTCGATAAGTCCCAGCAACTGCAAGAGGAGAAGATTCAACTGAGTGAAAAGGCATGCGTGCTATTGGATCGACAGATTAAGAAGTTGGATATCAAAATTCGGGATTTACAAAATGATGGCGTCTTGTCTAATGACCCTCCTATCCCCTCTCTCTTCAACAGCAATAAGGACCAATATCGAGATCCGCCTAAGATCTTCTTTCCGGATACCACGGCGGGCGATTCGTCGTCTTACTCTGCCGCTCCTCTCAATCCTACGTCCGGAAACGCCAATGCAGTATTAGGCGCTACTCAGAGACTTAGCCAGTCTCTCGCCCGGCCAGGCGGCCTAGCCACTTTAAACTCGCAAATTGGTGCGCGAAGCTCCGCTCCAGCAACCCCCGCCGCAACCGCGGCTTCACATTTTCAGCAACGACATCAACGAGAATCATCCGCCGGCGCAGTGGACAGCAAACGACGTCGCCTGAACCCATCACTCAGTACACTCCCCACCACATCCTCCAATCTTCGCCAATCATCCCTAGGCCCCGGAACCCCGAGAGCAGGAACCCCTAGCACTAGCCGCGCTGGCAGCGCCGGCCCACGCACAGTAGGGGTAACACGAAAAGCCCTGACCAAGAAAGTCGCCCCTCACCAACAACTCAAGAAACTCAAAGCAATGGGCAAAGCCTCAAAGCGATCCTCAAGCGCATCGCGGATCCGAATCGGCATGAAGAAATCTCCGTCCGCCGGCGGAGAGGACGACGAGGATGATTCTATGCTGAGCGATGCGGATATGTCTGACTCTGAGAATGATGCAGGGAATGACCTTGACGACGATGATGAGGATGAGGGAAACGAGGATACCAAAGTTTATTGCACTTGTCGCAGCGTTAGCCATGGGGATATGGTTGCGTGTGATAATGATAATTGTCCGTATGAGTGGTTTCATTGGAAGTGTGTGGGGTTGACGAGAGAGCCAGTTGGGACCTGGTATTGTGATGAGTGTAGGGCTACTTTGGGGAAGTAGTCTTGCTTTCCTCTGTTTTTTGTTGATGCGCGCACTGCTTTACTGTACATATACCCATTGCATTTTTTTAATTCATTGGCCGTGGTCACTCGGCTACAACTTTCTCAATATATTCTCTGTATAAAACAGGATCAATTATCCCTCTCTAAATTTCGTTAAATATAGCTATAGATACAATCTCCTTATATGAGATCTCAACCTTGCCAATGCCAAATAAAACTTTTTAAAATAAAACGCCAACGCTATGCAAAGGGGTATGATCTTCCCGGCCACCTGCTTATAAGTAAAGCATAGAAAGAAGAGAGCCCGGAAAACCACCGGGTTATAGAAAAGAGTGACAGGCCGATCGATATGTGATCGACGATCAGAACCCAAGTGCCTTTTCTAACCACGGGTCGAAGTAGTCGCATGTCTCTGGACTGACCGCTCCGCCAGGAGCGCATAGTCTGAATACGGGGCACTGGCCGCACGGCGCCTCTGTCATGCCATTTCTGACTAGGTAATCTATTTCGTCTGCGTCTTCGCCCCCGGGTTTCCGTGCTTGCGCGGCTTTGACTGCTTCGGGGTGCTTGACGGACTTGTAGACCTCGCCACTGTTCAGCGCGATCAACTTGTTGTCGAAGCACAGCATTTCGAGGAGTTGTACAATACTTTCCTCGCCCAGTCGCACAGGCGTGATACCACTCTCGTTTACAGCGGCCGTGATCATGCCGACAGTTGGATATCCCTGATATCCAGCGGGAAACGGAAGATACTGCTTTTCACCTGATTCCGGCTTCATAGCCACGCTGCCGGCCCCGGTCTTAAGACGCTTCTTCCCCGGCCCATCAGCACTGGGCACCTCGTACCAACTCTTGCGACTCACGGTGTACTCGATGTAACCCGCGACGCTGTTGATGAAGTTTGCGTCCAGCACTCCGTCCGTGAACCAGGCGCCTCCGGTGACATCCTCGCTCGGGGCCAGGCCTGCGAGCATGTACATCTTGCGACTAGGGAATTTGACATTGTGGACGCTTTTGATGTAGTTCTTGCCTTCGAGCGATTTGAGGCAACGGTCGAGAATGGACTTGTGTAGGTTGGTGCGGGTCTGGATAGCGCGGACCCAGATTCCTGAGCGACCAGTCGAATGAATCACATTATACACCAGACTTTCGTCGGGGCTCAGGTTCTGCAATCTAGACGGTACCGGTTAGTATATGAATATTCATAATTCAAAGAAACCAAAACGTACTTATCCGCATCTTCGCGAGATATAATCTTCCATGCCAGCCGATCATTTTTACCAGCGAGCAGACGGAACAATTTCTGGTCCACCAACGTCTGGGTGCATTGTAACATAAGCGGAAGGTCATTCTTTGGAACAACGCCCAGACCTAGTAGATCTTGCTGATAGAAGAGGTGGTCGGACGGGAAATTGGCCTGGCAGGCATCGTAGAGCTTGGAGGCGAGCTCCGTCACGGAGCCGGCCATTTTGAAGGTCGATATGAGGTCGCCGGCGAGAGGACGAAGGAGGAGAGAGCTGCGTAATATCACCGGAAAGGCTTATGGAATAGCATATTCAGTAATCCATCACTTGCGACTAGTTGCGACCGCTTAATAAACCTGAAAAAGAATAATGAATGAAAAATGACACAGCGAAAGAGTGTGAGAAAAGGCGGCGGAGATGTTTTTCAGCGGGGAGGACTAAAACGGTTTAGCGCGAAAGAAAAAGCTTGTCTGCCTTGATGCCTGGGGGTACCAAGGTAATTCTGCCTGAGGCACAAGGTAACTGCCGGAAATTTCGAGAAGATCAGCCCGTCAGAGATTATGAACGCAGCTTCCCCCAGTCCAGATTGTCAAAAAGACACCTGATTCCAACTTATCATTTTCATCTTGATACCCCATAACTATACCATGGCTGACGCGTTGAAGGCTGAGGGCAACAAGGCCTTCTCTGCCAAAGATTACTCTACTGCTATGTATGAAGTTACCCCGCGCTATGATTGTTTTGCATAACAAGAGCTGGAGCACTGACATGGTTTTGCAGCGATAAATTCTCTCAGGCTATTGCGGTCGAGGCTAGCAACCACATCCTCTATTCAAACCGTTCTGCTGTGTATTCCGCCAAGGGCGACTACCAAAATGCCCTCGACGATGCGAACAAGGCAACTGAGTTGAAGCCTGATTGGTCCAAGGGTTGGGTGCGTAAGGGTGCTGCTCTTCGTGGCCAGGGAGACCTCTGTAAGAGATGGATTATTGATACAACAAAGATAATGTGGGGATTATTGTTTGCTAATGAATGCAGTGGCCGCCCACGATGCCTACGAAGAAGCCCTCAACCTCGAACCCGGGAACGACCAGGCCAAGTCTGGTTTTGCCGCCGTGAAGAGAGCCATTGACGCCGAAGTGAAGGGAGACACTGCTGACCCATCAGGAGGTATTGGTGGAATCTTCAATGACCCCCAACTGTTCCAGAAGCTGGCCAGCAACCCCAAGACATCCCCCCTCCTCGCGGACGGCGAGTTCATGGCGAAGCTGCAGCGTGTCAAGGAGAACCCCAACAGCGTTGGCCAGGAGATCCAGGACCCTCGCTTCTTGCAAGTTATGAGTGTGCTTTTGGGAATTGACATGAACTTTGGCGGTCCTCCTGAAAGTGCTGCACCAGAGGCTCAGCAGGAGGCACCCAAGCCCCAACCGAAGAAGGAGCCTGAACCCGAACCCGAGCCGGAACCGCAAGACGAGGAGGCCCTTGCTAAGAAGAAGGCACAAGAAGCTGGTGACGCTGAAAAGAAGATTGGTAACGACTTTTACAAAAAGCGGCAGTTCGACGAGGCTATCGAGCACTACAACAAGGCTTGGGAAGCGAACAAGGACGTCACATACTTGAACAACATTGGTGCGGCCAAGTTTGAGAAGGGCGATTACCAGGGCACCATCGAGACCTGCCAGGAGGCCATCATGGAGGGCCGTGAATACCGTGCGGACTTTAAGGTGCTCGCTAAGTAAGTGCCGGAGTGTCATCTATAGTTCAGGGGGGAGGGGGTTTTCTTCTTCTTCTTTTTTTTTTCTCTAACGTTGTTTAACACTACAGGTCGTTCGCACGTATCGGAACCGCTTATGAGAAGCTCGGTGATCTCACCCAGGCCATTGAGTTCTATAACAAGTCGCTCACTGAGCACCGCACCCCTGATGCTTTGACGAAGCTCCGGAATGCCGAGAAGGCCAAGAGCAAGGCCGAGAAGGAATCCTACATCGACCCCGCTGAGGCTGAAAAGGCGCGCGAACTGGGACAGCAGAAGTTCCAGGAGGCTGACTGGCCGGGTGCAGTGGAAGCGTTCACCGAGATGACAAAGCGGGCGCCGCAGGATCCCCGTGGATTCTCTAACCGGGCTGCTGCGCTCGTCAAGCTCATGGCGTTCCCCCAGGCAGTGCAGGACTGCGACGATGCCATCAGCCGGGACCCCAAGTTTATCCGTGCGTACATGCGCAAGTCGCAAGCTCTGGTGGCCATGAAAGAGTACAACAGGGCGTTGGATGTGTGTACCGAGGCGCAGGAGCACGATGACGGATCATTTGCTCGGGAGATTGAGCAGCAGTCGCAGAAGTGCTTGGATTCTCAGTTCAGCGCCCGTGCTGGCGAGACGGAGCAACAGACCATGGAGCGTATTCAAAATGACCCTGAGGTGAGTTCCTGGATATGTGCATGAACAAATTCGAATTATACTGACTGTACTAGATCATGTCGATTCTCCAGGACCCCGTTATGCAGAGCATCCTGCAGCAGGCCAAGAGCGACCCGGTGGCCCTGCAAGAGCACATGAAGAACTCGCAAGTGAGGACGAAGATCCAGAAGCTGATGGCGGCTGGTGTGATTCGCTTGGGACGGTAAACGTGTGACGACGAAAAGAAAAGTGATGATGCATGTAATTCGTTCAATTGGCTTTTTTTAATGGTATGCATGTGCAGTCTTTACAGCTTTTGTGCGAGGTATACAATCCATCGTAGGGTTTGTATTCTCGACTCCGGTCGGACGCTATCACGCCGGACCGCTGTCTATTGAAGTTTAAAAAACTCTGAGCGAGTCAATGTAGATTGTCCGGGCCTGTAATTGTGGAGCTCATTGAAATCGCACAATAAGAGTTTCAATATCCCAACCTTCTGCTCGACTGACGCCCCAAGGCTCTATTCTAATACATACATTCTTATTCGGTTTTGTACATGTGTGCGGTGAAGTCATGTGATCTACATGGAGAACTGACTGATTGGGATTAGCGATGCATTTGTACAGATCTCACTAAAGCACGATGTACTCTGTTCCAGCACTCTGTACTGCAGCACGACTCCGCATATTTGGTGCTCTGACCTCAGCTGAAGAATTGAACGCGTGCTACGTGTCGACGGTCACCGCACTCTCTTTTGTATCTGTTCATACTCGAGTACGGCGTAATCCGTAGGAATGCTGGAACCTCGGAACCATGACTGTCTGAGGGATTCGATCCATGGGAATCCATATTAAGCGGTGGGAACCATCACCAGGGGTTCTTGGCGGCCACTACTGTTCAGTATTCCACATTCTCCCTTATCTACCCCGTAGCCTCCTTTGTTTCTATGTTAAAGTAGAATTTGATATCTATTATTTTGATTTTGCATATTAGTTGCTCTAAATTCCAGAACTCATCCGTACTTTATACCACCCAGCGTGGCGGTGCCTACGTAAGCACATTTCCGAAATGGGACCATTTCCAATAGATCGGATCCACTGCTGCGCCACAGGTCGATCGTGAGGTGTACTTCGTACGTATCAATACAGATTACGTATCGGTGCTTTGTAAGTGCATTGCACAACGTCATTTCTGTGCTTTGATTTCCTACTTATCGGTAATACCGTACATATGTGGCTCATGCATCAGCCACAGCTGAATCTCCTTTCGATACGCCAAATTCGTCCTTTTGGCCCCAGATCTGTCCTCTTCCCTCTTCTTTCTCTTTCTTTTCTTCTGTTTACTATCACTGTAACCTCA